TCCCACAGGGCGACGGCATCTTCGGAGGCCAGCGTTGTTCCGTCCCGCTTGCATCCACTGGCCGCAGGTTTGTACACGCCGACTCGTAGGCCGGCTTGCACACATTCCTGCGCGATCATCGCCGTGACGTAGGTCTTGCCGACCTCGGTGTCGTTGCCCGTGATGAACAATCCTGATGGCGGTTTGGGCATGGGGTGTCTCGATGGGGAGTGAAGCTTGGAGGCCAAAAAGGTTCGCGCCCGCAACTGCGTCACAAGCCTAACCGAATGCCGGCGGGGAACGCCATCCCCTGAATCAGTTCACGCTGCCGTCGATTCCCATTTCGTGCAGCTTTCTGGCGACGATCGATTCTTGGATCTTCATCCAACGCTTGAGACCTACGACGGCTAAGAAGAGCAGCACGAGATAGATTCCTGAAAGGATGAACAAGCCGGCCTTGAGATCGGCGTTGGAGGTGACACCGCCGATGCAAAACGCAATGGGGCTCAGCCCCGTAACCATCTCTTGAAATTCGCGGGAGGCGCCGAGCCTTTCATGCAGCACGAGGGCGATCAGCGGGGGGAAGAGGTTCACGAGCAAGGCAATCACAAGGAACACCCAGATGCCGGCTTTCCCGCCGAGTGCGATCAGGAATTGGTAACTGAACCCGACTGCCAGCAATAAGATGGAACTGACTGCGACGACCTCCAGGAAATCGTTGATCGTCGCGGGCGGGCTTAGCGACGAGCCGATCCATTGCGTCGGCAGGACGAATCCCACCAGGAGTGTCACCGCACCGATCACACAAAAGATAGGCAGCACGAGATTCACTGGTGACCGATCGCCCGCATACTGTTCCATCAACCACGGGCGGCGTGCCCGAATATTCCACACCCACGAGATCAAGCCCGCTCGCGAGGGGGACAGCGTTAGCAGCAACAGCATCGCGCAACTCAGGTGAGCCATGGTAAAGATGTACATCAACCCGTCGGCGGGTTCACCTGCAAGCCATTGCGAATAGCTCGCACCGGCCAGGAACAGATCGAAGACCAGCAACATGGCGTAGGCCCTCGGTTTGGTAATCGGTGGGTCGATGGTGTTTTTCAAGCGGCGCGACATCGCCGCCAACACGCAAGAGGCCACACCCATCTGCACGATAGGTGCAAAGTACAGCGAAGGAATCGCAATCCCCCATAAATTCACCCGAGCCATCCAGGGGTCGCCCTCGTAGAGCCCGATGAGCGAACCAAGTGGGGTCAACAGGTTGATTGCGGTTCCCAACCAGCTATCTCGCAAGGGCCCCATTCCACCGGCCATCAGGCTGGGGATGAAGAACATGGGGACGATCAGGAAGCCAATCAAACTTCCCGAACCCCGTTGTTTGCCGGAGGCTGTGGTGGGAGGAACCAACGTGTGCAGCGTGCCAATCGTGGCCAACATCAACAGCGACGTGAGCAGGTTCACGTAGAACCACACAATCGCCCACGCCGACACGGCCCCCAATGTCCAGCAAAGGACTGCGAAGGGAACGGTGGCCATCATGAAGAAGTAGGCCAGGGCCGGCTCGCCGATTGCTTTGCCCAGCAGGATCTCTTTGGGGCCGAGCGAGACGATCCGCTGGAAGTCGAGCGTGCGGTTCACCACTTCGGCATTGATCGAGCTGGAAACCCCGAACAACGCCAGCACGCTAGAGAGTGCCAGTTGGATGCTGAGCACCACCACAAGAAACGTGCGGACCGGGGAGACGGACATTTGGTTTTGGTAGTACAGAAACAACATGCCGATGCCCATCAAGGCGAGCATGTAGGCGCTGGTCGTCAGCCCGGGGGAACCACGCCGGTACTTCAACCGCACGGCACTCACCACCAACGGGTTGTTCCAAAAGTCGGCTTGCATAATGGCCCTAGGGTTCGCGTTACGCGGTGCGATGTTTCGAGATTCGCATGTAGATGTCTTCGAGGTTCTCGCCCTTGGTCGAAAAGGAGACCAGCGGAATGTCGGCCTCGACAATCGAGCGGTGTAGGGCGGGTAGCGTCGCCCGATCGCCCCGCCAGAGACAGGTGATTTCGTTGGTGTCGGCGATCACGTTTTCAGACAAGGCTTGGGATTCCAGCAGGGACTCGAGCTGCTCGATCTTGCCGGCGACCTGAATCCGCAACTGCAACTCGGGCTGCAGCTCTTGCAAAATCTGGCTCACCCGTCCGCTGGCCAGCAGTTCGCCTTTTTCCAGGATGCCAATCGAGGTACAGAACTCGGTCATCTCGGTCAGGATGTGGCTGGAAATCAGGACGGTTCGCCCCATCTTGCGCAGTTGCTTGATCAGTTCTCGAAACTCCATCCGCGCTGCTGGATCGAGCCCCGAGGCGGGTTCGTCGAGCAGCAGCACTTTCGGCTCGTGCAGCAGGCTTTTGGCGAAACACAGTCGCTGCCGCATACCGCGGGAGAGTTCGCTGATTTCGGCTTCGCGTCGCACTTCCAGTGAGACCAGTTCCAGCGTTTCGTCGATCAAGACATCGCGACGCTTAGCAGGGATGCGGTAGCAACGGGCGAAATGGTCGAGGTACTCCCACACCCGCATGTTTTCGTACAGGCTGAAGAAGTCGGACATGTAGCCGATGAGCGGGTGCACGCGGAGCGGCTCTGCGAGTACGTCGATGCCGTCGATGTGTACTTTGCCGTAGGTGGGCTCGAGCAGCGTGGCCAGGACACGAATCAGCGTGGTTTTCCCGGCACCGTTGGGTCCGATGAGCCCGAACACTTCGCCTTCGGCGATTTCGAGGTTCAGGTTCTGGATCGCCACATTGTCGGCGTATTCCATACGGAGATGTTCAACGCGAATCATCAACTGCCCCTGAATATGACTTCGTGAAGTTGAGCTGGGTGAACCACATTGTACCGCGTGCTTTCGGCCCTCGCAGGCAACGAAAGTTCGGCCGAACAAAGAACCCTCGGTTCCTGGTAATTCGCAGCCAAAGGCAAAATATTGCGGGCACGATCCGCCTGCCCCCACTTCGCAAGCAGGCCCTCCCTGCGGTAACATCACACCATCACGAACTCGAACCCGAAGACGACGACTATGAGTAATCCTTCTCGCCACCGCACCGGCAGCAAGACGACGGTGGGGCTGGTGCAAATGAGCTGTTCTCCGGTGAAGGCCGACAACCTCGATCGCACGCTGGAGCGGATCGGCGAGGCGGCCAGCCAGGGGGCCGAGGTGATTTGCCTGCAAGAGCTGTTCGCCACGCCGTACCCCTGCCAGGAAGAAGAACACGCCCGTTTCGACGACGCGGAATCGATTCCCGGCCCTACGAGCGAGCTGCTCTGCGAAGCCGCCGCGAAGCATGGCGTGGTGATCGTTGGTTCGCTGTTCGAACGCCGCACCGCGGGGCTGTATCACAACACGGCAATCATCTGCGACAGCGACGGCAAGCTGGTCGGCCAGTACCGCAAGATGCACATCCCCGACGATCCGTTGTACTACGAGAAGTTCTACTTCACGCCCGGTGATTTGGGATTCAGTAGCTTCAACACGGCCAAGGGAAAGATTGGCACCTGCGTCTGTTGGGATCAGTGGTTCCCCGAAGCCGCTCGATTGACGGCGCTCACCGGCGCGCAGATTCTATTCTATCCCACGGCTATTGGATGGCACGCCAGCGAGAAGGACGAGTTTGGCAAGAGCCAGCACAACGCCTGGGAAACGATGATGCGAAGCCATGCGATTGCCAATGGTGTGTTTGTGGCGGCAGCCAATCGCACGGGCCACGAAGGCGGGATCGAGTTCTGGGGTGCGTCGTTCATTTGCGACCCGAACGGCAACGTGATCACCCGCGCGGCACACGATGAGGAGGCCATCGTGCTGGCCGAATGCGACTTCGACCAGATCGATGTGGTCCGCACGCATTGGCCGTTCCTCCGCGATCGGCGGACCGACGCTTACGCCGACCTGTCCAAACGGTTCATCGACTCGTGACGCCTGCCGACTTGCATTACCGCATGCCCGCCGAGTGGGAGCCGCACGCTGGCACCTGGCTTTCGTGGCCGCATAACCGCGATACCTGGCCGGGGGCGTTCAATCCAGTTCCTGCAGTGTGGGCGCGGCTGGCGAAAACCTTGGCCGAGTTCGAGCAGGTTCATATTCTTGCCGGCCGCCCTGAGGTGATGGCCGACGCTAAAGCTCACGTGGGCGATGTGCCCAACGTGGTGCTGCACGACATTCCGACCAACGATGCCTGGATGCGCGATCACGGGCCGACGTTCCTGGTCAACTCGGCTGGCGAACCGCCGGCGATGGTCAACTGGCAGTACAACGCCTGGGGCGGGAAGTACCCGCCGTTCGATCTTGATAACCAGGTGGGCAGTCGCATCGCCGAAGAGCTCGGCTACCGGCGGTTTGCTCCTGAGGTGATCGTCGAAGGTGGCGCCATCGAGGTGAACGGGCGCGGAACTGTACTGACGACCACCGACTGCCTGCTCAACCCCAACCGCAACCCGGGCATAGCGCGCGAGGCGATGGAACGCATCCTCCGCGACCACTTGGGCGTCAGCCACGTTGTCTGGCTGACCGGTGGCATGGTGGGGGATGATACCGACGGCCACATAGATCAACTGGCCCGATTTGTGGCCCCCGGCGTCGTGCTCGCCATGACGGAAGAGAATACTGAAGACGAAAACTACGTCCCCTTGGCTGAGAACCTGAAGCAGCTTCGCGCTGCGACCGACCAGGACGGGAAACCTTTGGAGATTGTCACCGTGCCGATGCCGGGGGCCAAATACTACGGTGAGCATCGGCTACCGGCGAGCTACGCCAACTTCTACATCGCCAACGGTGTGGTGATTGTGCCCACGTTTGATGACCCCCATGACGAAGTCGCCATCGCCACGCTGGCTGACCTGTTTCCCGATCGGCAAATCCGAGGGCTGCCCGCAATCGATCTTGTGTGGGGCTTGGGGGCGTACCACTGCATTACTCAGCAACAGCCCGCGGTCTTGAACTGACATCGAGCAGGTCGCACACCCACGTGCTACTCGCGGGCTTCCAGCGACTCCCACTTGGAGTAGAGCTCGGCCAATTCCTCGTCGATCGCTTCGAGGCGGGCGGTGGCTTTGGCGATCTCGGTTCCATCTTGCTTGAAGAAATCGGGGTCGGCCATGGCTGTGTGGAGTTCGCTTTGTTCTTGTTCCAAGGCGTCGATCTGCTTCGGCAGGGCCTCGAGTGCGCGGCGTTCGTTGTAGCTCAGCTTGGCCGGTTTGTCGGCGGCTGGTTTGGCGGGCTTTGGTTTCTTTGCCGCCTTTGCGGTTTCGGGTTCTGCTTCTTGGGCTGCCTGGCGGTTCTTCAGGTAGTCGTCGTAGCTGCCGACGTACTCGCGGACTTGCCCGTCGCCTTCGAAGGCCAGCATGCTGGTGACGACTTCATTGAGAAACGCGCGGTCGTGGCTCACCAGCAGAATGGTTCCGGAGTAGTTCACTACCAGTTCTTCGAGCAACTCCAAGGTTTCCATGTCCAGGTCGTTGGTCGGTTCGTCCAGTACCAGCACGTTCGAAGGTCGGGTGAACAGCTTGGCCAGCAGCAGCCGGTTGCGTTCGCCGCCGGAGAGATTCTTGGCCGGCCGCCGGGCTCGCTCGGGTGTGAAGAGAAAGTCTTGCAGATACCCGTAGATGTGCTTCTGCTTCCCGCCGATGGTGAGCAGTTCTTTTCCCTCGCCCACGTTCTCGACGACGGTCTTCTCTTCGTCGAGTTGTTCGCGGAGCTGGTCGAAGTAGGTCACTTGCAGCTTGGTGCCGCGGCGGATGGTGCCGGAGGTCGGTTCCAACTCGTCGAGTAGCAACTTGAGTAGTGTGGTTTTGCCCGAGCCGTTGGGGCCGATGATGCCGATGCGATCGCCACGGGTGATGAGGGTGGAGAGTTCGTTGACGATCGGGCGTTCGCCATAGCTGAACGAGACGTCGGTGGCCTCGACGACGAGTTGGCCCGAGCGTTCAGCCTCGATCGCCCTCATGTGAACATTGCCGATCTGGTCGCGGCGCTCGAGCCGCTCTTGCCGCATCTTCTTCAAGGCTCGAACGCGACCTTCGTTGCGCGTGCGGCGGGCTTTGATTCCCTGGCGAATCCACACTTCCTCTTGGGCCAGCTTGCGATCGAATTCGCGGTTCTGCTGTTCCTCGGCCTCGAGGGCGGCTTGCTTTCGTTTGAGAAATGTCTGGTAGTCGCAGGTCCAGTCGAAGAGACGACCACGGTCGATTTCGATGATTCTCGTGGCGAGCGTTTGTAGAAATACGCGGTCGTGCGTGACGAAAACCAGGGTGCCGCTGTAGCCTTTGAGGAACTTTTCGAGCCAGGTAATGGCGTCGAGGTCCAAGTGGTTCGTCGGTTCGTCCAGAAGGAGAATGTCGGGCTCGGCTACCAGGGCTTGGGCCAGCAGCACCCGGCGCTTCATTCCGGAGGAGAACGTTTCGAACGCATCGTCGCCGTTTAGGTCCATGCGCGACAGCACGCGGGCCACGGCCTGATCGACCTTCCAATCTTCGATGTGGGCCGGCTGATCTTCTGCCGCCGAGGCCAGGTCGGCCGCGCGAAGCTGTTGGGTGGCGATGCCCGCGGCCACGATTTCGGCCACGCTGCCGGTGGTGTTCTGGGGCACTTCTTGTACGAGGCTGGCAATTCGCAGCCCGGGCTCGCGAATCACTTCGCCGTGATCGGGCTCGACCTCGCCGGTGAGCAGCTTCATCAGCGTCGATTTGCCCGTGCCATTGCGGCCGACCAAGGCAATTCGCTCGCCCGGGTCGATCTCCAAATCGACGTCGTCCAGCAACTGGGGCCCGGCCCAGGAAAACGAAACGCCTCTAAGACTCAACAGCGACATACAATCCGACTTCAGTTAACAGGCCACAATTCCCCGCTTCCACAGCCCCGCAGTGTGACGCAAGGAGGGCAGACGCTCAAGCGGGGGTGGGGGCCTAGAAGCCGGCCGGTGCGCCGCAGGGAGTACTCTACCCGAGGTGGCCGAGACTTATGGGGCAACGGAAACTGCTGATAGCAGAGAGGCAATCAGAATTGGGGCTTCACCGGGTTACTACCGGGGCCGGGCCGGGGGCTTCTGGCGATAGCTCGACGCCTGGCACGACGGTCAAACTGTGTTCAGGCAGTTCGTTGTCGTGGACCAGCAGTTGATGGTTGCCGACGAAGTAGGTGTGGAAATCGTCGACCACCAGGTTGAAGGCCTCGGTGTGGGTGCCTTCTTCTATTGAGAGAAGTTCGGTCGAGCCCTGAGTGCTATACAGTCGATAGCCGGGCTTGAGGAACTTGGCCATTCGCCAACCGTGGCCGGTGACCCAAAACCGGTGCCCGAGGGTGGCGGTGATGGTTTCGCCTTCGATCCCAATATGGTTCACGGGCGAGGGTGGTCGGACGGTGGTTTCCAGTACGGGGCGATAGTCGAGCCGGCCTGAGACAGGATCTTGGCTCAAAACGAAATCGCCAACTTCGACCTGCTCAATGGGTTTTGGTCCGCCTTGTGTCCATACGGGGGTACCTGCTGTGAAGCAGGAAGGCAGAAACCCGCGACGCAGGATCGGGAACGATTGAGTTTCGCTGAAGTTGTAGGTCGGTTTCTCGATCGAACGGTCGTATTCATTGTAGTCGGCCCAGGTCTCCCACCATTGCTCGGGATTCGCGTCGAGATCGTAGCCGGTGAGGGATGTGAGCACTTCTTGAATGCGTTCGTTCTGGTGCTGTCGCGATTTGTTTTCTTCTACCAACCAACGATGTGTTTGCATTACGTGCTGATTGCTTCTTGCTCGATCGCCTGCTGGGTCTTTTTCTATCCGGAGTTCACCGGTTCTTCGACCATAGAGGTAACTGACCGATGAATAGTCACTCGTTCGCACGAGCTTGCGGTCTGCTTCACGACCGACTTCGTAGAGTTCCTCGGTCACCTTGCTTCCATTAAGTCCGACGTAGTGGTCGATCGTTAGCTGCAAGGGTGGCTTCATTCCATCCATCAGCAGCGGCATGTAGTCTGTCTTAGGGCGACCTATCAGGGCTCGGGTGGCGCTTTGGCGAACGAGTGGATAGTCGGACAGCACCGCCACTTCAACCAGTTTGACGGTGGCCTCGTATTGGTCCATCTTCGAGAGGGCTTCCACTCCTGCTTGGTGGATGCGTTCGATCAAGAGGCCGGCCTCAGCGGGATACAGATCGCTGACGAGACTATCTCGGTGACGATTGTTCATGCGTAATGCCGCAGATAACGCAGGTATCGCGCCGGGATCATCGACTGCTGCCAACTGTTCTACAGCATTGGTGCGCCGCGTTTCTTCGTCACCAAGCGCCTGCCGAACCAGGTGATCGAATTTTGGCTTGAGGTTTCTGTACTTGCTCTTCGCCTCTCTGAGTTCGGCGAGTTCTGCTTTTGTGTATAGTTGTTCTTCATGCCAAACGAGGTCCAGACGCTTGAGCGCTTCGGGATGATAGGGGGCTTGTTCAAGAACTTGTTGCCAGTGCCAGCGCTCCTCTCGCTTCAGGCGGGCGCGAATGCACCACTGTGCGAGGGCCACATGCGCGTTGACGCTGTTGTCCGACTGCTTCACTCGTCGCCGGTACTCTTCCCACCGACCGTCTTTGGCGACCAACTCTTCGACTTCTTCAATTGAACTCCACCCTTGGGAGAATTGCACTTGGCCCAGAAGCCAGCGGGCCAGTTCGTTGTGGGGATCGACCTTAATGGCTTGTTTAAGCAGGGCTTCGCGACGAGGTTTGTCGCCCGCTTTGTCGGCAGAGACTGCCTGCTGCACAAGCGTATCGGCGTCTGAAGCGATCGCCCGATCGCTGGCGGAAAGTGCTTGAGCGAATGACCAAGCGGGAGAGACCAGGAGGATGACCAAGGTCAGAGAGGAAAGAACTCGTCCTTGCATCGTTCTGCTCCTGATGGATCGGCGCTACGATTTGCGTTTTGGGCTGGGACTGTATGTTTAGCGTATCAAGTTGGTCCCAATGGTGCGTCCCCCCATGCTCAGGGAGAAGCGGAGGAATCCTCCGGCATTAGCGCCACGCCTGGGACCACAGTCAAGCTGTGTTCAGGAATGTTGTTATCGTGAACCAGCAATTGATGGTTGCCGACGAAGTAGGTGTGGAAATCGTCGACCACCAGGTTGAAGGCCTCGGTGTCGGTGCCTTCTTCGGTGGAGATAATTTCGGGCGAGCCTTGCGTGCTATACAGCCGGTAGCCGGGCTTGAGGAACTTGGCCATCCGCCAACCGTGGCCGGTAACCCAAAACCGGTGCCCGAGGGTGGCGGTGATGGTTTCGTCATCAATGGTGATGTGGCTCACAGGGCTGGGCTGCCGCACAGTGGTTTCCAGCACGGGGCGATAGTCTAGCTGCCCGGTGACGGGGTTCTGGCTTAGCACCAACTCGCCGACTTCAACTTGCTCGATTGGCTTGGGACCGCTTTGGGTCCACACGGGGGTGCCGGCAGCGAAGCAGGATGCTACGGCCGGACGGCTTTGTGTGACGCTGTAGCTTCCGAATGTGTCGCTGACAAATTGATAGTCGACAAAGTTTCGGAATTCCTCGTTCTCAAGCACAGGTTTTTCAAGTGGGCCTTCCAGTTCGTTATAGTCTTTCCAGGTTTGCCACCATCGCTCGGCATCCGACTCCAAGTCCAATCCTGTCAATGTGGTCAACACTTCTTGGATGCGTTCGTTTCGTTCCACCCGGGCCAGATTTTCTTCTTCGATTCTGCGTTCAGTCAATCCAATTAATTGATTCGAGTCCTGGATGTCATTGGCCGTGTCGTAATAAACCCAAGATTGTCCGGTGGATTCACGCCTGTAACGGGTAACCGTTAAGTACTGGTTAGTTCGTACCGACCTTCTGTCAGCTTCGCGACCTGATTCATACAGCTCCTCCTTCACGGTAACTCCCCCGGTGGGCGAAACCTCCTGCTCGATGGAGAGCTTCAGTGGTGGCTTCATCCCGTCCATCAACATAGGCATATAGTCGGTTTTCGGGCGGCCAACCAACGCTTGAGTTGCGGCTTGTCGAACGCTTGCGTACTCGGACAATACCGCGACCTCAACTAGTTTGACGGTCGCCTCGTATTTATCCATGCGGGTCAGGGCCTCTACTCCCGCTTGGTGGAGTCGCTCGATGTAGATGCCGGCCTCTGCGGGATACAGCCCACTGAGTAGTTTTTCCTTGTAGGGGTTGTCGATCTTCAGCGATTCTGAAAGTGCTGCAATTGCGGCGGGATCTTCCACCGCAGACAACTCCGCTAGAGCATCCTTGCGGCGGGAGTCGCTATCGCTCAGTGCGTTTCGCACAATCTTGTCAAACTTCGGTTTGTACCGCCCGAATGCCCGCTTTGCTTCCCGGAGGTCGTTGAGTTCCTTCTTGGTGTAAAGTTCGCCCTGGTAGCGTTCCAAGCCCAGGCGATCAAGGGCCTCCGGATGATTGGGGGCTAGCTCGAGGACCTGCTGCCAGTGCCAGGCTTCTTCGCGATCAAGGTGGGCTCGACGGCACCAATGGGCCAGGGCCAGTTGCGAACTCAGGCCGTCGTCGGCCTGCCCCACCCGACGACGATATTCTGCCCAACGGCCATCGTTCGCAACCAGCTCCTGGACCTCCTCAACCGTTTTCCATTCGCGACCGAACTGCACCTGGCCCATGAGCCAGCGGGCGAGTTCGTTGTCGGCGTCGACTTCAATCGCCTGGGCAAGTAGTGATTCCCGAAGTTGTTTGTCGCCGGCCTTGTCTGCCGAGACGGCTTGTTTGACGAGCGTGTCGGCGTCGGAGACGATCGCCCGATCGGCGGCCGAAAGTGCTTGGGCGGAGACCTCGCTGCAGAATGCCGTGACAACGACGGCGGCGAGCGTGAGAACAATTCGTGTGTGCATCTTCCGGCTCCTTGAATCCCTACAAGGTTGGCAGTGGTCGCACCAGCGTTGCAATTTCTATACCTGCTAGCACGCCGCGAAGAAACTCGTGTCGCAAGCCATGCCAGCAGAACTAGTTCGTGCTCCCTCCGATGAGCCGGTCCTATTAATCCTTCTGTCGCGAGGTGTTTTCGAATTGAGGGCGCGCTGTCATCAGGTTGAGTGCACTTTTCGGGAGCTAGACCTCTTGCAAGCGTGCTGCGGCATGTGAGTGGGCAGGATTGTTTAAATTGCCTAAACAGCCGAGTTCTATTTCTTCGTTGTGCTTAGGTTCATGGGCGGTTCGTTCCGATCTCATACAAGAAGCAGGCTGAATACTTTGTTTGCCTTTTCTTCTGCTCGCGTTGTCTCTGGGAAGCAAGGATGTTTTCATGACCGCCCGACGTTTTCTTGTGCCGGCTTTGGTTGTTTGTGTGGTGAGAATGTGTGGGCAGGTGAGCACTGCACAGGACGACCTGCAACCGACAACCGAGTTGGGCGTGACGGTCACCCCAGACAACATCTACGACTCGATCCAAGAGACGACCGACTTCTGGCCGCCGGTGCGAGCCTACGTGGGTGGCGATCGTTTTGAAGTGGCCACGCCCGAGTCGCGCGATGCCACCGAGGCGTTCTTGAAGCAGGCCCATACCTTCTTGCACGATCAACTCTTCGAGAAGGATGAAGCCACGGCGATGGACCTCATCGACTATCTCACGTGGCGGATTCGCAAGTTCGTATTCTTGCGGCAGATGCGGGAGCTGCTCGAGGACGACACGTTGCTGATCGCGATGAAGGACGACTGGGAACGTTTGCACCGTGAGGTGAAAGAACTTCCGGCCGAGAAGCAAGCGGCCGCCCGGGCCGCCATCCCCGGGGCGATGCACGACTTGATGACGGCCAGCGGAGTGGCCAAACCGCAGAGCAATCAGGTGCGTAAGCTGTGGCTACAGATTGACGTCTGTGTCGCGCACATGGACACTACCGAATCGGGGCAGGGGATGCTGGAGTTTGAAGAGCAGGCCAAAGGCTTCGACCGGACGACTGCCACGCTGATTCGCGATGTGGTCTCGGCCGCCGAGTGGACGTTGATCACCAAACCCAACGGTACCCTGGCCGAACATACCGACTTCCAGCCGGCCTGGAACGAGCTGCTGAAACTTAGGGCGGCCCATACGGCGGCCAGCGTAAGCCCCCAAAGCACGCGGACCGAGTAGCGATCGCAAGCGGATTAAGCGCGTTCGATCGGGAAGGGCAGTACTTCGTCGATCGACGAGGCTCCGGCGGCGATCATCACCAGCCGATCGACCCCCAGTGCACAGCCACTGCAGGCCGGCAGTCCGGTTTGCATGGCAGTAAGCATGCGGGTTTCTTCGTTGAGCGGTTGCTTGCCATCGACCTCCCGCAGTCGATTTGCTTCTCGGTTGCGGCGGAGCAGTTCCTCGGCGTCGAGCAATTCGTGATAGCCGTTGGCTAGTTCGATTCCGTCGACGAACAACTCGAAGCGTTCGGCCACCGCGGGGTCACTGCCGCGAACCTGGGCCAACATTGCCTGGCTGGCGGGGTAGTCGTGCAGGATGGCCGGTGCCGTTCGTCCCAACTGCGGGGCGATGCATTCGCTGAGCAGCACGTCGAGCCAGGCATCGCGAGCAGGAGTTTCGTCGGACGAAGTCTCAACGTCGCTGAGTAAGTCGTCCGGGACGGGAACTCCCTCACGCTTGGCGATTGCGGCCAACTCTTCGACGGTAGCCTGGTGGGGGTCGATGCCCAGGCCCCGCGTGAATGCCTGGGCGTAGGTTACTCGTTCGGCCGGTCCGCGTTGCAGGACGGCTTCGCACAGGTCGGAGAGCAGTTGCATGCCGGCGGTCATGTCGTCGCCCCGGCGGTACCATTCGGCGATGGTGAACTCGGGGTTGTGCAACTGCCCTCGCTCGTCTGCCCGAAAGGCATGGGTCACCTGGTAGATTGCCTCACCGCCGGCGGCCATGAGCCGCTTCATGGCAAACTCGGGCGAGGTCTGCAGCCACATCGCTTGCCCGCCCGGCGCACCGCCGGCCCCCTCGGGCAACGTCACCCCGATGGGATCGATATGCCGGTCGACGACCGTGTCGGCTGAGAGCAGGGGGGTTTCAACCTCAACGAACCCCGCCGCGTCAAAGAACGCGCGAATCGCTCGCAGCACCGAGGCGCGAAGCTTCAGGCGTTGCCAGTTGGCAGTGGGAGCCCAATCACTCATGTAGATTACGTGGTGGCTGGCTGAGAGTGGTTCCGAGACCTCGCTCGACTAGAACGAGGGTGCCACTGCTAGCTCGCCTAGCAGTGCTGTCGCGGATTCTCACGGCTGGACAAGCCAGCCGTGGCACCCACTTCAGGTCATAGAACCGTTTCTAAGCTTCTTTGGCGCGTTCGATGTATTCACCGGTGCGGGTGTCGACTTTGACGAACTCACCGACTTCGACAAACGCCGGGCAATTGATTTCGGCGCCCGTCTCCAACTTCACCGGCTTGGTGAGGTTCGTGGCGGTGTTGCCACGCACGGCAGGCTCGCAATATTCGATGGCCAACACGACGTGGTTCGGGGGTGTGACGGAAATCGGATTTCCGTTGTACAACACCATGTCGCAGTTCATGCCTTCTTTGATGTACTTCCAGGCATCGTCGACCTGATCGGCCGTGAGTTCGTACTGTTCGTATGACTGGTTGTCCATGAAGACGAAGCTTTCGCCCTGACGGTACAGGTACTGGCCGCTGATTTCTTCCACGTCGGCCTCGTCGATCGAATCGCCGCTTTTGAAGGTCTTATCGATGACGGTGCCGCGAAGGAGGTTCTTGAGCTTGCACTTGTACATCGCCTGACCCTTGCCGGGTTTGACGAAGTTGCACTCAACCATCAGGTAGGGGTCCCCATCCATCTGAACTTTGAGACCCTTGCGAAACTGGCTTGTATTGATACTGGGCATGGTCGTTGGCTTCGTAATGCGTCCTTGAAATAGTATGCTACGTGGTCTTCCGGCCGGGGTTGGTCGTGGAGGAACGAGTCGCGCTCACTATCACGCCAAGAACCTATGCACCCACAACCGATACTCGGCAAAACGCCCATTCTAGCCGCCCAAGGCGATTCTGTCGGTAGCGCCTGCCCAGATCTGCCCGACTCGTGGCAAATGGCGATGAAAAAAGCCGTTCGCGACCCGGGGGAGCTGTGCGAACTGCTGTCACTTTCGGGCAATCTGGTCCCGGAGGCCCGTCGCGCGGCCGAGCAATTCGGGCTGTTCGTGCCCCGCGAGTACCTTCAACGGATGACCGTCGGCGATCCCGGCGACCCTTTGTTTCGTCAGGTTTTGCCCCTGGGGGTGGAACTCGACGAGACCCCGGGCTTTACCGCCGACCCCTTGGAAGAATACGAGGCTACTCTCAGCCCGGGGTTGCTGCAGAAATATCACGGTCGGGCCCTGCTGGTCACCACAGGGGCCTGTGCGATCCACTGCCGGTACTGCTTCCGACGGCACTTCCCGTACAGCACTGCACCCCGCTCGACCGCGGCGTGGCAGCCGGCGCTCGAGTGTCTAGCGGCCGACCCCTCGCTCCACGAGGTGATCCTGAGCGGTGGCGACCCGCTCACGCTTGTCGATCGACTGCTGAGTCAGTTAGTCGATGAGCTGCAGCAGATCCCCCATCTGCGCCGGCTGCGAATTCATACCCGGCTACCGATTGTCATTCCGCAGCGAGTTAACGACGAGCTACTGGCTTGGCTTCAGGGGACGCGCCTCACCCCGGTAGTCGTTGTGCATGCGAATCACCCACAGGAGATCGATGCCGAGGTTGCGGCATCTCTGGGTCGCTTGGTCGATTCAGGCATTCCGGTGTTGAATCAGGCCGTGTTGCTGGCCGGGGTGAATGACGATGCCGACGTGTTGGCGGGGCTTTGTGAGCGGCTCGTGAACCTGAGGGTGATGCCTTATTACTTGCACCTGCTCGACCGTGTCTCTAGCACGGCTCACTTCGAAGTGCCGGAGGCCCGCGGTCGGCGACTGATCAAAGAACTTTCGGCCCGCCTTCCCGGGTATGCCGTTCCTCGCCTCACCCGCGAGACTCCCGGTGAGGCGAGCAAGACCGTGCTGATGTGAACGCACGAGCTGTGCTCAAGTCGTGTCTGATTTGAGCGGTGTGTGCGGTTAAGCGCGCACTGGCTCTGCCTTGCCCGTCGATTGCCCTATTTTCCTCGGTATTTGCTTGATTCTGGCAGGGCATCGACTGCGGCACCGGGTTTGCTCTCTGGAAAGATAGTGAATGTTGCGGTTCGAGTTGTTGCGGCCGCAGTGGGGAAGATATAAGAGGCCTATCGCTGGGGTTGCAGCCCGGCAACTGTACTGAGAAGGATCGACGTACAAGGAGGTTGCCATGAAAGTGCTCATTGGAATCGACGGTTCGACTGGCTCGCAGGTGGCCCTGCAACAAGCGGCCGCCTTGCTCTCACCCCAGCAGGACGAAGTTTGCCTGTATTACTCTGCCCCCACCGTTCGTTTGGGGAGCCCTGGATCTGATGCCGCCATGCGAGATCGGGCTCGAGAAGCTTTGGCCGAGGCGGTCTTCTCTGACGCTCGCAAGCAACTTCCTGCGGCGTTGGGCGAACGGGTGACCACGATCGTCGGCCAGCAGAATCCGGCTCATGGACTGTTGGTCGCCGCTGACGAGTGGAGGGCCAACCTCATCGTGATCGGTGCCCGAGGGCTTGGACGCCTGCAGCGGCTGCTGTTGGGTTCGGTTTCGAGAAAGGTGGCCGAGGAAGCCACGATCCCGGTGTTGGTCGCTCGTGGTGCTCCGGCCGAGTCGACCGACTCGCCGCAACGGGTTCTGCTGTGCTGCGACGGTTCGGAGACAAGCCAGCATGCGGCCGACTTCCTCGAGAAGTTCGATTTCCCTGCCGGATCGACGGGACAGGTCGTCACGGTGGTCGAGTCAGTCTTCGCCGGCGAGGTTCCCGAGTGGCTGGAGGAGCAAGCCCGCGAGTCGGATGAAGAGGCGATGGCCCATGTTTGGGCTGAAGAACACGAGAAGCAGCGAGAAGTGAAAGAGACCCTGATGGTCGACTACTGCGAACATCTTCCGCCGATGTTTCACGATAGCAAGCCACTTGTGGTCGAAGGGCTGCCTGCCGAGCAGATTCTGGCGAGCATCCGCCGGGAGCAGATCTCGCTGGTGGTGGTGGGTGCGCGAGGGCTTTCGCGGTGGGCCCGGTTGATGGTGGGGAGCACATCGGAGAAATTACTGGCACACGCACCTTGTTCGGTGCTTGTCGTGCGACAGCACGAGCATCCGTAATCTTCTCGGGCGGTCGCAGAACGACTCCACCCGGCTCAACTTCTCCGGAAAGCCATCTCGGTGCAGTATTCGTCTAAACTCGCTCACGAACATACGCCGAAGGCCATTCGTGCCCGACTGGCCGCCGCGACTGAGCATAGCTACCTTCGCGACTTTGTTTATGGGGCGATGGACGGGGCGGTTACCACGTTCGCCGTAGTCTCGGGCACCGCCGGCGCGGCTTTGTCGCCGACCATCGCCATCATTCTTGGCATGGCCAATCTGCTGGCCGACGGGTTCAGCATGGCTGTGGGGAATTACCTCAGCACAAAGACCGAGCGGGAAGTGGTCGAACGGGCCCGCCGGATGGAAGAGTCGCACATCGATCAGATTCCCGAAGGTGAACGGGAAGAGATTCGGCAGATCTTCGCCGGCAAAGGATTCGAAGGCGAGATGCTCGAGCAGATCGTCGAAGTGATTACCCACGACCGTCGGCAATGGGTCGACACGATGATCACCGAAGAGCATGGTCTTAGGCTCGATACCCCTTCGCCGGTTCGAGCCGCATTGGTTACCTTTGGAGCGTTCTGCTTGGCGGGCTTTGTTCCTCTGATTCCTTTTCTGTTTATCGACTCCCAAGATACGAACCAGTTATTCGTCGCCAGCTCTGTGGCTACCGGAGTGACGTTCTTCTGCATCGGCTGGGTAAAGGGGCATGTGCTGCTCCGCAGTCGGGTCCGCTCGGCAGGAGAAACATTGTTGGTGGGGATCGTTGCTGCCGCATTGGCTTATGGGGTGGGAGCCTGGCTGCACGGTATCATGGACTGAATCGCACCATGAAACGACTGGCCTGGCTCACCGACATTCACCTCAATTGGCTCACGGTCGATCAGACCACCGAGTTCTTTGAGCAGTTGGCCGCCGTGGAGGCCAACGCCCTGTTGCTCAGCGGCGACATTTCCGAAGCCCCCGAACTCACGCGACACTTGCGGCTGCTGGCCGAATGTTCGCCCCGGCCGGTTTACTTCGTGCTGGGGAATCACGACTTCTACTTCAGTTCGATCCGCGAAGTACGCGAAGTGACGCGGCATCTTTCTGCGGAGATCGACAACTTGCATTGGTTGACCGATCGAACCGTTGAAGCTTTATCAGATAAGACGGGCATCGTGGGGCACGACGGTTGGGCCGATGCTCGACTGGGCGACTATGTGCGCTCGTTCGTCTCGATGAACGACTCCCGGCTGATCGATGAATTCGTAGGGTTGAACAAAGAACAGCGACTCGACGTGTTGCACGCACTGGGTGATGAAGCCGCTCGGCATTTCACCAAGGTGCTGCCAGAAGCATTGAACCGGTTCTCGCACGTGCTGCTGCTTACGCATGTGCCGCCATACCGTGAGGCTTGCTGGTACGACGGTCACATTTCCAACGACGAGTGGCTACCGCACTTCAGTTGCCGGGCTGTGGGCGATGTGTTGGTTTCGATCATGGCTCAGCATCCCGACAAGCGGCTGACGGTTCTCTGTGGTCATACGCATGGCGAGGGTGAATGCTTGCCGCTGCCCAATCTCCGCGTGTTAACCGGCGGGGCCGAGTACGGACACCCGGCCGTGCAGCAGGTGTTGGAAGTGGAATAGGCCGAGGGGTTTGTACGGCGAACCCAGGCGTTGGTTGGCGTGTCGTGGTCGGTGCGGATGCGATCCCTGCCCTCAAGACAAAGCCCTCGAGTCATGCGAGCACTTTTATTAACTGCCGGAATCGCCGGCATCCTCACGTTTCTGGCCACGGGGGCGTACATGCGGATGTCGGAGCCGGGCATGGAGCAGCGACCACCCGAGACGCGGATGCTTTACCGTTCCCGGCACATCTACATTCTGTTGGCCTCATCCGTTTGCCTGGTGGCGGGGATTCATTACCGTGCGGCCTCGGGCATGCTGCGGTTCGGCCTGCAGAGCTTGGGGCTCCTGCTGTGCGTTGCGGCGATCGCGCTGTTACTGGCGGCGTTTGTTATTGAACCCCGAGGGACGGTCGAAGAAGTGAACTTCGGCCGGCTGGGTGCGTTTGCCGTCTTCGGTGGGACAGTATTGCAGTTGGTAACGCTCGCCCGCTTGCCAGGGCGGGGTGTTGCGTTGGCCGAGTGAGCCAGTTAATTGCTCTGCAACTCTTTCGCCTGTCGGTGCACTTCGTCGACGATTAGCTTTTCGACTTCGGGTGCCCAGGCTGTGGGGAGTCCGTAGTAGACCATGGCCCCGCCGCCTTCGTAGCCGCCTTCGGTCAGGACTCTTCGCGAGGGGATGTAGGCCATGACGTCGTTGGAGTAGCCGGCGATCCAGGTGGTTTGTTCGCCTAGTTCGGTCTTTAGCCGCAGGGCGTAGTCAACCACCACCTCGCCGCCGAGGGTGATCCACAGCAGGCTGTCGCCCAACTGCCAAACCTGCACGGGGTACGGATAGGTCTGCGAGAGTGGTGTCCCGCCGTCGATCTGTTCGAGCAGGATTGTCGCCCGACTGGCTTCGTAGCGGTTGTCGGAGCCGGATTGCCGCTCCAACTCTGCACGGCTGGGCAGGCGATCGAAGGGCAGGTCGATCAATGCGTAGCTGGTTTCAAGCTCTGCCGCGACCGGTTGCATGTCGTTTTCGAGTACGGCATCGACGGCTTTGGCCAACCGCTGTCCGTATTGTTCGGCCAGTTCCACGGTGCGGCGAGGTAAGGGATTTTGATCGGCTCCGCAGCCGGCCCAGAACAGGGCGAACGCATCGGGGTGAGCGGCTTCGAGTTCGATTTGGGCGAAGCCCGGGTAGTCGCCCGACCACTGGTAGAACGAAAGCGTGGTGGAGTGACAGGCGTACCCAAACAGCACGGCCTTCAATGCTCCGGCCTCATCACGAACGGCCAGCACCGGCACGTCGTGATCGGAGGGGCCGACGATTTTACCCTCTTCTCGCAAGCGAGGTACATCGTTCTCGGGGTTGTTGCGCCGGTTCACGGCGAACGTCGCCTGACCGATTCCGGTGGTGAGTTCCGCGGGAGCGAGCGACTCTAGGGCACTTCCCACGGCATCGCTGATCAACTCCGGCAGCTTGGCCGCATAGTCGTCGACGATCTGCTGTTGCGAACTATCGAGGAAGTACATCGCCGCCAGGTTGCCTCCTACGACGGGACCCGTGTGCGTGTGCGAAGTGCAGAGGGCGACCTGATCGCGGGAGAGGCCATGTTTGTCGGCCAGGGTTTGGCAAACCTTCTCGGAAAGCTGCCGGTCGATTCCCACCAGGTCGAGCGTGACGATTGCGCCGCGGTTTCCTTGGGCGTCTTCCAGCACCAGGGCTTTAGCCCACAGGTCGTGCAGTTTGCCCTCGGCAGCATGATCGCGAGAAGCATATCCCGACATCCACATACCGGTGGGCGGCGTGATGTTTGCTTTCCCCGCCCCGGCTTTCCAACCTGCGGCCACTGCGATTCCGGTGTTGCAGACTGCGGCGAGTACGAAGCTGGCCACCAAGAGCGTTGCTGTCCGTTTCATCTGCCACGATTCTCCAGGGGTTTGGTGGTTGCTGTGTTAATGTTGGTCTGCGGGACAGTCCGTCTACTCCAAAGCGTTGATGTAGGCGATCAAGTCGGCCAGGGCTTGTTGATCGATCTGCTTCTCCATTCCCTCGGGCATGATCGACAGGCCGGTGCTGCGGAGTTCGTCGATGTCCACCCGGAGCACGGTGTCCGAAGCCCCTTCGGCCCGGGTGAGCGTTACGCTGTTGGCTGTTTCGCCTGTGAGCATACCGCTGAGCGAGCGGCCGTCTTCAGTGAGCACGACGTAGTTGGCGTACTGAGGATTCACTTCGCGGTTGGGGTCAAGCACGTTGAGCAGAACGAACTCCGGCCCACGATTCTTGATGGTGGCCAGGTTGGGGCCCAATTCATGTCCCACGTTTTCGGCCTTGTGACAGGCCGCGCAGATCTTGCGGAACACCTGGCGGCCCGATTCGACATTGCCGGAGAGCGACAGGGCAGGGCGGTAGGCTTCGACCACATCGCCACGTCGGGCCACGTTCACTTCGGCCAGAAGCGAAAGGCTCCGCTCGCGGATTGCCTTGTTCGCGTGTTCGCGAAGCTGCTGCACCCGCGCGGGTTCCAGGTCGACTGGGAGGATGTCGCCGGAGTCCAAGGCGTCGAGCAACTGCTCGATCCAGACGGTTCGCGCGAACAACACTTCAGAGGCTTCCACCCGTAGGCGAGGACTGAACCCTGGCCAGGCTTCGATCAGCAACTCGGCAACTTCGGCGTCGCGAAACTTGGCGAGCGTGGAGAGTGCTGCGAGTTGCACTTGTTGCGGTTGGCGATTGTCGAGCAGTTCGGCCAGCAGATCACGTGCTTCATCTAGCGGGGCGAGTGACAATGTGGCCACGGCCGCTGCTCGTTCGGCAGGGTTTTTCGATTCGTCTTCCGCGGTCTTCTTGGCCCGTTTCAACACATCGGCCAAAAGTTCGCTGGCGCGGGAGTCGCTGTTGTCTGCCAACAGTTCCTGCACCGGCCGACCGCTGCGCGAGAGGCCTTCGCTCAGCCCCTCCACCATCGCGGGGGCCAGACGATCGTCATCGTCGGGCAAGGTTTTCAAGGCCGCGAATAACGCAGCGATGTCTTCCGACTGGCTGGTCAAGCCGATCTGGGTGGCGAGCGAACTTAGGACTTCGGTCGCGCCTGGGGAAGTGCAGAAGTTCTCACTTTCAACCAACTCCGAGAGAACATTCCCGGTGCCTGAGGAGAGCGAGCTGAGGACCGCCAGCCGCATCCATTTGCTGCCCGGGTCGTTGACTAACAGTGCGGCCAAGGCGGCATCTCGTTGGGGGCTTTCCATTTCGCCGAGGCTGAAGGCCAACTGATAACGCAAACGCTGATCGTCGGTGGCCACCATCGCCAGTAGGCGTTTTTGAATCGAGGGGGACGACGCGATGAAGGGTTCGCTGAGTCGAACCGCATGTTCTTGCACTCGCGGGCTGGCGTCGTTCAGGCCGGCTATAACGCTGGACTCGTCGAGGGCGTTCATGCCATCGAGTACGTACAGGGCTCGCATTCGGCCGAAGGGGGACTCTGAGGAAGTCACCATCTCTCGCAGCAGTGGGATGGCCGACTTGTCTTGCCGCTCGAAGAGCAGTCGGGCCGCCGTGTCACGATGCCAGCCGTTGGGGTGTGCCAACAGGGCGACCAGTTCGGCGGTGTCTGCCTGCGAGAGTTTGGGTGTGGGGCGATGCTGATACCCCTCGGGCACCACGCGGTAGATTCTGCCGCGATCGCGGCCGTTGGTGAGATCGAGATGTTTCTTGATCACCGGGTGCAGGCTGTCCGGGTGTTCGATCACTTCGCGGTAGACGTCCATCACGTACAGCCCGCCGTCGGGGGCGTTGGCAAACTGGGCCGGCCGGAACCAGATGTCACGCGAGGCCAAAAACTCTACGCCTTCCTCCGCGCGATTGGCGGTGAGTTCGATTCCATCGCCGGCGAGGGTCTTGCGGTGCACGATGTTGCTCCCCACATCGCCGACGAAGGCGTTTCCGTAGTATTCGTCGGGAAACGCATCGCCCCGATAGATCGTCACGCCGGTGGCACCTGTGAAGTAACCAGCCGCGCGACCTCCACCTTCGACGGGGCCGGGGACGATGGCCTGCTTGCGAAGCCGCGTGCGGACGATTCGCCACGGTTCGACGGGGCTGATGCGAAACACTTCCGCCTGGGGGCCATCGCTGGCGATGCTGCGGCGAGCACCGGGTGCGGCGAGGTAGGCGTTTCTGGCGAGGTAATGATCGTCGAACATCACTTGTTGGATGTGGTCGCTGTTCGATGAGGCAAACTTGCGTCCCCAATCGTCGAAACTCATTCCGTGCTGGGCGCCGCCGCTGGTGGCCTCGAGCTTGAGCGTGCGGGGATCGAAGGCGAAGTCGCGTCCGCGAAGATTGAGCTTGGGCGAGGCTTCTGTAGGTTGGGATTCGTTGCCCGAGTTGCCCCATAGTTCTGCGGGAGTGGCCAGCGTTTCAATTTCACCGCCCGCGGTGCTGGTTGCGCCGTGGATGCGGTTGTCGAGTCCGAAGTGGAAAGAGTTGAGCAACCCCTGAACGTTCGAGGTGCTGAAGCCGGTGAAGACTTTGATGCGTTCATCGGCCCGACCGTCTCCGTTGGTATCGCGGGCGAAGAAAATGTCTGGAGCATCGCCGACGAACACCCCGTCATCGAAGCAGGTGATGGCGGTTGGCCACGACAGTCCTTCGAGAAACGGCGTGCTCTTATCGAAGCGGCCGTCGTTGTCGGTGTCTTCCAGCAGGCTCACGCGGCTGAGTGCATCGTCGGGGTTTTCGGAATAACCCCGCATTTCGACGACGTACAAACGGCCATCGGCGTCGAATGCCATCGCCACCGGGTCGGCCACGAGCGGCTCAGCGGCTACCTGGTCGAGTCGGAACCCGGGCCGGAGTTCGAAACTTTCCAAGGCTGCTTCCGGTTCCAATGGGTCGATCCGCGGAAGTTCATCGGAATAGTCACGCTCGACCGAGTCGGCCGGTGCCTGTGCGGTCTCGGGTTCATCTGCTGCAACGCCAAACGCTAGGCACAACACAATCGCCGCCAGCGGCAGCGGGAAGAAACGCAGTGAAGACATGAACGATCTCTCGGAGGGATAATCGCGGGGCGGGAGATGCACGAGCCATGGCCGGTTGGGCGAGGACGGCAACCTGCCCTGATCGTAACTGGCAAGCACGGCTGGCTCAACTTTCGGGGGGTGTTCTGGCCTGTGGGTGGTGTCTGGGCCCGATGGTGGTTCCCTACAGAGGATTGCGTGGGGGGATGTCGTTCGGCAGGTGTTGGCCCTCATACCGTCGGGCGTGGGAGCGTGGTAGGATACGCGCGATCTTGAGAGTTCCAACTTGCAACGCGTCAGACGGAAGAGTGAATCACCCATGCGATATGCCATCTGTAACGAGACTTTCCTCGAATGGCCCTTTGAAAAGGCCTTTGCTTTCGCCCGGGAGTGTGGCTACGAGGGGATCGAAATCGCGCCGTTTACCATCGCGAACGATGCGCGGGATATCTCTTCGGCCAAGCGCGAGGAAGTACGCAAACAGGCTGAAGCGGCCGGGCTGGACGTGGTTGGGTTGCACTGGTTGCTGGCGAAGACCAAAGGCTACTATCTCACTAGCCCCGACGCTGCTGTGCGGCAGGCCACTAGTGAATACCTGTGCGAGTTGGCCCGGCTGTGCCGCGACGTGGGGGGCGAAGTACTCGTGTTGGGCTCGCCGCAACAGCGAAACTTGCTGCCGGGCGTGTCGATGGACGAGGCGATGAAGTATGCCGCCGATGTGTTACGCGGTGCCGTGCCGGTGCTGGAGGAAATGAACGTGGTTCTGGCGATTGAACCTTTGGGCCCCGCCGAAGGCGACTTTTTGAATGAGGCGGCCGACGGTGTGAAACTGATGGGCATGGTCGACTCGCCGCAGTGTCGACTGCACCTCGACTGCAAAGCCATGTCGAGCGAGCCACAGCCGATCCCCGATGTGATTCGGGCGAACGCTGCGCATATGCAGCACTTTCACGCCAACGATGCGAACAAGCTGGGGCCTGGCTTCGGCGAGATCGACTTCGTGCCGATCTTCGCTGCCTTGAAAGACGTCGATTACCAAGGTTGGGTTTCGGTCGAGGTGTTCGACTACACACCCGGCATTGAGCGGCTGGCCAAAGAGAGCATTGCTTATATGAAAGAATGCGTGGCCAAAGTGGAAGCCGGCGGTTAGTTCCTCGCCGCTACCGTGATGCCCCTTGCGTGCGGGGAATCGGCAGCCCTTGGGCGCCGAGGATTTCACGCATGATGGCCAACGCGAGTTCGGCGGTGGCATTGCTAGGATCGGCCTGCACGGCTGCGTCTGCTGCCGCGTAGGCTTCCAGTAAGTGGGCCGGATCTTGCTTGCCTTGGACGACGAGGGCGTAGGCCCGTTGAATGAGTTCGGCCGACTCTCGAAGATTGGGGTCGATGTCGTCGAGCAACGAGGGGGATTCTTGCTCCACCTGGCTGGCGGCATACATGCGCATGATGTTTTCGTTTGCGCTTTGCTCGAGATGCTGCCCATCGGCCTTGAACGTGGTGAACTCAATCAAGTTGTGATCCCACGTGGCGATTGGGCCGGCTCCAAGTACGGCGACCATCTGATCGCGCCCGGCGATGCGGAAGGAGAGGATTTGCTCGGGGCTTTCGATGTCGTAAACCTTGAGTGCGTGGGCCACACCGGCCTGGTCGAAGACTTCCTGGCTCATGTGAGGTCGCCCGGCCAGAGGTTGCTTGGAACCGACCATCAGCACATCGCGGTCGGGGAAGAAGAACACCTCGACTTCGGGGAACACATCGCAGAAGGATCGTAGGACGATCTCCATTTCTGTGGCGAGTGTGCTCACCGGCATCCACTGCACGAACAGCCCCTCGTCGGTGAGTCGGGCCAGGGCGTTCTCGTAGAAATCGCGACAGAGCAAGGCGGCATTGCCGGGGAAGCTGGGGTTCTGCTTGCCGTCGGAGATGATCAAGTCGTACGGTTCTTGATGACGCAGCAAAAAGTGCAAGGCGTCGTCGACGGAGACGTTTACCCGCGGGTCATCGAGCACTTCGCCTTCGGGGAAGTACTCGCCAGCGGCATCGACCACGGACTGGTTGATCTCCACGCAGTCGAGCGATTCGACCTGGTCGTACTTAGCTAGACCATCCAGCGTCGATGCGCTGCCCAGCCCGACGTTCAGTGTGCGGCGGATTCGATTATCGATGGCCATTGGCAGATGCGCTAGAATCTGCTGCTTGGTATACATCAAGGGAGAAAACTCTTCGGTCGCTCCGATGGTCGATCCGTCGATTGTCAGGGCTCTGGCCGCCGGCTTGATGGGGTCTTCGAGCACATGCACGGTAGCCATATCGCCTTCGACGCTGGAGATCACATCGGCCCGATCGTAGGCGCCTGCTTCGCCGCGCAACGGTAAGTGGCTTGGCAGTACCACCGCTAACAATATGGCCAGCGCCGAGAAGCCCCCGATGGCTAACCATGAGGGTGCAGTCTGTCGATCGCCGGTTGCACGTAGGTTTCGCCATCCCCATACGGTTAGCATTACGGCCAGCAGGAGGTTTGCGATGGCGACGAGTTTGGTTCCGTTGAGAGTTCCGAACCGCGGCAGTAGATAGGTGGCCGCGAGGATTGAACCACTGATGCTGCCGATGTTCGCCAGAAGGTAAGCCCAGCCCACGCGGCGTCCTAGAAGACGTACATCGCCCAGGTACAGCCGACTGGCCAACGGAAAGCTCAGGCCCATGAGCAAGGTGGCGGGGAAGATCAACACGCCGGCCAGCAGCGAATCGACGATCAATCGGGTGAGCCAGAATCGTTCGCGGTAGGTTTCGGAGAAGATGCTGACATTCTCACGCAGGGGGCCGAGCACGCTGCGGAGTGATTGAGGCGGATCGTCGATGATCCACAGCACGAACATGGCCAGCATGACCAGCGCTGCGATGGCCGCCTGGCTGATTGCCAAGTCGCTTTCGGCGCGACCACGCTTGGTGATGGGGCGCAGGAGCAACGAGCCGATTCCAAGGCCCAGCAAGAACACCACCAGAACTACCGTGAGGGCGTAGGTGCTGTTGCCGACCAGGTAGCGCAGCCCTCGGAACCACATGATTTCATAGGCCAACGTGGCGAATCCTGAAACGACCAGCACCACGGCCGAGAACAGTCGGGGGAGGTTCGTGGGGATGATTGTGGCTAGTGAAGCGGAGTCGTCTACGGCGGGCGCGACTGCAGATTTTTCACTGGAGCGGGGTGCCAACAGCAGGGCGGCGGCCCCGATGATGAGGTTGATGGCATTGGCGGTGGTCACCGTGCCGGTGAGTCCGGCCGACTCGACCATGACGATCCCGGCGAACACAGCCCCCATGGCGGCTCCCACGGTGTTGATGCCGTAGATCGCACCGAGGTGTCGATCGAGCGTGTTCACATTGCGGATCATCACCGTGCACAATGCCGGGAATGTGGCTCCCATGAGTGCGGCTGGCACGATGAGCAGTGCGAACACGAAGCCCAATCGCAGGACGGCCAGTGACATGCTGCTGTCTACGGTGGCTGCCGCATCGGCGAAGAGTTGCGGTAGACGATAGAAGGTCATCGTCAGTACCGCCGTGCTTAGGGCGATGCCGAGTTCGAGATACCCGTACAGAGAAAGTGGCGAAGGTCCTTTTCGCTGACCCTTGAAGCGCTCGCCCACAAAATGATAGGCCCAGGCCCCGATGCCCATGCCACCCATGAAGGCGGCCACCACGGTGCTGGCTGCCAGTGTGGTGCTGCCGAAGGTGAGGGCCAACATTTTGGCCCAGGCCACTTCGTACATGAGTGCGGCCGCCCCGGAGGCGAAGGCCATGGTGTAGATGAGCCCCGTGCCGACACTTTGGGCCGGCGCGGTTTCTTGGGCGGGTGAGATTTCGGCCGGAGCGGTGGTCATCGGGTCGCGGGTTCAGCCCCGGGGAAAGCGAGAAGGCAACTCAGGACGGATATCCCGCGGTGGGTTGTGCTCCGCGGATGAGTTGCACAAAACTCCATCGTATCTGCCACGATCGTGGCGAGCAATTCGCTCGTCCTGTGGACAGAACTCTCACCCCAAAAGCTGCAAACCTGGCCCACATTCAGATGGTTTCACGCCATTTGCTTACGGCGTGATCGCCCGAAAGAAATTTCGCACGGGCTGCCCGGCCACGTACACCTTCGAGGTATAAACAACCCCCGGGCTGTAGACCGTGGTGGGAGCGTAGTACGAGGTGACTGGCGTCGGTGCGTAGTACGTCGTTGTGGGTGCGTAATACGTTGTGGTCGGCGCGTAGTAGGTGGTCGTTGGGGTTGGTGCGTAGTAGGTCGTGGTTGTCGACGGTGCGTAGTATGTAGTCGTCGGTGCTGGTGCGTAGTACGTGGTGGTTGGCGTCGGTGCGTAGTAAGTCGTTGTGGGTGCGTAATAGGTGGTGGTTGGCGCGTAGTAGGTTGTTACGGGTGTCGAAGGAGCATAGTACGTCGTCACGGTTTCCGGGACATCGTAGACCACAACGCTTTGGGCATTCGCGGTGGACGTTGCGAGGAGAATCACGACTGCCAGAGTCGAGCCAACAAGCGTTCGGAGAATGTGCCGATTCATCACGATGTACCTCTTGAGAAGTCTGTATCGATCGTAAGGGGACGGCCAAAGGCGCAAACTTCACCATCCGCCACTCATGATAAGGAGCGCAACAGGGCGTGGGCAAGCATCTTCAGCCCGAAATTGCGGTACAACCCGGGCCGCTTTCACCTATAGATGTAAATATAGGTTATTCGCCCAGAGTTTGCTCATTACGCAGCATGTCTTCGACCGACTGGCGACGGCGAATCAGCCGGCACTGCTGATCGTCGATAAGTACTTCTGGCGGAAGGGGCTTCGAGTTGTAGTTCGAAGCCATCACGCTGGCGTAAGCTCCGGCACATTCAATGACGAGCAGATCCCCGACGTTGGCCTGGGGGAGCCGCCGTTTCTGAACAAAGCCGCCTTCGCTTTGGGTGAAGATATCACCCGACTCACACAGGGGGCCGCCCACGACCACGTCTTGCTCGGCACGGTCGGCCGAAGAGCCTGCGACCGGAGTGATTGAGATGGGGTGATACGCCCCATAGAGAATTGGTCGGGCCAGCGTATTGAAGCCGGCATCGAGCAGGTAGAACAGGTTGTCGCCCATCTGCTTGATGGCACAGATGCGGCAGATGAGATATCCGCTTTCGGCCACCACGAATCGGCCAGGTTCGATCTCGAGGTCGATCTTTCGGCCCAGTGTCTTCTCGATGCGCTTTCGCGAATCGTCCCACAGGCGGAAGTACTCGTCGATATCGATTTCCTGATCGCCCTCGGTGTAGCGAATTGGCAAACCGCCGCCGGCGCTGATGCTGTGCAGAGTATCGCCCACGCGGGGAGCGAGTTCTTCCATCGCCCCGCAGACGCGGGAGAGATGTTCAAAATCGGTGCCCGAGCCGATGTGCAAGTGCAGCCCGGCGACTTTCAGATCGTTTCGCCTGGCCAGTTCAACGCACTCGTCGAGCTGCTCGTGCCAGATGCCATGCTTCGATTGCTCGCCCCCGGTGTTGGTCTTCTGGCTGTGCCCGTGACCGAAGCCGGGGTTGATTCGCAGGGTGATCTCGCGGCCGCTGACCCGAGCGCCGAGCTGTTCGATCATGTCGGGCGAGCCGCAGTTGACGTGGATGTCGCGTTCGACGACGAGGTCGAGCGTTTCTTCGTCGAAGATGTCCGAGGTGTACGCAATCGGCGGTGGTGAACCCTGGGGCACGTAGCCTGCGGCCAGGGCACGATGGATTTCGCCGGCGCTGACCGAATCGACCAGGGCTCCTTCTTTACGCACCACTTCGAGAATCGAAAGGTTCGAACAGGCCTTCTGGGCGTAGCGAACGGTGTCGAAAGCCCGGAGGTCGGACAACCGCTTGCGGATGCTCGCCGCGTCGTAGACGTAAGCCGGGGTGCCGAACTCCCGGGCGAGTTGCTCGACGGGGATACCTGCGATTTCGGTGCGAAGCGTGGGATGCGAAGTGCCGGAGGTGGCCATGCAACTCTCTGGGGGGCTGGGTACGTGTGTGGGGTGGATGCTTTCTGAACCGTGCGGGGCTTATCGGCCCTCGCGCATTGGTCACCGTAGCATAGGTACGAGGGCTCGAACAGTCGGGGGAGTTCGCGCAAAAAAACACGGCGTCGATCGAAAGTTCGACCGACGCCGTGTGGCTAAATCAAACTACAGCATCCAAACACTGCGGCTTACAGACCGGGGATGCCCATCTGCGGAGCGGCGGTCATCACGGCGGTGCCCAAGGCGCCCAAGACACCCTGTTCGGCTTCGACGTGAATTTGAACGCCATTCTCGACCGGCTTCATCAGAATGTAGAGCCGATCATCTTCCTCGGGCACTTCGAGCGTGAGCGACGATAGCAGCGGATCGTCGCCGGCGTCGACTTCGGCCAGCAGGTTCAATAGCGGACCGAGGGCCATCACCATTTGGGCCGGGGGAACTTCCTTATCGGCCATTTCTTCCGAGGCATCGATGGCCTTGGTCAGGCGATCGACCCCGTCGGTGCCCACGGCCAGGTAGGCCGCATCTTTGGACATACCGAAGGTGAATTCGATGTCGGAACCGAAGAGGGTCTCGAGCATTTCGCCTTCAGCACCACCGAAGTAGGGCAGAATCAGCGTGTGGAAACGGACACCCTTGTGCTTACCGACGTCGAGCTGAACGCCGTAGAAGCCGGCTTCGGTTTCGGCCAGGTCGACCAGGTCTTCGAACAGGCGGGCCAGTTCGTCACCTTCGGCCACGGTGGTGCCAATGATGAGGTTGAAGGGTCCTTCGCCTTGCAGCGCCATGCCCCCGTCGATGCGACCGCTGTCCACGGTGGATTGGGCCACGTCGATGAACTCGCCAATCACCTCTTTGAGTTGGGCGGCGATTTGCTCATCGGGGATGGCGTCGAAGCCGTCGATTTGCTTCATCAGTTCGCTGCGAATCGACTCGACCAAGCCGGTGGCTTCGTCAATGTCTTCGCTGCTGAGGAACATGTTGACGTTGGCGGTCATGGCCGCTTCTTGATCGAAGAAGCCACCGAACTTGGTGCGGCCGCTTCCCATCTTGGCGTATTGCTCGGCGGTGGGGCTGCCTTCGACTGCGGTCACCGTGAAGTCGAGAACGCCCATTTCCTTTTCGCGATCGACCGTCATGCCGATGGTGACTTCGTCCAACTCGTCCATCGCTTCGGTGATCGAGGTGAGTTGATCCTTCATCATGCGGGTGCGCAACTCGTATTGAGCGTCACCTTCGTCGGGCAGGTGAGGCATGTTTTCGTCCATGCCCAGCTTGATTTGCTCGACGGCCAATTGACGGAAGATTTCCGGAATGTTCTGCACGTAGGCCTTCAGACCGAAGTTGTATTCCTTGTCCAGGTTGTTCAGCAGCTTGACGGGATCTTCAGGCAGGTTGTCGAAGCCGTCGATGCTCTGCGAGACGTAGGTCCAGTCGCCAACTTGCTTCATGTACAGCGAGATCGCACCCCCGGGAACCTCGACGCGATAGACACCTTCTTCTTCCTCAGCCGGCGGGTCGCCCAGGTTACCGATGACTTCGACGAACTTTTCCAGATCGGTGATCGGCAGGAAGCCGAGGATTTGGAACTGGAACCCGTCGGAGCTGACCACGCCGCCCCAGGGCTTCTCTTTGTCCAAAGGCAAACCCTGACCTTGCGTCATCAGGTTCAACAGCCCTTCGAGGCCCTGGCCCAGGTCGGGGTTGTTCGAGGCTTCACCGACATAGTCGATGTCGTCGATAACCTGCTGGTAGCTCTTGGCCCACAGAATCACTAGCGGTTGCATGGCGTCGTCTTGAGCAACGGCCGTTCGCGCGGTGGCGACGCTGGCGATTGCGACGGCGACTGCAGTCAGCAAAATCTTTCTCACGATGGTGTTCTCCTCGTCAACACGAGAGGCCGATGGCAACGAGCAACTTTCGACCCGGCGCGTGTAGCTCCGAATAATAAAGGTAAGAGAGGGAGGTTATACCCCCGAAATCGACGTATGGTTTTGCGATTTTCACCTTCTGGACCCCAGCCTGTCCAGCAGGTGATTTGCCGATTGGGCAGCTATGTTTACCGCTTTACATAGCTCAGAAGAGAGCCATTGGAGACCACCGCCAGACGTTCCGCAAGTGCTGCCGGAAAGAGTTTTCCCCACGTATCGGCCCGGGGTGATGGGAAGTTCCCTCGCGGCGGCGAGGTCTGGGTCCGGTGGCAACTTTTTCGCCCCATCCGTTCTACGCTGACGGTACAATCGAACGATTCCCGCCCCCCGGCGGTTCTGGAGGTAACAGAATCGTCGGCCCGCCTCATGGGAGTGCCGCTGGTTGGGCGGTAGAATCGAGACCGGTTGAGACGGCAACGCGTCTCCCCCCCCGGGCATTGCTGCGCCGGCGATTGGCTGTGTGGATAGAAGTTTGATCGAAGTCGAGGACCCCCGATGCAATTCATTGAAGGACGCGTTTGGCCTGCCGTGCTTACCCCGTTGGATGACAGTGGGGCACCCCGGCTCGATTCGCTCGAGAGGATGGTCGACATTTTCGCCGAACAGCAACTCGGCGGGCTGTACGTCTTGGGCTCCACAGGGCAGGGCATTCTGCTTTCGCTCGACGAGCGTCGGCAGGTGGCCGAACGCTGTGTGAAAGCCTCGGCGGGGCGGATCCCGGTGATGATCCACGTGGGGGCCGTCTCCACCAACGACGCCATCGCACTGGCAAAGCATGCAGCTGAAGTGGGGGCCGACGCCGTTTCGTCAGTACCACCGATCTACTACCCCAGCGGGTTCGACGGGGTGATTGAACACTATCGCCGCGTGGGCAGCGCCACCGATTTGCCGTTCTTCCCTTACCATGCCTCGTTTCTGGCTCAGACGCTGCCGCCGGCGAAAGAGTACGCCGAGCGTCTGATGGAACTGCCCAACATCGAAGGCATGAAGTTCACCGACCACAACATGTACGTGTTGGGCCTGCTGAATAACTACGCCACCGAAGGATTCAAAATCCTCAGCGGTGCCGACGAACTGATGTGCCAAGCCGCCGTGAGTGGGGCCAAGGGCGCGATTGGCAGCTTCTACAACGTGTTTGGAGCCCCGTGTCAGAAGGTGCGTGAGGCCTTCGTCGCGGGCGACGTGGCCCGCGGACGCCGCTTCATGTTGGCGTTCCAAAAGCTGATCGACACGATCCTCACCCGACGTGCCATGTGGGGATTCCAACGTGCGGCCATGCAGTTGAAGTACGACCTCGACATCGGCATGCCGCGGGCCCCGCTGGGTGCTTGCGAACAGCCGTGGTCGATGGACGAAGTCGAGCGGCTGGTCAACGAGTTCGAAGAAGCCGCCGGTTGATAGTTAGAACACACAGTCGCTCGCTGTTGTTTCAGCGACGCAGGACATCGCTTTCATTTCCCATAGCCAAAGGAACCCATCATGCAGACGCCCCTGGCTCGACGAACTTTCCTGGGACTTGCCGCCGCCGCGGGTGTTGCACCGCTGATGGGCCGAGTGCCTCGGCTTGCAGCGGACGAGGTGGACAGCGGCGAGGATCGCTTCGCCGGTTGGCCCGTGGGCGTGCAGAGCTACTCACTGCGGAAGTTCGATCTTCCCCAGGCACTGCGTCACATCCAGGGCTTAGGGCTCCACAACGTCGAGTTCTTCCCGGGTCACTTCAGCCCCAATGCGTCTCCGGAAGAGATCGCGCAGATGGCCGCCGTGTTGAAGAAGGCCGATCTTTCGATCAGCGCCCATGGTGTGAACAATTTCACGGCCGATAAGGAAGCGAATCGAAAGCTGTTCGAGTTCGCCAAGGCGGCCGGGATGCCGAACATTACGGCTAACCCTCAGCCCGACTCGTTCGATCACCTGGATGAACTTGTTGACGAGTTCAACATCCGCATCTGCATTCACAACCACGGGCCCGATGCACTCTACGACGGGCTCGATTCGGTGGCCAAAGCCGTTGAGGGGCGGCATGAATTGATCGGGGCCTGCGTCGATACGGGTCATGTGCTGCGAAGCAATGAAGACCCTGTGGTGTGGGTGAAAGAACTCGGGCCGCGTGTGTTTGCCATGCACCTCAAGGATGTGGCCGAGAAGCAGAAGCGGACCCACGATGTCGTGCTCGGTACGGCCTATCTCGATGTGCCCGCGCTGTTTGCCGCGATGAAGGCCGCCGGGTTCCCGGCCAACGGTTCTTTGTCGATCGAATACGAATCGAATCCCGACAACCCCGTCGACGATATCCGGCAATGTTTGGGCGTTATCGAGCAGGCGGCTCAAAAGACACCGCTGGGCTGAATTCGTTTGCGATCTGGCAAATAGACCCCCTACAATCACCGGGGTCGGTGCATCTGAGTTGGAAGATGCGCCCTGTGGCTATTTTCTCAAACGGCCCAGTCGTTGACCCCGGGTGGTGTCATGCTGCAGTTTCGTAGCCGATCGCAGGCGGCCCAACTGTGCGATGGCCTCACGCGTCGCGATATGCTGCACGTGGGGGCATTGAGCGCCCTGGGGTTGAGCCTGCCGCAACTGATGGGGTTGCGTGCGGCCACCGCGGCTCCCGAAGTGCAGACTGATGCGCTGCGTGTGCTGCCGGCCAAGGCGCAATCCTGCATCCTGGTCTATTTGTTCGGTGGGCCGAGCCAGCTCGATACCTTCGACATGAAACCGAAGGCTCCGGCCGAATGCCGGGGGCCGTTTCGACCCATCGCCACGAGTGTGCCGGGGCTGGAAGTCTGCGAACACTTCCCGCAGATTGCCCGGCAGATGGACAAGCTGACGGTCGTTCGCTCGATGCACCATCAACACCCACGGCACGGGTACGGTCTGTATTACCACTTCACAGGGCGACCTCATGCCCGACCCGATTTAGACGCCGCTCCCAGCCCTAGCGATTTCCCGGCGCTGGGTCCGTTGGTGAATTATCTGCGTCCGCCCAGGACCACATTCCCGCAGTCGATCACGTTGCCGCGATGGAATCGCTTTCTTGATCTGCCCGACCGCTACGCGGGAGAGACGGCCGGGTTCTTGGGCAAGAGCTACGATTCGTGGCTGATCGAGGGCGACAAAGACACCGGGCAGTTTCATGTGGCCGGCGTCGAACTTCCGGCCGGCATCACCCCGGGTCGACTCGCTGAGCGGCGTGCCCTGTTGCGGCATCTCGATCGGGGGTTGGCCGAGTTGGCCGATGACGATCGCCTGGCCCAGCGCGATACGCTGTATCAGCAGTCGTTCGAACTGATTGCTTCCCGCCGGGCCAGGGCAGCGCTCGATCTTTCGCAAGAGCCGCTGGCGGTTCGCGAGCAGTATGGTTCGGCCCCCTTTGGCCAAGGCTTGTTGTTGGCCCGGCGCCTAGTCGAGGCCGGCACGTCGCTCGTCACAGTCAACTGGCACGAAGACGGCAGCGACGTGAAGAGTCCGTTCTGGGACACTCATAAGGACAACTTCAACACGCTGAGCAAGCGGTTGATCCCACCGGTGGATCAGGGGCTTTCGACGTTGCTGGTCGACTTGGATCAGCGGGGGCTGTTGGACAGCACGCTAGTCGTGGTGCTGGGTGAGTTTGGTCGCACGCCGAAGATTGGTCGCGTGGTGATGAATGCGGCCACGGACGAAGCCGGCCGCGATCATTGGCCGTTCGCCTACAGCATTCTCATGGCCGGAGGTGGCGTGCGGCGCGGATACGTTCACGGGGCTTCCGACGAACGGGCTGCGTACGTAGTGGATGACCCGGTGTCGCCGCCCGACTTGGCGGCCACCATTTTGCATCTGCTGGGAGTGGACCTCGAGCAGATGATTATCGATCAACAAGGGCGCCCGCACCCGATCACGCTGGGTTCGCCAGTCGTGGGTGTGATGGCCTGACGATCTGCCTACGGAACGTAATTAACGTTCGCGGTAGGTGATCCGCCCCTTGGTGAGATCGTACGGCGAGAGTTCGACCCGGACACGATCGCCAGGGACGATACGAATGAAGTTTTTGCGCATTTTTCCCGCGACGTGGGCGATGATGTCATGGCCGCCGTCGATCGAGACGCGAAATCGCGTGTTGGCTAGAGCCTGGGTGACGACCCCCTCAACTTCGAGGGCCTCTTCTTTCTTCGCAGACACAAATTCCTCCTACAGCGGAACTAAGGGAAACAAGAAAAGCAGAACCATTGTAACCGAAATCACCGGTCTGCGTGAGGGAGATCGTCGCGGTGGGTTTTATTCCCCACTTTCAGGCACTCACCAGGGTTAGGTCCAAGCCGGGTAATTCGAACCTGGTGAGGGAACCCGGGGGAGGGCTGGACTCATTGTTTTTGAGGTTCGAACGGAAGCTTCCGCAGCTTCAAAAAGGTCTTCGCTACGATGCTTATTGCCATGTAGCGAGAAGCTTTTGCTTCCACGAGCTACGTTTTGATAGGCAGCCCTAAGTCTTCACGGTTGAACCATTTTGGGCTGCCAGCGTACGATTGGTAGGCACTTTCGTGCGCTGGGGCCTTGTGTCGGGCCCAATTGTGAAGATTCGCGTCAGTTTTCGGGGCTCACTCTTAGCGGTGGTGTGGAATGTCTGGTGATTCGGCAGCCGATACCTCTTCCGATCGTTCCACCGAGGACCTGGTCTCGCAATTGCTCCAGTTCACGGCCGATATCGTGGGCGACGAACTCGACGACAAAACGCGGGTCGAACTACTCGAGCAACTGCTGGGGCCCGGCGTGGCCCGTCGCTTGGGCATCTATAACCTGCCTGAGGGATTCCTCCTGTCGGTCGTAATCCCTGTGTTCAACGAGCGGAACACCCTGGCCGAGGTGATTCGCCGGGTTAGGGCCAGCAATGTGCCCTGCGAGATCATTCTGGTCGACGACGGAAGTACGGATGGCACCCGCGATCTGCTCGACTCTTGGAGAGAAGACGCGGACCTGAAGATCCTGATGCACGATGTGAACCAGGGAAAAGGTGCTGCGTTGCAGACGGGGTTCACCCATGCCACCGGCGATGTGGTTCTAGTGCAAGACGCCGATCTGGAGTACGACCCGGCGGAGTTCCGGAAGCTCATTCAGCCAATTGTCGAAGATCAGGCCGACGTGGTGTTTGGCAGCCGCTTCACCGGCGATAACCAACGGGTGCTGTACTTCTGGCACTACGTCGGCAATCGCATTCTGACGATGCTCTCCAACGGCTTCACCAACTTGAACCTCAGCGATATGGAAACCTGCTACAAGGTTTTCCGTCGCGAAATCATTCAGCAGATCGCGCCCACGCTGCGAGAAAAGCGTTTCGGCATCGAACCGGAGATTACGGCCAAGGTGGCCAGCGTGCCGGGGGTGCGGATCTATGAGCGGCCCATCACCTACTACGGGCGCACCTATGAGCAGGGCAAGAAGATCACTTGGCGCGATGGGTTTCGCGCGCTGTGGTGCATCGTGCGGTATCGCCGTGGGCTGAAGTCGTGACGCCGCGCGGCTTGGCTCGATCACGAAGGATCGAACAGCGTCGGCTCACGGTTTGGTGGAGAGATGGTTTCCGGCGAGGTGACCGTTTCCTGCAGTGAATCTTCAATGGGGATCACCACCGGCTGGCCGAATCGGTTCGGATACGGATTGGAACCGCACTTGGGCGGGTAGGTTTTCGTTCTCCACAGGTAGTCGAAGTCGGCCCGCCAGTTGTAGCCGCGTTCCGAGCCGCAGGTGCAGTCCTTGCCGCACTCCTTGCACGAGCCGTAGCGAACCAGCGTGCGGCAGTCGGAGTGCCGCTTCAGCCAATACAAGCAGCCTGGGGTATGATCGTGGTGATGCACTCCGGCGGTGATCACAACGGCTAGCAGTAGGGATGACACGGGGGATCTCCAGGCGGGGCAGCGGAGAATGAGGAGGGATTACAACTAGCATCGACCAGCAAGCCGGCTGGAATCGAGTATGAATCAGGCGGCTGTGGTTCCTCCGGTCAGAGAAGCTACGGTGCCAGCATGTCGAAGTCCGATAGCAAGACAATCCGCCGGGTAATTTGCTAGATCATACCTGCTTACCGGGTGCCACTGCTGGCTGGTCCAGCAGTGCTAGCTCAAGTCTGTCTTTCGTTGACGCCGTTCACTCCGACCGCGACTCCTCCATGCCAGCTCCGCCCAACGAAGATGCCGATCGTCGCGCGGAACTAGATCGGTCGGTTCGCGCCGGTGGGCGAGCGGTGGCTGCCGCCCAAGTGGCCAGCCAGCTAATCTCACTGGTTGTGCTGGCGGTGCTGCTGCGAATGTTGGGGCCAGAGCCATTCGGCCTGCTGGCCATGGTGCTGCCTTTGTTGTTGCTGGGCCGGACCTTCACGGCCTTCGGATTGAACGTGGCGGCCGTGCAGCGCGAGACGCTGAGTCGTGAGGAAGCGTCTTCGCTGTTGTGGTGGACGCTGGTGTTGGGGCTGCTGACGACGGTGCTGTTAGTCGCGTTGGCTGCCCCGGTGGCCTGGTTCTACGACCAACAGGAACTGAGTTCGCTCACCGCGGTGTTGGCCGCCACGGCGTTGGTGTTTGCGGTGGGCGTTCAACAACAGGCCCGGCTTGAGCGACATCTGCAGTTGGGCTCGTTGGCCTTTGCTCGCGTTGCCGCGCAGACCTTCGGTGGCGTTCTGGCGATTGGCTACGCTTGGATGGCTGGTGCAGAGAGCCACTACGGTGGTGTGTGGACCCTGGTCGTGCAGCAGTATGCCGAGCTAATTCTGTTGGCGATTGTTGCCTGGGGAATCGACCCTTGGCGGCCCTGTGCTCCAGGGCGAGGGGCCGCGGTGGGGGACATGTTCCACTTTGGCCGGCAGTACACTGCCAGCGGGCTATTCTTCACTCTGGGTCAACAACTCGACAAAGTGGTGATCGGCGTGTTGCTGGGCGATCGGGCCTTGGGGCTCTACTCTCAGGCTTTCAACATCATCATGAAGCCGGTGACACTCATTAGCACCGCCATCACGGGAGTGATGCTGCCGGCTTTGTCGCGGGCACGCGCCGATCACACCGTATTCGAAGAGCTGTTGCTGGCGTTCAATCGACTGGTGGCCATCGCCCTGCTTCCCGCGGGTGTGGGGTTGATGATTGTTGGGCCTGAAGTGATGACCGTTCTCGGCGGCGGCGAGTGGCAAGCGGCTGGCCCGTTGTTGGCGACACTGGCCGCGGTGGTGCTCGTGCAGGGGTTCATCAACATTGCTGGCAGTGCGTTTGCTTCAGTGGGGCAATCGCGGAGATTGATGTTCGGCGCCGCCGGCCTGACGTTGGGTTCGCTCCTGGGCCTGCTTGCAGCCTGGGCCGTGAGTTCGTCGATGGACGATCGCCTGTTAGGGGTAACCGCTGGGTACGTCTTCACGCTGGTTGTCGTGCTGTTCCCACCGTACCTGGTCTACTGCATGCGTTCGGTCGATGTCTCGCCAGGGCAGTGGCTACGCACCATTCGACGACCGGCCGTTGCGGCTGGCCTGATGGGCCTGATCGTGTTGGGCGCGAAGCTGCTTCTAATGTGGGCAACCAGTTTCGCAGATGCCGTAACACTGGGGGTGCTGATTCCGCTGGGGGCCATCGTCTACATCTGGCTGGCTCGTGAAGAGATTCGCTGGATCGTACAGCGATGGGGCCGCGATGCGTAGCCTGAGAATGTGGGCCATCGCATTTCGAAACCTACTTCGGGTGCTTATTCCGAGGCTGCCGGGATGACTAGTTTTGATCCCTGTTGAGTGTGCCTTCTCCCGGTGGGATAACGTTGCCTTTGGCATCCCATTCGACCCACTCTTTTACTTTGCGGCCTTCTTCCCACACCGATTCGGCCTTCTTCTTACCGCTGGGGTAGAAGATTTCCAGTGTGCCGTTGAGCTTGTCGTGCTCGTAGGGCTGAATTTCGTTGATCGTCCCATCTTCGTAATAGATGATCAGCGGGCCGTGCCGAACCATTCTTCCGCCTGGGCCGGGCCGCATGGTTTTCGCCTGTTTGATCTGTCCGTTGTCGTGACGGATTTCCTCAACGACCGATCCGTCGCCGCAGCCGACGAGCGAAACCGCCACAACGGCCAGAACGATGGCACAAGGAGCCAACAAGAACCAGAGACGGCGAGAAACCTGGTCGGCGGAAGATTCAAAAGACTCATGCATAACGAATCGAGACCGTGATCGCGAAAATGGAGAGCGAGAAAGGTAACACCTTCCATTATAAGGCGCGCCCTTCAAAGCAGACAACGAACTCAGGCGCTGGTGCTTACTACGCGGTGAAAATGCAGCCGCACTTCGCGGCTCACCACGCGGCGAACCCCCTCGACGAGGCAGCGTGGTTCGTTGTCTTGCTCGCCCAGCCGAATGATGTCTTCCAGCTTCATGCCGGGCGGCACCGTGAATGTAGACTGGTTGATGATTTGATTGCCTGCGTCGAGTTCGGGGATGATGAAATGGCAGGTCGCCCCATAGGTGAGCATGCGGCTGGCGAAGGCCGCATGATAGGGCCGTAAGCCGGGGAACGAGGGGAGCAGGCCATGATGCAGGTTGATGATTCGACCGCCGGCGTACTTCCAGCAACTGCTGGGCGGCAGGATTCGCATGTATCGGGCCAGCACGATGTAGTCGACGTCGTACTCGTCACAGATGTCAATCATACGGTCGTTGTCGGCCGACCCTCGCTCGTTGCCAATAAGGTGCCAATCGACATCGAACTGTTCGGCCAGCGAGCGGCAGTTGGGCCGGTTGCCGATCATCACCGCGGCTTCGGCATTGATTTGCCCGTCGCGAATCGCCCGTAGCACCGCCAGGGGTGTCTCGGTGCGATAGGTCGTGCAGATGGCCAGCCGGGGCCGTTTCGCTCGTTGTTCTGGCGACCAGACCCGAATGCTCAGCCCGGTGCGTTCGGCAATTTTCTCCATCTCGGCTTTGAGAGGATCGAACTCCCCGGCCGGCAGTTCTACACGCAGGAACATGGCAAACACCCGTTCCTCGTCGTGGTCGTACATCTGGATCTCAGAAATGTTGGCACCCAACCCGGTCACGTAGTGCACGATGGGGTCGGCCAAGCCACGATTGTCAGGGCCCAAGGCGGTGATCACAGTTTCCATGTTGAACTCAGGCCCTTGCTGTTCTTTCGAGGTTGGATGTTAGCGGGATAACCAACAATTGCGGATACGATATCTTGCGAGATTCAAACACCGTTTGCTGGGGCAAAAGGGGAAGAAACGACGACGACACAACGGCACAACGAAAGCTACTGCCAGGCATGCTCAGCCTGGCGGGCCGAGGTTTCTCTCGGTGTCTACGAATTCCGGTATTGGTTTCAAAGAGGCGAAAAACCTCTGCTGAAAATCCGTCGTGTCGTAGTGCCGTTGTGGTTCTATTCTACCTTAGAACTCAGCGAGAGAAGTTCCGCACCGAGGTAATCCTGAACCCAGCGTCCCGAAACAGCGACCATCAGTCGGCCCCGGACGATCATGCCGCATCGCGGTCGCCGGCTTCGCCCTCATCTGCGTCGCCCGGGAAATCCTCGTCGAGGCGCGGTCGTTCTCGGCGAGCAAATGAGATATGCGGAGCGGGCACCACCCCGACCGCTGCGTCGAACCGCAGTCGTCTGCCCGATTGTGTGGGTGCCGACTTGGACCGCTGGAATCGCCGCCATCGTCCGAGTTTCATTTCACTTGCTCCGCGTCGTGCAGGGGCGCTGGTGCCGCGTCCGGGCGGCACACTAAGCGGGCAGGATAGCCCGAAGCGGCGGTGGGCGGCAACGCGAGAATGCCGAAGCTTGGCGGCTCGTCGGTAGTCAATCTGGGCGCGGTTTGCTAATTTGGGGCTCCGGGCGGTTGGGTGCGAGCAAACCCTCCGCTGGCTAGTCACATGGAGACGCAAATCATGGCGCTACAAACCCCCAAGGTCCGACGGAAGGATCTCAAAAAAGGCGAATCGCTATGCGATTACTGCACGGCGAAGTGCTGTCACTATTTTGCATTGCCGATTGACGAGCCGACCACGCGCCAGGATTTCGACTACCTGCGATGGTACCTACTGCACGAGCACGCCACGGTGTTCACCGAAGACGACACCTGGTACCTGCTGGTGCACACCACCTGCAAGCACCTGCAACCTGACAAGCGGTGCGGCATTTACGAAACCCGTCCGCAGATTTGCCGCGACTATTCGACCGACGACTGTGAATACGACTCGACGTGGACCTACGATCGGTACTTCGAAACGCCCGAGCAGATTGCCGAGTACGCCGAAGTAATGGTACCGGCCAAGGGCAGTGACATTCGCAGTCCGCAACCGGCGCTGCTGCCGGTGGTGGGGTAAGGTGACCGCGTGATCCAACCGCGTACGCTTAAGGGGTTCCGCGACTTCCTTCCCGAAGCGATGATGCCGCGAGAGTGGATCATCGATACCGCCCGACGGGTGTTTCGCTCCTACGGGTTCAGCCCCATCGATACCCCGGCGCTTGAGTACCTGGAGATTCTGGCCGGCAAGGGTGGTACCGAGTCGGACAAGCAACTCTACCAATTCGAAGATCACGGCGGTCGCCAGGTCGGGATGCGGTTTGATCTAACGGTCCCGCTGGCCCGTTTCGCCGCGCAGCATATCCCCAAGCTGGGCACCCCGTTCAAGCGGTACCACATTGCCAGCGTGTGGCGGGGAGAGAACACGCAGCGGGGGCGGTACCGTGAGTTCATGCAGTGCGATTTCGATACGATCGGAACCACCAGCACCGCATCGGATATCGAAACCGTGTTGGTCATTCACGACTTGTTTCGTGCGCTGCGGCTTGAAGACTTTCGCGTGCACGTGAACAACCGCAAGGTGCTCACGGGCATGCTCGAGCGGATCGGGGTCGCCGAACAATCCGTGGCGATCCTGCGGGCGCTCGATAAACTGGCCAAGATTGGCTACGACAAGGTGGCCCAGGAGATGACCGAAACGGCTGGCATCACCTCGCAGCAAGCGGCCGACGTGTTGAAGCTGGCGGAGATCTCGGAGTCGTTCTCGCCTGCCGATGCGGAAGGTTCGAACCAGAAGATCCTCTCGGCGGTGGAGCCGCTGGTGAAGGGATCGGAGACTGGCGAAGCGGGGCTCGCGGCCTTGCGGCAACTGGTCGAAGCCACTGCCAAGGCGGGGATGCCGGCGGAGAATCTGCGGATCGATGTCTCGATCGCCCGCGGGTTGGATTACTATACCGCCACGGTATACGAAACGTTTTTGGGGCAATTGCCCGGCATCGGCAGTGTCTGCTCCGGCGGGCGATACGACAACCTAGCCGAACTGTACACCAAGCAACAGCTTCCCGGCGTGGGTGCTTCGTTGGGGCTCGATCGCCTGTTGGCCGCCATGGAAGAACTCAAGTTACTCCCACAGGCAGCGACCACGGCGCAGGTGTTCGTACCGTACTTCGACGAAGCCCGCCTGGGCGACTACCTGTGGCTAGCCGCCCAGTTGCGGGGAGAAATGTTCTGCGACGCCACGAGCCAAGTGCCCGAGGAAGTGGCCGCGGGGATCGCCGCCAGCCCGATCAATGTCGAGGTTTTTCCTGAACCCAAACGCTTGGGCCAGCAACTGAAGTACGCTGACCGGCAAGGTTTTCGTGTGGCGCTCATCGCGGGCAGCCAGGAACTCGATAATCGTGAATGCCAAGTGAAAGACCTGGCCACCGGTGGGAGCAGCGTGGTCTCGCTCGACGACAAGGCCCAACTCGTGGCCACCGTGCGGCAGGTGCTGGAAGCGGCCCCCAGCGAGAAGAAGGCGTAGGCCGTTCTGGTTCGCAGACTCACCCGGTAGGAATTGGCGTTTTTCTGTGGAATCTGTTCCAATTCGTGTACGCTTTAAGGGCGGATGAAGACATTCGTCTGCAATTCGTTCTCGCCGACACGAAAAGTTTGGGGGCAGTTCTGATGGCCAAGCGAGACAACCATTACGAGGCGGCCTTCGAGGCTTATCTTCGTCAGCGGGGTGTGGCCTATGTGGCGGTGGACGAGGCCAAGCGGTCGACGATGGGCTACGCCTCGCTGAAGAACGTCGATTTCATCCTGAGTGGGAACGACGGTCGCAACTGGCTGGTCGATGTGAAAGGCCGCCGCTTTCCCGCCGGCGGGCAGAGCAAGCAGTATTGGCGGAACTGGTCGACGCAAGACGACGTGGACAGCCTGGCCCAATGGGAACGGGCGTTCGGCGAGCGGTTTGCCTCGCTGCTGGTGTTCGCCTACGACGTGGTTGGCGATCGCGCCCCGTTGCCGCAGGATCAACTGTTCGAATTTCGGGGGCACCTCTACGGGTTCGTGGCAATCCGTCTGCACGAGTACGTGCATTTCGCCCGAACGATTTCACCGAAGTGGGGCACGCTGGCGGTTCCCGTGCCTACGTTCCGCCAACTAGCCGCGTCGCTCGATCATTTCCTGGAATGCGGTGTCGATTCCACAGAACCGCAGGATGCGATTGCGACCGCCTGAACTCCGCCGGTCGCGCTTTGCGGTCGAGTGCCGCCGGTGTGACTACACTCGACCGCAAAGCGGTTTCTGGCAGATGGCTTTCGCCAAGAGCCGTTTCGTTGCTACTGCATGGGCGAGAAGTCGGTCGGGCTCATGAACACCGACTCGACTTTGCTGACCAGCTTTCCGTCGGCGGTCGACTCGGCGTAAACCTTCTGCCAGTCGGGGTCGCTCAAGAACCCTTTCCACGAGGCATCACGCGACTCGCGATCGGGGTAGGCCATCACGTAGATCAGCTTCTCCGGTTCACCTTCTTTAGGTTCCTGTACCCAGTAGGCCACGTTCGTCATGCCGTGTTTTTCGAACAGCTTGGTCGTGTGATCGCGAAACCGTGTCAGTAAGGCATCGAGCTTCCCATCGTTGGTGGTGTAAGTGCGCAGTTCGAAGAACCGCGAGTCGGCCTTGGCCTTTTCGGCCGCCACGGATGGGGTTCGCATCGCGGTCAAGAAAGCTACGGATGCAATCGTTGCGATGAGAGCAATCGCCGTGAGACGACGAGTGATGGTCGGGCGGTTCAGCATGGTGTTTCTCCTTCCAGGTGCGTTCTTAAAAACTCGCTACTACGATACACGAAAATTAGGGTGAGGGCGTCAACGGCCCAACTGCGACTGCACGGCTGCCAGGTTGGCCTCTGCCTCACGAAACCCGGGCCGAAGTTCGATCGCTTGTGCGAACTCATCCCGGGCGGCTTCCCACTGCTGCTGTTGGAAGTAGATGGCCCCCAGACTATTGTGCAATTCGGCACTGTTGGGCAACCGCTGCAACGCCTGCTGGTAGTGCTCAACGGCCGCGTCAAGATTGCCCTCGGCGACCAACGCCAGACCGAGATTATTCTGGGCGTTCGCCAACGTCGGGTCCAGTTCGACGGCCTGGCGATATTCACGCAGGGCCACTTTCTGATCACCCGCCAGACGATACGCTTCGCCCAGGTTGTTGTGCGTGGCGGCCGAATCTTCCCGGATGGTCAGCGCCGCCTGAAATGCCGCCACGGCCTTGTCGAATCGACCCTGCCGGGTGTAGGCCAGGCCCAGCCCGTTGTACGCGGCCAGGTAGCGGGGCTCGATGTCGATCGCCTGCTGGAACGCCTCAGAGGCCAGAATCGGTTTGTTGTGCTTCAGCAGCGCGTGTCCCACTCGTTCATGCGCTGCAGGTAATTCGGGGGCCAAATGGACGGCTGTCTGAAAGTCTTGCAGGGCGAGAGTCGATTGTCCCTGCCGCTCGCGCACCTCGCCACGCACCATATGCAGCAGATAACTCTTGGGATTCACCTGCAATCCATGTTCGGCCAACCGCAGACTGTCGTGCCACACGCGAGCTTGCTGAAAACTTAGGGCGGCCAGAAAGACGAGGCCGGCGATGACGATCCGCCGCGGAGTTCGGCTGGGGGTGCTCGCCAGCCACCACGCCACAGCCAAGGCTGGTCCGAGCATTGCCAGGTACACGTAGCGGTCGGCCACCGTGGATGTCTGTTGATAGCCAAACGGCAGCAGGCCCAGCACGGGGGCCAGCCCCGCCAGGAAGATGGAGAAGGCCGTCCACCACGGTCTTTCCGCCCGGCCCCACCACAGGGCGACCGCGATGCCCGCTGGCAGCACCCACGTGTAATAGAGCCAGCCGTGCTCGACGACTCGCGCCGGCGAACGACCGTAGTCGAGTGTCAGCCCTAGCGGCAGCAACAGTTTGTAACCGTAGAACGCGATTGCATCGGTGGCGATGAGCGGTCGCTGCCAGGCAGCGGAAAGCCCTTGGATATCGCTGTCGGTCTGAATCGATTTCGCCACCCCGGCGGCGACCACTACGAGGGCGAACCACAAACCCAGCCCCGCCCAGCCACTGCGGAGCGGACGCCCCAGCCAGCCGAACCGCAAACAGGCCGCCACCAATGGAACGGCCGCGGCCGTCGGTTTGCAGAGCAGTGCGGCGATCAGGGCCAGCGTGGCGATCACGTAATGAACTCGGTTAGATCCGCCCTGCTGAGCAGGGCTTTCGTTTTGACAATAGATCGTGTATTGCCATAAGGCCAGCAGAGAGAACGCGGTGGCCAGCAGCCCTGGGGTGATCGAGACCCAGGCGACGCTCTCAACCTGTAATGGATGCAGGGCGAACAGCAGAGCCCCGGCTACGGCCGCCCAGCGGTTCCGCACCAGGCGGGCCAGCAGGAGATATACCAGGCAGCAACACACCACGTGTAGCAGCAGGCTGCCGGTGTGAAACACGGCTGGACTAACTTGCGGCAGCCCGTCCCGCGCGGTGTTGTTCAGCGCCAGCTGGGCTTCGCCGGCGAAGAACGTATACGCCAGCGGTATATAAAGCCCTCGGTAGGGATTACTCCAGAACCATGCGACCCCTTCCAGAGAAGGTGGTAGCAGGTGACGGTTCCCAGCCACGTGCACCGCATCGTCGCAATCGACGAACTCGAACGTTGTGACCGGGGCGAAGACGACCAGTGTTACCAACGCCACCACGGCCAAAGGGCCGGCATGGCCGCCGGAATGGTCGTCGTTCGGTTGAGGCTGCGGGTCGTCCACAATGGCGGGCAAGAATGCGAGCGAAGGGGAATCAGAACTGTTCGCACTGTACCATGCCCACGACTTAAGTCGAACTATTGCCCGAGCAGAGCCTGTCTCAGGGCCGAAGGCCACTGCAAGTCTCGGTGCGTTTCCAACCATTTTGAGGTCGTGGGCATCACATCGCCCCTCTCGCGCCAGGTGAGATTGCTCAGCGAGTTGGTTAAACGCAGGATTTCGTCGAACTCAACCGGGCAGGCTGCGGTGTGTACTTCACCTTCCCCGTCGATGAAGATAACTAAAGGCTTGATTCCCAGTTTGACCGGTTCACCATCGACAAATAGTGTGGTGCGTGTGTACTTGGGAAAGGCTAGGTAATCGCGGCGCGTTAGCTGGATGTCCTCAAAAGACCGCTGCGAGATAAGTAGGTGCGAGTAAGCTGTATCGGCGAGCCCGACTTCGACAAAGCCACCTTTGGAATCGGTCCACGACGAGACCAGCGTTTCCGGCGTTGAAGATCGCACCAGGTTGACGCAGGCAGCAAACACCGCGGCCACAATCGCCACCAGCACCAACAGTTTTCGCACCGTGAGTCGGTGCTTCAGTGGATCCAAACTCGCCAGCAGTATCGCATCGCGTTGCAGGTCTGCGGAGAGGGTCATGGCGCGTCTTCCGAAGGAGATGTGCTCGTGCTCGCTGGCGTGATGTCTAAGAGACCCTTTCCCATCCAAGACGGTTTGTCGATAAGTTTCATGCGGATTTCGGGACGCCAGGCTCGGTTGCGGTGTGACTGCAGGAATTCCTCGGCTACGGCGATGGAGTCTTTCCATCCGAGGTTCGGATCGGCGGGAGCCGCTTCCAATGCGTTAATGAACTCCTGGAACTCTACGCGACTTACAGGACAGTTCCCGGTGCGAATCTTGCCCTGTTTGTCGACGAGAATAATTGTGGGAGTAGGCCCCAGCGGAATGTACCGTGCCTCAACGCTTCCGAAGACGCCGAGGAATTCTCGTGTGTAGCCAAAGCGTGTGACCCAAGAACTAAGGGTGTACACCCTATGGTGCGGCAGCTTGGAGATCAGAAGATAGGTGAAAGCTTCGTCGCTTAATCCGAATTGAACGTATCCACCGCTCGAACTCGGCCATCGAACTGGCTTGGTCGGAGGAGTTTCGTACAGCGAGAGTGCTTTCCAAATTCCTAGTGCCGCGGCCACGATTGCAGTACTCACGAGGAGCCCGCGAATCGAGAAGCGGAAGTCACTTCGACTTAGAGTAGCACTGCTCATTCAAATCGTCGCTTTTCTGTCGAGGAACGCGATGATCCCAACCTGAGCGAATCAGACGCGATGGCTGATGGCGCCGGTTCGGCTCAATATAGACAATCGGGCGGCCAGAACCACAATCGAAGGGCGGTTTGACTCGTCAACGGCGATTAGCGACAACGATGCCACAAGCTGTGTTTTCACCCATCTATAAAGATTTACGAATTATGCCCTCACATTCTCAAGCCGCCGTGTTTCACGGTGGGAATCAGCCTTTGGAATTGCGAGAGATTGCGCTCCCGACGCTTGCGGCCGGCGAGGTGTTGGTCGACGTGGAGTGCTGCACGCTGTGTGGTAGCGATCTGCATACGTTCAGTGGCCGCCGCGAAACGCCGGTTCCGACCATCTTGGGGCACGAAATCATGGGCCATGTGGCCGAGTTGCCCTCGGGCGACGAGTTGCGTGACGCCCGGGGCGAACCGCTGCGGGTGGGCGATCGCATCACCTGGTCGGTGGCGGCTAACTGTGGTGACTGTTTCTTCTGTACTCACGGGTTGCCGCAAAAGTGCGAGCGGCTGTTCAAGTACGGGCACGAACGCATCGACGGCCCCCATCCGCTCAGTGGCGGGCTCGCTGCTCATTGCCACCTGAGCCGAGGCACGAGCATCTACAAAGTCGATCCCGCGCTTCCCCGCGAAGTGGCGGCTCCGGCCAGTTGCGCCACGGCCACGGTGGCCTGTGCATTACGGGCGGCCGGCGATCTCAGCGACGCGGTGGTCGTAGTGCAGGGAGCTGGCACGCTGGGGCTGACGGCTTGCGCGATGTTGCGACATCAGGGTGCCCGCGAAGTATTGCTGTGCGATGTTGACCAGCAGCGACTGGCCCGGGGGGCTGATTTCGGGGCCACGCAAACGGTGCTTGTTGGCGATGACCCAGAGGGTTTGCGGCGGCTGGTGCACGAGCGTTCGGCCGGCCGTGGCGCCGATGTGGCTTTGGAACTTTCCGGTTCTTCCGCGGCGGTCGAACAAGTGATTCCGCTGCTTCGCGTGGGCGGCGTGTATGTGTTGGTGGGGGCGGTGTTTCCCGGCCCCGCGGTCAGCATTGCCCCGGAACGCATCGTTCGTGGGTGCCTGTCGATTATCGGCGTGCACAACTACGCCCCTGTCGATTTGGGCACCGCGCTCGACTTTCTGGTCGCCTCGCAGGGAGAATATCCTTTCGCAGAACTGGTTGCGGCCAGCTACCCGTTGTCGCAGGCTCAGCAGGCGTTCGAGTTCGCACTCGAGCACGCGCCGCCCCGGGTGCTTGTCAGGCCGTAGCATTCGTGCCATACATGGCAGCGGAGCCCACTTCGAAACCACGTTAGGAGCATGACCGATGGCCGTCGACGCAACGCAAAAGAAACCACGAGTCGACACCGGCAAGGTCAAAGGGCGTCGCAAAGTTCGTTACGAAACGTTCGAAGATCTGGTGGCCGACGCCGAGCGACTCTCGCAGGGGGAGGTCACCTCGCTGGGTAACTGGTCGCTGGGGCAAACGCTGAAACACATCGGGGCCGCCATGCACGGCTCGATCGATGGACCGGCGTTCAATGTTCCTTGGTGGCTGAAAGCCGTGGGTCGCGTTTACCTGTGGCGAAAGCTGGTTTACGGACCGTTCCCGGCCGGGTTTATTCTGCCGCGTTCGACCCGGGAGAAGATCGTCTTCAAGGAAGACACCTCGTACGAAGATGGGATGGCCATGCTGCAAAGCGGTATCCAGCGGCTGCGAAGCGAACCGCAGCGAATCGTGCATCCGGTTACCGGCCTGCTCACTCGGGAGCAATGGGATCGGTTTCATCTTACCCACGCCGAGATGCACATGAGTTTTCTGCTGCCGGCAACCGACGCAGCAAAGAACGCTTAGCACTGCATCGCCAGCAAGCGTTGCATTTCAAGTGCGATGAGAAGCTGTAACGGTTAGGTTGCCACTACGCGAAGCAGTTCAAGCTTGAGTTTCCATTGCGTTTCGAACGGATGCACGACGCAAACGTGAAATCGTGGCGTTGCTAGCGTCGTACGTACAAAACTGTCTGACCTGCGGTCGGCATTGCGCCGGTTTTTCTTGAGAGTGCGATCACGGCGACGTTTACGTCAAAGCGACACGAGACTGCTTGACGTTTTCTTGTCCGAGGTCTTGCGATCTCTACGATTTGTTGCCGGGCGAAAAGAAAAGAAGTCGCTTCGCCAGCTCGGCAGTTTTGGAACGGATGCGTGTGAATCACGACAAGGAGGCAAACGAGTCATGAAGCGAACTACGTCAGCAACCGTTCGTCGTAGCTGCCAGCAACACGCAGGCGCGCTGCTGGTGCTGGCATTCGTCCTGGTCGCACCCGCCGTGGCCGCCGAACCCAAAGTGGCCTTCGACGTGAGTTATGCCGTCGAGTGCCGCGACGTGACGCTCGATGAGTTCTTCGTCACGAACCCCGATGAGAAGATCGTTGAAGCGACCTATCGCGTGTCGGTGCTCATGCTCTCCGGTCGCGAGGAGGACCTCGATGAGCTGATGTTCGTGGTGACCAGTCCCGCGCGCCGGCTGCGGGTGGTCGACTTCCTGCCGCGGACCGAGGTGACGACCGACATTGAAGGCCCGGTCGAAGTAACTGGCACTGTCGAAGATGCCAAATCGTTCGACATCTCCTTGGGTGGAAAAGCCTCCGGGGAATATGCGAACATCGAAGGCAGCCTGGCTCCTTCGGCCGGCGTCGGGCGAACGCATCGCGAGTTGGAAAACGAAACCTACAAGCGGCTGCCACCCAAACAGCTATTGCTGGCTTCGGGCACCATGGCTCGGGAGTACGGCGTGTTTTTCAAGTTGAAGCCATCGACGCAGGCCTCGTTCGAAGGGATGCGTGAGTTTGTTGTGCAGTATGTGGTGCCCCGGCATTGGTCGGGCGATTGGGCTGCGGTCGACTGCATCGCGAAGGCCACCACGAAGAGCTATTTCCGCGAGAAGCAGGTCGAAGTGGGGCGGCGCCGGGTGTATGTGGGGCTGTATCAACAAGGCGATGTGCAGGCGAAGGCAGCCGCCCGACGGTTGAGCGAATCGCAGCGCCAGATCGAAAGCAAGCTCAACGGCGGGCGGGACAATGACCCCGGGCTTTCGCTGAGCGGCGTCTATCATGTAGCCAAGCCGGTGCTTTCGCTCCCCGGCGAGGTGCCTGGCCTGTCGCTGCTGTGCGGCGAGAAGGACAGCCCGCAGGCCTCGGCCATCACGCAAAGGACGTTCGCCGAGAACGAATAGAACTGACGAATAACACTCGCAATCGCGCGAATCCCACGCACCACTAAGCCGCAGGACGGGCAACTCGGTGCGGCTTGTAGCTTCTCTTCGGCCTGAGCCCGCTCTGGTGCTCGGCGGCTTGTGTTTTCTCCCCAGTGGTTTTGGAACTTTTGCCGCTCCCGGTACGTCGAAAGTTGCGAAAGGCCGGGGATTCGGACGGTTTGTCCCTTCAGATGCCGGGAATTGGAACCCAGGTGTAACACCCGGGGATGTCTCGCGCATGGGTAAGTAGAACGGGACCTTCGGGTCAGTGAGAACACCGCGAGATGGAAACTTTCGGGGGATCGAGCCATGCCAGACGGACGCCGCAAACGCCGACACAGTGAAAATACTGCCCGTCGAGCCTGGTATGCCCGCCATCGCTCGGAGCGGTTTCGCAAGCGATTCTCTCTGACTGCCGACAAGGTCGCGTAAGTCGCCGCGGGGCGGTTCAGAAAATTGGGGGTTGGGGGGAGCATGAAGATGACCACTTGGAAACAAATCAGCACCGTGATGCTACTTGTTACGACTTGCTACGTGATCGGCTTCATCTTTCTGCGAACGCTGCCCACGCTTTTGCCTTAGCAGCCCTGAGGGCCGGTTTGAGCAGAACCGCGACAACCTCTTTCTATGGGCTTCTAGTACACATTTCAGGGGGGCCCTGTATCCAATCTGGGCCGCGAACCTGGCAGTACACTTCCTCCGCCGGCATTACATATCTTTCACAGGCGGTTTCTTTCGGGGGGTGTTGGCCTTAATATAGGTAACTTCCCACGGACGCGGGCGAACCCTCGCTCGCTCCCCCGCCACGGGACTTCTAGAGATCACCCCCCGGCGCTCACTTGCGCCCATCGTCACTCTGAGGAGGCATTCATGTTGGATCGTCGTTGGACCCTGAAACTCTTACTGGGGCTGTTCGTGCTCTCGCTGAGCATCGCCCCCTTGCGTGCCGAAGACTCGGGCACGGCGGTGGCCGAAAAGCCCACCAGCACCGAAAACCTGCCGGCCGAAACGGCGCTCGACCGTTACCTGGCCAATGGTGACGACACATATCGCTGGGAATTAGTGAACACCATCAAAGGCGATGGCTACACCATGTATGTCATCGACATGACTTCGCAGACCTGGCGAACCACCGCGGATGTCGATCGCACGGTGTGGAAGCACTGGATCAACATCATCAAGCCCGACGAAGTAAAGTACGACACGGCCATGCTGTTCATTGCCGGCGGATCGAACAAGAGCGGTCCTCCTTCGAAGGCCGACGACATTGCCGTGGCCCTGGCCAAGGGAACCAACTCGGTGGTTGCCGAGCTGAAGATGATTCCGAACCAACCGTTGATCTTTCACAACGATGGCGAGGAACGCACCGAAGACGATTTGATCGCCTACACCTGGGCTCAATACGTGAAGACGGGCGACGAAACCTGGCCGGCCCGCTTGCCGATGGTGAAGGCGGCTGTGAAGGCCATGGACACGATTCAGACCTTCATGAAGGAAGAACGTGCCGGAGGGATCGACATCGAGAATTTCGTGGTTGCTGGCGGTTCGAAGCGTGGTTGGACTACCTGGCTGACCGGAGCGGTCGATCCTCGCGTGGAGGCCATTGTGCCGATCGTGATCGACGTGCTGAATGTCGAAGTTTCGATGCAGCATCACCACGATGCCTACGGGTTCTGGTCGCCGGCCGTGGGTGACTACGTGCGGCACGAGATGGTCACCAAAGCGGGTACCCCTGAGTACGACGCTTTGTTGGACATCGTCGACCCTTATCGCTACCGGCACCGCTTGAAGATGCCGAAGTACGTGGTGAACGCTGGCAACGATCAATTCTTCTTGCCCGACTCGTCGCAGTTCTACTACGACGAATTGGAAGGCGAGAAGCGACTGCGTTACGTGCCCAACGCCGGCCACGGGCTCGATGGCTCGACCGCGCTGCAGGACATTCAGGCTTACTACCACGCCATTCTGGAAGATAAGCCGCGTCCGGAGTACGACTGGACGTTTGAAGACGACGGTTCGATTCACGTGACCGCCGAGCAAAAGCCTTCGAAGGTGGTGCTGTGGAAGGCCAACAATAAGCTGGCCCGCGACTTCCGCATCGAGGTTGTTGGTGACGAATCTTACGAGAGCACCGAGCTCGAGCCGAACGCCGACGGCGTGTACGTGGCCGAAGTGGAAGAGCCCGAGAGTGGCTTTACCGCCTACTTCGTCGAGCTGACGTTCGATAGCGGGCTTTCGCAACCGTTCGTGTTCACCACGCCGGTTCGAGTGTTGCCCGATGTTTTGCCGCACGAAGGCGAACCGCTTGCTCCCAAGCGTCTTCCCTTGCGAGAGCGTTTGAAGAAGCGTCGCGCAGCCGAGAAAGCTGCCGCAGCCGATGAATAAACGCTAGAGATCAACCAGGGCGGCTCCGGCGCTTGCGGGCGTCGGAGCCGTGCGGTTGATTCGCTCTGCTACTTCTTCTTCGGGCTGATCACCCGCAGTAGCATTTGGATGGGGTCGTAGTACCGATCGACCACGCGTTCCTTCAGCGGAATGATGGCGTTGTCGGTAATGGTGATGCTTTCGGGGCAGACCTCGGTGCAACACTTGGTGATGTTGCAGTAGCCGATCCCCAATTCGTCTTTGATCAGCTTCGAGCGGTCTTCCACATCCAGCGGGTGCATCTCCAGGGCCGCGGCGCGAACCAGGAAGCGTGGGCCGCCGAACTTATCGTGCTTGTTGTGTTCACGCAGCACGTGGCACACATTCTGACAGAGGAAGCACTCGATGCACTTGCGGAACTCCTGCACGCGGTCGGCTTCTTGCTGAGAGAACTGCCGCTTGCCGTCGGGACGAGGCTTGTATGCAGGGATCTTCTTGTTGACCTCGTAGTTCCAGGTCACATCGCAGGCCAGGTCTTTGATCACCGGGAACGACTTCATCGGGCGAACCTCGATTGGTTCGCCGTCGGGGTAGTTGTCTAGCCGGTCCATGCACATCAGCTTCGGCTTACCGTTCACTTCGCCTCCGCAAGAGCCGCACTTGCCGGCTTTGCAGTTCCAGCGAACAGCGAGATCGGGAGCGTGCATGGCCTGCACCTGATGCACGGCGTCGAGCACAACCATGCCGCTTTGCACGGGCACGGTGTATTCCTTCATCTCGCCTTGGTCGTTGTCGCCGCGGTAGATTCGCAAGGTGACCTGGTCTGACATGCGATTAGTCTTTCAGCAGTTGTTTGAGTTCGTCCGGCATTTCGGGAAGCGGTTCTTGACGCACTTCGATGCCGGCTTCGGTCTTGCTGGCGATGTTGTTCTTGGTGCCCCACTCGGCATCGGTCTCGGGGAAGTCTTCGCGGGTGTGGCCGCCCCGGCTTTCGGTGCGAAGCAGGGCCGATTTGGCGACACACTCGCTCACGTCGAGCATGTTGTCCAGATCGAGTGCCAAGTGCCATCCCGGGTTGAACTGGATGTTGCCGCCCACTTTCACCTTCGCGGCACGTTCGCGCAGTTTGCCGATTTCCTCGAGGGCGATTTTCAGATCCTCTTCGGTTCGCACGATGCCTACATAGTTTTGCATCACGGTGCGAAGGGCTTCGTGAACCGTGTAGGGGTTCTCGCCGTCGCTCTGTTCGAACGGCTTGAGCATTCGAGCAGTTTGGGTTTCGATCTCACCTTCGTTGATCGTGGGCATCGAGGACATTTCGAGCGCCTCGCGGGCCGCATACTCACCGGCCAGCTTGCCGAATACCAGCAAGTCGGAAAGCGAATTGCCGCCCAAGCGGTTTGCCCCGTGCATGCCACCGCCCGACTCGCCCGCGGCAAACAGCCCCGGCAGTGAGGATTCCTGGGTTTCAGCATCCACGCGGATTCCGCCCATCGTGTAGTGGCACGTGGGGCCGACTTCCATCGGGTCGGTGGTAATGTCCACGTCGGCCAGTTCTTTGAACTGGTGGTACATGCTGGGCAGCTTGCGTTTGATTTCGTCGGGCGTTCGCCGCGAGGCAATGTCGAGGAACACGCCGCCGTGCGGGGAGCCCAGGCCGGCACGAACTTGTTTTCGAATGGCCCGGGCCACCACGTCGCGGGTGAGCAGCTCGGGAGCGCGACGAGCATCGGGGATCTCTCCCTTGATGACCGCCTCGACCCAACGGTTGGCTTCTTCTTCGGTCTCGGCGTATTCGCCTTGGAACATCTCGGGGATGTTGTCGAACATGAAGCGGACGCCTTCGCTGTTCTTCAACACGCCGCCTTCGCCACGAACCCCTTCGGTGATCAACGTGCCGCGAACGCTGGGCGGCCAGACCATGCCGGTGGGGTGGAATTGGACGAATTCGGAGTCGATCAATTCGGCCCCGGCCCACAGGGCCATGGCATGTCCGTCGCCGGTGTATTCCCACGAGTTGGAGGTGATTTCCCAGCAGCGGCCAATCCCGCCGGTGGCCATCACGATGGCTTTCGCGTTGAACACGACAAAGCGACCGGATTCGCGGTGGTATCCTAGGCAGCCAGCCACGCGGCCGCCATCAGTGAGAATCCAGCGAATGGTGCACTCCATGTAGACGTCGAAGCCCTGATGGACTCCGCGGTCTTGCAGGGTGCGAATCATTTCCAGCCCGGTGCGGTCGCCCACGTGGGCCAGTCGCGGGTAGGTGTGGCCCCCAAAGTTCCGCTGGTTCATATCGCCCGACTTGGTGCGATCGAACACGGCGCCCCATTCTTCCAGCTCGCGAACCCGATCGGGAGCTTGCTGGGCGTGGAGTTGGGCCATTCGCCATTGGTTGAGGTACTTGCCGCCTTTCATGGTGTCGCGAAAGTGAACTTCCCACTTGTCGCGGGTATCGGCATTGGCCAGTGCGGCGGCCACGCCACCTTCGGCCATCACGGTGTGGGCTTTGCCCAAAAGCGACTTGCAGACCAGGGCGGTTTTGGCCCCCATGGCCGAGGCTTCGATCGCGGCCCGGAGTCCGGCACCGCCGGCACCAATCACCACCACGTCGTACTGATGTGTTTCGTACTTGCTCATGTTTTCTAGAAGAAGCGAATGTCGGTGATGGTATGGGAGGCGACCAGCCACACGTACAGATCAGCCAGCCCCACAGTGAATAGGCTGATCCATGCCCATAGCATATGGTTTTTGTTCAGTTTCGAGACGCCTTTCCAGGCGTCGTAGCGTGTCTGTCCCATGGCCACACAGGAGAAGCAATCGACCTTGCCGCCGATCAAATGCCGCAGCGAGTGACAAGAGAATGTGTACAGCGCGATGAACACGACATTGGTGGCCAGCACCAGCGTGGCCATGCTCATCCCGAATGAGTGCGAGCCGTCTTCGTTGGGCCACCACAAGGTGAGCCACACGTCGTAGGAAAGGATGCACACAAAAATCAGGGCCAGGTACAAGAAATAGCGGTGAATGTTCTGAAAGATCAGCAGTGCCGTCTCACCGTTGTAGTCCTTGCGGGGCTCACCCACGGCGCAGGCAGGCGGATCCCAGAAAAAGGCCCGATAGTAGGCCTTGCGGTAGTAGTAGCACGTGAGGCGGAATCCGCCGGGGGCCCATAGAATCAAAAACGCCGGCGAGATGAAGGCCAAACTCGCGGGCAACGCGATTAACGGCGAGTAAAAGGGCGACAGAATATGGGCCGAACCCGGAAATCCTGTCTCGGGGTCGACCAGGTACTCAGCGTTATAAAAGGCGCGGAACGTCGAATAAACGATGAACGTGCCGAAGCCCAAGGCCGTGAGCAGGGGGCCAACCCACCACGTGTCCTTGCGATGTGTACTACCAAAGCCTGGGGGTGCCGCAGCCGCAGATACGTTTGTCGCCATCGTCCAGTCGCTCGTATTGGGAGGAGAATACGGCACTATATCGCTGTCGCAACAGGCGGTCAAACGCGGCTCGAATCACTCGTATGTTTATAACTACGTGTGATATCACGCATCACACGAGTGAATTGAGCACGGTCTCCGCCTAGACCAATGACGTCAAAGGGCCGCAATCAGAACGTTAGCGGAAAGAGAACACTTAGATAGAGGTAATCGTCCTGCGAGAGGCGGCAATCGATTTGTTCTACTTGCCGCGATCGCCAGGCTGGATTTCGGTCGGATTCAGAATTCGGCTGCGACGCTCTAACAGGTCCCCGTTTTTGGCCTCCAATGCCACCAACTCTCTTTTGAGTGTCAATCTCTTGGCCTCAGATTTGAGCAGTCTAATTTCAGTTTCGCCGAGCAACACCCACGAATCATTCAACTCCACCCGTAGCCTCTGATTTACTGCCTTAGTCTCGCGACTGCTGGCAGACCACCCACCGAAGAAGCAGGCCATGGCCAAGGTGACCACAAACAAACTGCGGAGCCCAAACTGAAACCATCGGTCGGACATGACAAGACCTCGTCGATCGGATTCCAACGCTTGTCGACCTGGTGATACGTCGCTTTTCCCCACTTCACTCGTACTCGTACTTCACCACCCACGGGTCTTTCGTCTGCTTCGAGAACTTCTCCAGCTTGCCCTTGAGTTCGGCGAACACCTCGGCATGGTCGCCGTCATCGGCCAAGTTGTTCACCTCGTGGGGGTCGGCTTCCAAATCGTAAAGCTCGTACTGCGGGCGATGCAGATAGGCGTCCACGCTCCGGCTGCCGTACATGTCGAGGCCCTCTCGCAGCACGGCCTGCCATGTGTCTGAAGCGTACAGATCAGAAGCAAACGGGAACGACAGCGGGTGGGCCAGGTTCAGGATGCACTTGTATTGCTTCGTGCGAATGACTCGCATCGGGTAGTACATCGTGATCTCGTGGAAGGTGTGCGAACCGTAAACCTCATCCCAGCCGCCGGGGTTCGATTCTTCCAGAACCGGCAGCACCGAACGGCCGTGCAGCTTGTATTTGGGGCCTTTCGCCCCCGCGAAGTCGAGCACGGTGGGCGCGATGTCGACGAAGCTGACCATTGCTTGCGACCCGACCCCTTTCTGCTTCGCCTCGGGCGAGCGGATCACCAGCGGCAATCGCATCCCGGGGTCGTACAGATTTGTCTTCGCCCCCGGGAAGGGAATGCCGTTGTCGCTCAAGTAAATCACCAGCGTGTTGTCCCAGTGGCCGGTTTCCTTGAGTACCTTCACCAGTTGGCCCAGCCCCTGATCGGCCCGCGTGGTGGCCTGATAGTACTCGGCCAACTCTTGGCGGGTCTCGGGTAAGTCGGGCAGGAAGTGCGGCACGGGAATCGACTCTGGGTCGTACTCCACTTCTTGCACATCGGGATACGTTTGGTCGTTGGCGAATCCCACCCGCGAGCGATGTGGATCGCTGGTGCAGAAGTACAAGAAGAACGGCCGGTCGTCCTTTTGCTCGATGAACTGGCGAGCGTTCTCCGCCATGCGGATCGAACTGCGTGCGCCCATGATCCCGTCGTTGGCATACTGTTCGAAGTGATAGGTCGCTTCCGGCTGCACGTGGTACTTGCCAATCGAGCAGGTGCGGTAGCCGGCTTCGTTCAGCAACACCGGCAAGCTCTGCACGAACGTTTGCGTGTGGAAGTTGTTGTAGCCATGCATGTGGCCGTACTGCCCGTTGGCGTGGTTGTGCAGTCCCGAGAGCAACACCGACCGGCTGGCACTGCAACTTGCGGTGGTGCAGAACGCGTTGTCGAAACGTGTTCCCTCGGCGGCCAACGCATCGAGATGCGGCGTCTGGATCACCGCGTTGCCATAGCACCCGGCATCGAGCCCCTGGTCATCGACGACCATTAGCACGACATTTTTAGGGGCTGCCAACGAGAGGGCAGGCGAGAAGAACAGTAGGGCCAGAACAACGCTGAAAAACCGAGAAACCATCGCGGGCCAACTCCGGAGGAATTCAGAGGATTGAAGCACGAGCCTCAACCATAAACCCCCGAAATGCCCCGGGCAACTTTCCCGTCGCGGCGAGATGAGTTCCGGCAACCCTCCTGATGAAATGCACCACGTCTTCTGTAGGGAACGCCCGCTGTGGCGTTCCGAGATTCGCCGTCACGCCCGAAACGCCACGGCGGGCGTTCCCTACAGATTGTGTTTTAACGCACGTTCGTGTACGGCGTGCAAGTTACCTTCCGCCCCAGCGTTCGAGCGTGGGATCGGGCTGCCACAGGTAGAGGAACGTCGGCAGTTTGCTGCGTTCCAGGCCTGGGATGCTCAGCGGTAACAGGGCCGATTGCAGTGGCACGTTTGGCGTGATGGCGTACGGCGATCGGGCCCGATCGTTGCAGCGGTGATAGAACACCACTTGCGCACACGGCACGCCGCCTAACTCGCGGGCCAGCAAAATGGCATCGTCCATGTACCCGATGCTATCGACGAGGCCATTTTCCAGCGCCTGTTGTGCTGTGAAGATGCGACCGTCGAAGATCGCCTCGTTCATCGGGTTGATCGCAGGGCGGGCATTGCGCACCAGGTTTTTGAACCGGTTGTGGAATTCATCGGCCATTGTCGTCAAGATTTCACGCGACTCGACGGTCTGCGGCGCGATGGGGGTTCCGATGTCGATGTTCTCGCCCGACTTCACGGGCAGCCCCAGCACGTTGAACTGGGCCATTGCGTCCTGCAAGTTGTACAGATTCAAGATGACCCCGATCCCGCCGGTGATGGTGGTGGGGTGGGCCATGATTTGATCGGCGGCCGTAGACATGTAGTAGGCACCGCCTGCGCCAACATCCATCAAGCAGGCGACCACTGGCAGCCCGGTGCGGGCTTTGAAGGCGTTCAAGTCGCGCCACATGATGTCGCTGGCCGTCACGCCACCGCCGGGGCTGTTGATTCGCACCACCACGGCTCGCACGCGCGGATCGGCTGCTGCCGCATCGAGTCGCTCGCGGAACAGGCCGACGGGGTTATCGCCCATCGAGTAGAAGCCCGTCATGTCCATGTTCAGCAGTACGCCGTCGACGTCGATCACCGCGACGCGTGGCCAGTCGGCATCGCAAGGACCTTCGACCACCATGGGGGCCACGGGCCCGAAGGTTTGGGTTGGCGGCATTTCGGCCGTGATACGCCCACCGGCTTCGACTCGAACCGGTTTGCCATGGCAGCCGGCCGTGGCCAGCAGTACCAGCGCGAGCAGCAGCCAATGTGGGACAGATCTCATAGACGTATCAATGCGGTTATGCGTAACCATGCTTGTGGCAGGGCGCAGCCGTAGAAATCGAGCCAAGTACGAGAATTGGGACATATAGGAGTTTCGGCCCGCGACATAATCGAACGACAGCCCACTACGGCAGTTCATCGCCCCAGCGGAGTTTGCCTTGCCGCAGGCGAAGGGTCACACCTATCGGGAAAACGTCGCCGAATTCCCCGCCTGCGGGATTTAGGTAGCTTTTGCCGATTGTTCGCTTGGGTACGTGCGCCGGTTTTGAGATACACTTAGACCGCATGGCGGGATTTTCGGGAACTGCCACAACCGGGGCGAGAAACACAGCCTCCACACCTCGTGTCCATCATGAGCGACAGCCAACAATTCGAAGTCACTTACTGGGGAACCAGGGGCACGGTTGCTGCCCCCCTGGTCACCGAGGAAGTGACCGAGAAAATCGTCGCCGCGGTGCTTCGCCTGGCAGAGCAAAGGCAACTGGCCGACCTGACCGGTGCGGCCGAAGAAGCTGAGTTGCTGCGACAGCGCATCGCCGACCATTTAGACTTTCACCAGCGCGCCACCTACGGCGGAAACACCACCTGCATCGAGCTCAAGACCCCCGATGCCTTGATCATTATCGACCTTGGCACGGGAAGTTGGCGGCTGGGGGCCGAGTTGCAGAAACGCTGGAGCGATCCCAGTTTCCAAGGCGAAAGATCGGCACTGGTTCTTCTCACTCACGGGCATGTCGATCACACGATGGCCCTGCCTTTTATGAAGGTCTTCTACGACCCGGAGAACAACGCACTGATCCGCGGACCGCAGTCGGCGCTCGATTGCCTGCAGAAGATCTTCAGTCATGAGAATCCAGATCAGGGTGTGCTGTTCCCGCAGACGCTCGATATGTTCACCGGCCTCACCTTCGGCGAGCCCATCACCGCCGGAGATACTTTAGCCGTGGGCAACACGCGAGTGCTTACCTATGCCCTCAATCATCCTGGCGGAAGCCTGGCTTATCGCATCGAACACGGTGAGAAGTCGGTCGTAATCGCCACCGACCACGAACAGCGAGACGTGCCCGATAAAGAGTTGGCGAAGTTCGCCTCGGGAGCGAACCTGCTTTACTCCGATGCTCAGTACCTTGCAGACGAGTATCACGGTCGCACCAGCGTGATGGACGAAGAACCGTGTTGCCGAGAAGGCTGGGGGCACAGTTATGTTGAAGCCGTGGTGGCCACCGCACTCGAAGCCCGTGTGAAACGCCTCGACCTGGGGCACCACGATCCCCGCCGCGACGACGAGGATCTCCACCGCATCGAGTGCTACGCCCGAGAGCTGATGCAAAACCTTCTAAAAGACCGCGGCTTCACCGACAACTGCTGCAAAGTCCATCTGGCTTATGACGGGCTTACCGTGCGTATCTGAGTGATGCGCGAACTAGCAATCTGACATCTTCACCCCTCGCCGAACCGTGACGGGGGAGCCTTCGGCGACGAAGACGGAATGGGGGTCTTGGCTGAGTGCTTCGCCCCAGTGGGGGCCGTAGGTGCCGGCGACGTCGACGTCGAATGTGACCTGCGTGGGCTGAAAGATGCGCCAACGGGGGTGCTCGACGGCGTACTCGATGCATCTTCCGTCGCGCTGACCGACGTAGCCCCAGTAGTGCTCGGTGATGAACTCGGTTTCCGAGCCTTCATCGGCAAACGCCGGGGCATCGCCGAGTGTGGCCCCGATCGTGTTCCACTTCCCGTGCTCGCGCCAGCGGTATTCTACGCGTCGAGGACTTTGATCTTCAGCGTCGAGGTGATGGTCCATCGCCCGGGCGACGTAGTTCTCATTGTAAAACCATCGGGCGATCTTGGCCGTGGCCAAGTGCGGAACAATCTCCTTGATGAATGCCACGCCCCGGCGGTCGCCATCGGGCATCCTTCGCCGCACGTAGTACCGCAGGTTTACCTCCTCGAACCGCTGATAACCGGGAATTCGCCAACCGGCCAGTCGGGTGCCTGTGAACAGAAAGCCCACGATGCTCACGAAGCAGTGGCCGTTGTGTTCGTCCAACTCCGTGCCGGGGGGTACAGAAGACTGCAGCAACGCCGGGTCGACTGTGTAGTTGAACATGAGCAACTGCGACCAATGGGCCGTGAGGAATGGCTTCGCTTTGGTCTCCGCGTTAGTTGCTGTAGTTTCGCTCATGGTCTTCTCCGGAATCGGCTCCTACTATTGCAACCGCACTTTTGTGGCGGAGCGTAACCCCGGAACTCCCAAAACTTGCCCGACGGTTTTCCGGGGCCTATCATCGCCAAAGCTCGACTTCTTCTACAAGCATCGACTCCCTGGAGAAACCTTCCATGAAACGCTTTGTTCGGGTGCCCGCCTTCGCTTTACTTCTCGCTGCAATACTGTCGGCGACCGCAGCCCGCGGGGAAGACTCGGGGAAGTGGATTTCGCTGTTCAACGGGAAGGACCTCTCCGGGTGGACGTTCCATCTCGATAATCCGAAAGCGAAGATGAGCGATGTGTGGAGCGTTAAGGACGGCGTGCTGAGCTGCAAAGGCAACCCTCGCGGCTACATCCGCACCAAAGACGATTATGAGAATTATGTCCTGAAGCTGCAGTGGCGGTTCGATCCCGAGAAGGGGCCCGGCAACAGTGGCGTGTTGCTACGCATGGTGGGTGAAGACAAGGTGTGGCCCAAGAGCATCGAAGCCCAACTGCAAAGTCGCAACGCTGGCGACATTTGGAATATCGACAAGGTGCAGATGACCGTCGCCCCCGATCGCACCGAAGGCCGCCGCACGATCAAGCTGCACGAGACCAACGAAAAGCCGCTAGGCGAGTGGAACGAATATGAAATCACCGCCGACCACGGCACAATCACCCTCAAGGTGAACGGTCTGGTGCAAAACGTCGCCACCGATTGTGCCCAGGTGCCTGGGAAGATCTGCCTGCAATCTGAGGGCGCCTACATCCAGTTCCGCGGCATCGAGCTCAAGCCAATTGATTGAGGTTTGGGATTTGGATCAACCGGAGTGGGTGCGAGTCCGTGGTTGGTGGTGAATGCGGGCCCTTCTGTAGAATTAGAAGGGAAATTAACCACGACGACACGACGGCACAACGGAAACTTTGCAGCTCCGCTCTTCCACACTGAAGATGAGCCGTCCCGCTTAGGAAAGTTGGGAGGTGATTTTTTTAGCTGATAAAGATCTCTCGATATGGATCTTTAAGAGAGAAGCAAGATTTCTTCGGCAACCTCGCCGTGTCGTTGTGCCGTTGTGGTCTTATTCACCCTTTGTAGCGTCAAAGGCCCCGGATTCCCGCGAAGCTATCGCCACCACTCCCACCTGAAGATCTACTTCGCGCCTTCGTTCAACAACAGCCACGTGCCGGACTTGCCGGCTACGGCGATGTCGAGGCGTCCGTCGCCGTTGAGGTCGGCGGTGTTGATTTGCATGCCGGTGCCCACTCCGCCGCCGGGCGGGCTGATGGTGTGGCGGGTGAACTTTTCGGACTCGGGATCCCATTCGTAGTAATACAGGCACTCCGGCTCGCGACCCCCCGGGTCGTTGCCGGCGTGGCCACGGACGCGCTTGCCAGTGATCAGTTCGTTGCTGCCGTCACCGTCGAGGTCGACCCACACCAGCGTATGCGTCTGGGCGTACTCGCGGTCGATCAGGTGTCGCTGCCAGCGGGTCACACCGCCGTCGGGCGGAAGTTGCTCGAACCAGTACAGCCCATAGTCGTGCCCCACGCCCCAGATCAAGTCGTTGCGACCGTCGGAGTTCAGGTCGACCACCAGGAACGGCGTCGGCCCGTGCGCGAGATCCCAGTCGCGGTGTAGTTTCCACTCGGTGGCCAGCGGATCACCCTCGGGCCGTTCGTACCAACCGACCTTCACGAGAATGTCTTCCCGCCCGTCGCCGTTCACATCGCCGAAGGCCATCCCGTGCCCACAACCGCGGCGGCCGAGCTGCACCCGTTCCAGCGTCGGTTCTGAGTTCTCACCCGCGATCAGCTTCCAGCACACCAGCGGGGCATCGTCGACCCAACTATCGACAATGAACTCGGGCACGTTGTCGCCGTCCAGGTCCTTCAGAAAGAAGGCCTCGTTCTCGCCGCGGGTTTTCTTCAGCAGGTGCGGCGTCCATTGCAGGCCCTTGGCCAGGGCTTCGGCCTTGGGGTTCTCGTACCAGTAGATCTCATCGCCCATCCACTCGCCCGAGATGATGTCGACCCAACCGTCGCCGTTCACGTCGTACGCATGATCACCGTTGTTGGCCAGGAAGTCGTTCTGGAACTCGCGAATGTTCCGCAACGGGCGGGGGCTGAAATCGGGGGCGGCAAACCAGTGCGTACCGGCCACGATGTCTTGCTGTCCATCGTTATTCACATCGGCCAGGCAACAGCCTTCGTTCGGGCTGAGCAGCAACATCCGCTTGTCGAATTGAAGACCCTCGCCTTGCGCGTTCGGGGTGAGAGCAGCCGATACCAAACCCAGCACAACAACGATCGAAAGCTTCTTCATGCTCACGTTGGTTTCCTCATCTGTGACTCTTTGTGAACCCACCGAGTGCGTTCGACGCCCAGTGCGTAGCGTAGTTGGAGTAATTTCGCGAAGCAACGTACCCCCACAGCGCGGGCTGGCGTCTCCCTCGGGATGATGGGCAACTTACATTACCCACGGGCGGTCGTTGCGTTCGTACGATCCGTCGGCGAAGGCATCGAAGAACATACCTACCAACGGATGCTCAATCGGTTCGTCGCACGGGTCGGGGGCCAGGTTGCCCTGGGCTGCGTACGTGGTGGTCTCCGTCTCGTGTACCAGCAGGTGATACCACGGCTGGTTCCGCGTCGGTTGGGTCTGATTCGAGCGGTACCAGGCTTCGCCTGCCTTACAGTAAGGGTCGACCGCCACCACGACGGCCCGATATCCATACCGCTGATGCTCGACCAGTTGCCCTGGGACGAACATCGGATTGTTCTCGACCAGTCGAATCATCGCAGTCGTATCCTTCGACAAGAGTACTAGTCGGCGGGCCATTCCCCGGCGTTCATCTCCCGCAGTTCGAGCTTCTTGGGGTCGATCACCGCGTGGCGAATCAAATCCCGCTTCCAGGTGTACATGGCGTGTACCAGGCCGTCGGACGTTTGAATAATTGCGGGGTAAGAGTACTCGCCCGGCTCGTTCTCCAACACCAAGGCAGCCTTCCACTCGACCCCGTCCTCGGAGACCGACAAGTTCAACGGCGAACGGCCCCGGGTTGTGTGGTTGTAGATGAGCATATGCCGACCATCGTCGAGCGTCACGGCATCGAGGCCCGAGTTGTTGTTCGGCAAGCTGCTGGCCGTCATCGCGTCCCAGTTCAGTCCGCCATCGCTGGAGAACGATTGTGAAATCTTTTTTTGTCGGGTGCGGCACAGCGCCTGCAGTCGTCCATCTTCGTGAATCAAGATGGTCGGCTGGATCGCGCCGAACTCTTTCCCATCGTTGATTGGCCCGACGTGTTTCCAGGTGCGGCCGTTATCTTTCGTCAGTTCGAAGTGCACCCGCCAACCTTGGTCCTCGGTGCTTGAAGGGCAGAGCAGGGTGCCGTCGGCCAGTTCAACCGGCTTGTTCTTGATCGGCCCAGCGATGTCTTCAGGCAGGCGGCAGGGTTCGTTCCAGGTTTTGCCGTGATCGTCGGAGGTCATCAGCATGCCCCACCATTCCCGCGGGTTGGGTCCGGCTTTGTAGAAAAGCAACAGCGGGCCATCACTTGCCTGGTGCAGTACCGGGTTCCAGGTGGGGTAACGCTTGTCGGCGTGTTGCACCCCGTTGGCCACCTCGACGGGCTTCGACCATCCGTCGCCGGTTTTGCGGGAAACCCAAATACCCACATCGTCGTGTCCTTCGTCGGTGCCACCGAACCACGCGGCCACCAGGGCATCGCCCGATTCGGCTAAGGTCGAGGCATGGCATCGCGGCGGGGGACCTTGTTCGTAAACAAACTCACGCTTCAGCAGTCCGGGCTGCCCGTCCAGCATGTCGTCTCCCAGGCAAAGAGAACCCATCGCCAATACCGAAGTGGCCACGGCGGCGATGCCGAGGGATTGGATCGAACTTCTCAATGCGAAAGCTTGCATGCGTTATTTCCTGTAAGGGGGATATTCGTGGATTGCGCGGACCGGGCCGCGGGAGATTCAGGGGGGAAACACTTCACGACTATAACCCGATTGCAGGCCCAAGTCAGCTTCGCGGCGGCCGGGATTGTTCTTTCAGCGTCATCAATTCGAACGCCGTCCAGCCCAGGAGTTGCTCTTCGGTCAGCGTAATCGGGCGACCGGTGCGGACATGGTGCCGCACGGACCGCAGCCAGCGTCGCGTTTGGCGGGAAAGCTGTGGATGGTCGTTCACCACCAGCCCGGTGACTGTTTGCCGCTGATGCCGCCGCAGGATCCGCAGTTTCTTGTAGTTGATTTGATAGCCGCGGTGTTTGAGAATCCGCCGCGTTTTCTGGATGATTCCCCGCATGCGACGCGGGTAATCGCGGGGAAACGAATACGTCAGATCGTCGGCATAGCGGGTGTAGACCCCGCGATAGCGGGCGGCCAGTCGGGTGAGTTGTACATCGAGATAGTAATTCACCAGGTTGCTCAGCCGGGGGCTCGTTGGGGCCCCTTGTGGCAACCCGCCTTCATGCGTGGTCAGTCGGGTTAGCAATTCGGCGGCTTCGGCGTTCCAGCCGATGCGGCGGAAGTAGGCTTCCACCCGTGATGCCGTTGTCGAGGGAAAGAAATCGACCAGGTCGATGCGAATCACCACGCACCTGCCGGCATGCGGTCGGGCGTTGTCGACGATCGACTTTCCGCGTTCAAATCCGCAGGCGGCCTCGTGGGAGTTCAAGGCTTTCAGCAAACGACGTAGCAACCGCCGCTGCAGTTTCTTCGTCTGGCGATCGGGCACCAGCAATCGCCGGCTCCCTCCGCCGCGTTTGGGGATGAACGCCTCGTGGTACTTTGGCTCGAAGTGCTTCAGTTCTTCGCTTGTCATGTCGAGCCGCCGGGCCAACTCGTCAACGCCCTTGCCCCAGCCCCAGCGGGCGAACAGCCACTGCCGGAAGTGAAAGTTGGTGGCCAACTTCACGCGGGAGTAGATGATCGCGGTGAGGATCAGCACCGCGATTCCCAATCCAATCGTGATGATCACGAGGAAGCCGATCAGCACGGGATGGATGGCGAAGAAGATCACGGTCGCCGCAACTCGATCGTTCTAAAGAACAGAAAAGCGGGGCGGGAGCACGAGCCCACCGCCCCGCGTGCCTTGCGAGGCGTCGCGGCGAGTCGGAACGACCGCTGCTGACGCCTGTGCATGAGTCTCTGGGGGTCGGATTGTGACCCGGCCGACGAAACATCGGCCTTTGCCTAAACAACACCAAGGCACGCCCCACAGCATGGGAATCTGTCCACGGACTGTCAATAAAATGGCGGCATGGCCCCAGCGGATAGCGATTTCTCCGCGTAGCAACTCGGCTCGCGGGAATCTAAGATAGGAAGTCGCCACGACCGCGTTCGAACCAAAAACCTGCGGGCTGCGGTACACAATATTTACAACCACCAGGGAGAGATTCGATGACGGAGTTTCGTCTGTTGGAAGTTCTCTGTTGCACGCTCATCGCGCTGTGCGTTCCGGCCATCGTCATGGCCCAGGACGACGTGAAAGTCACGCCCGATGTGGTGTACGGCCACAAGTTCGGGATGGCGCTCACCATGGATGTACTGCAGCCTGCCAAAGACCCGAACGGTGCGGGCGTGCTGTTCATGGTCAGTGGTGGTTGGCGTTCGCGTTGGTCGCCCCCGGTCGGTGCCGCGAAGCGGTTCGATCAGATGCTTGAAAATGGGTTCACTGTTTTTGTCGTACGGCACGGTAGCAGTCCCAAGTTCGATATCCCCGAGATCGTGGGCGATGTTCGCCGCGCGGTGCGATACATCCGCGCGAATGCCGCCGAGTATGGAGTCGACCCCGATCGTCTGGGCGTCATCGGCGGTAGCGCCGGCGGGCATCTTTCCTTAGTGCTAGGTGTTGCTTCAGACGAGGGTGATCCCAACGCAGATGACAAAGTCGATCAGACCACCGATCGCGTGGCCGCGGTGGTGGCGTATTACCCGCCAACCGATTTGGTGGGCTTGGTCCCGACACCGCCGAATCGCAACGACCGCTTTCCCGCGCTGAACTTCGAACCCGCTCGGGCCAAAGAGTTTTCCCCCGTCTGGCACGTTTCGCCCGACGATCCACCGACGCTGCTGATTCACGGTGACAAAGATCCGCTCGTTCCGTTGCGGCACAGTAAGAACATCCTCGAGCGGTTTGAAGAACATGAAGTGCCTGCGGAGTTGATCGTGATCGAAGGGGCCGGGCACGGGTTCCGCGGGGCCGATGGTGAGGAAGCATCCGCGGCGGCTCTCGAGTGGTTCCAGAAACATTTGCTGCCTGAGAGTAACTAGGCGACTGCATCGCGGGTTAGATACTTCGAGTGTGTTTGATTTACTGCAACGTCAGACGCGGGCGCTGGCACACGACTCAGGAGGAAATTTTGATGCGCGCGTTTGATCATCTTCGCTACCTGGCGATCGCAGCCCTGATGCTGTCCTTCGGGGTGGCAACCGAGAGAGTCGTTGTCCGTGCCGACGAATTCGACCCGGTTCGGGAATTGATCCAGGAGAAAATCGCCGACGGCGAACCGGCCTCGCTGGCGGTGGTTGTGCTTCGCGACGGGAAGGAACTGTGGGCCGAGGGGTTCGGTTGGGCCGATCGAGAGCAGCGGCGAAAGGCCGACGTTCACACGCCCTATTCGCTGGCTTCGATCTCGAAGCCCATCACCGCCACCGGGCTGATGCTGCTGGTCGAACAAGGCAAACTCGACCTGGATCACGCGGCGAACGACTATCTCGGCAGTGCAAAGCTACTGGCCCGGGTGGGACAGGCTGAAGACGCCACCTTGCGGACGATTGCCAACCACACTTCGGGTCTTCCGTTGCACTGGCAGTTTTTCTTTGCCGATGAGAGTGCCAAGGCCCCCTCGCGCGACGAGACCATCGCAAGGTACGGGCAATTGTTTACCACGCCCGGAGAGAAATATCAGTACTCGAACCTGGGCTATGGCGTGTTGGATTACATCATCGAACGCACTTCCGGACGAGACTTCAAAGAGTTTATGCACGAAGAGGTGTTCGTCCCTTTTGGGATGACCCGCTCGGGGATCGATCTGCCGCCGGCACTCGAGGGACAGGAGGCGGTGCGTTACGACACTGACGGCAGGCGGTTGCCCCATTACGATTTCGATCACCCGGGAGCCTCGGCCGTGTATGCCTCGGCCCACGATTTGGCACGCTTTGGTGCCTTTCATGTGCAGACACCGTTTGAAGACCAGGCAGCGATCCTCAAGCCGGAGTCGATCACGGCCATGCAGGCCACGCTGATCGATGTTGCTTACGGTGTGGGGTGGAGCGTCACGCTGTTACCCTCGGGCGAGCGACGCGTACAACACTCTGGCGGCATGCCGGGCGTGAGCACCCGACTTACGCTGCTGCCGGAAAACAAGATCGTTGTCGTTGTTCTAGCCAACGGCCGCAGCCGGTTGCCGTATCAAGTGACCGAAGAGGTACTGAAGATTCTGCTGCCGGAAGATTTCGCGGAAAGCGATGAGAATCATGCTTCATCCGATGATGAAAATCCCACCACCGCCAAGCTCCACGGTCAATGGAATGGCGAGGTGATGACTTACAAGGGTGCTGAGAAGCTCACGCTGTGGTTCCAGGAAGATGGCGACGTTCACGTACGTCTGGGCGACTCGCTGAAAACGCTGCTCAATCACGTTCGATTCGACGGCGATACATTGACCGGTGAGTTTGCCGGCACGTTGTCCACGCCCGATGTGACTCGGGCGAAATGCACGTTGCATTTCAATCTGCAGCTCGAGGGCGACGCGCTTCAGGGAGCTGTGATCGCCCAGGCTACCTCGCCCACGCGGCACTACTTTGCCCTTTCGCACTGGGCAGAGCTGCAACGAGAAGCTACACAGCCCGAGTCTGACACGGCCGATGCCCAATAGCATGGCCATGTCGCTCGGTGGTCGCCGCTACACTCAGGTGGAGGTGAGCGCCCTCCGCTGACGTTGCCAGCCGATCATCACAAACGCAGCGGCGAAGATGGGGACCAGCATCTGCAATAACTGTGGCCCAAGCAGCAGACGGGGTGAGAAACCAAGTCCAACCGAGTACGAACCCTTGCCCGGCTCGATGGGGAACTGTAACCCGCTATGGAAGCACAACGCCGCAAATGCCACCAACAGCGTGGCTGCGGACGCCCAGATCATTCCCTTACCACCGCGATATGCAAGCCAGGCGAAGAACAATGCCACGGCCGCCGGGGGGACTACGATCTCGGCCACGTACATGGCCAGTGCCGTGCCCACGACCGCGGGCGACATCTCGGCGATGGTCTTTCCCGCCTCACCGAACCCCAGTTCGTATAGCTTGATCACTCCCAGCAACACCATCAGCAGCGTCGCCCAGGCGGCTAGCACCACGGGTATGGGGGCCAGCACAAATGTGACGAACGGGTGGCGCCCGGCAAAGGTTTGGTTGTGGTACCGGTCGACGAACGACTCGGCCAACGTGTCGAGATCGCCCAGCCGTTCTAAATCGGAAGTGTCGGTTTGATCGGTGACGGCCAACTCGCCGGCGATATCGAGCCGGTGATCTTCCAGTTCTTCAACCACCCGCCGAATGTAATGCGGGGGCAACCCACGACGATGCAGCGTATTGCGAATCGTATCAAACGATTGAGTAGTCACGATCGGAATCCTTTCGATCGGAGGAGATGTTTGCCTGAAAGTTACGCGGAGCAGAACTAGATGGACTCGCCGGCCAGTAGATTGCGGGCAGCCTTGGGCTTAATTCCCGCCCCATCGAGTACACGATTCACCGCCTCGACGGTTTGACGCCACTGGGCGACCGAACCGTGCAGGCGTTTCTCCCCCTTGCTGGTCAGCCGATACACCACTCGACTGCGTCCGCCGGTCGCTTCGCGGCGGCTCGACAACACGCGTTGTCCTTCGAGCTTGTGCAGGATGGGGTAGACGGAACCTTCGCCGAACTCGAGTTGCTGCCCGCTCTCGGTGCAGATCGCTTGCACCAACTCGTAGCCGTACATCGGCTTGCGAGTAAGCAGTTGCAGGATCAGCAGTTCCGGTACGCCGTTGAGGTAGTCAGGGTTGCTGCGTTGTTTTGCCATGAGTGTCGAGAACCTCCTTGTTCAAGCGGGGAAATGCCCGCGGACCTCCAGGTTGCTCGAGTCGTCGTTTCGAGCAGGGCGGTGATATACCTCAAGGTTCGAGGTATGGCAATACTAATCGGCGACCGGACCGGGAGAACTTCAGCCGATGCTGCGGGGATTTTGCGAAGCCGCAGACTTTGCTAGCTCGATTGGGCAAGCCAGTAAGTGAGCATGATGATCAGGCCCACCATCACCCAGGCCGCGGCAAATCCGGTGAGGTCGAGCATCGTCGGCCGGGGGATTTCGATGTCGCGATGATTGATCAGCTTCGGTACGGGCTCTGCCGAATTAGCCGGCAGCGTGCAGGGCTCGAGAACCTCTTCACCTTCGCGGACCGGGGTACGCATCAAGCGGAAGAAGTGATCGAGCTTCGCTTGCGGTGTGCGGGGCGTGAAGAAGCTCACCACAATGCCCGTCAAAGTGCCGGCCGTCATGAATGCAACCATCGTCCACACGTCGGCCACACGAACGGTTTCGCCGGTGCCTCGCAGCATGAAGTCGAGGAAGCCGACACTGGCGACCGCCTCGGGTGCGAAGTCGCAAATCGCCCAGACAATGGTGGCCGCAATACTCGAGGCCCACACCGCCAGCGGCGTCCAGCCACGCCATGCCACGCCGAACCACAGGCTGATGCCGATCATGGCGGGGGTTTTCAGAATTACCCGTAGCGCATGAATCACGTCGGTGAACATCGTCTGCAGAATCAACGCCGCCACCACAATGCCCAGGCCGGAAAGTCGACCAACCCACACGTAATGATATTCGGATGCTTTACTGCGGATGAGCGTCTTGTAAATGTGTTCGGTGAATAACCCGGAGCCGACGATCATCTGCGCGTCGCACGTGCTCATCATGGCGGCCAACAACGATGCCAGTAGCAAGCCGACCAGGCCAGGAGCGACGGTGGGTAGAATGTCGTACGCCGCCCGACCGAAGAGTCGATCGGCGAATTCCTTATCGAAGGCACTAAGTTCTTGCTGTTCTTCGATGGGGCGTTGATGGAAATCTTCTTGCACCACCGCTTGCAGTTTCTCGTACGTCGCGCGGTCTTCAGGGTTGTCCGACTCTCGCAACGGGCTGTTGGACCCCAGGTACCACACCAGTGCCCCCAGTGCCGTGAACGTCCAGGCGATCGTGCAGAAGCGTTTCACGAAGTTACCGAACGTGAACCCGAACCGCCCTTCGAACTCGGTCTTACCGGCCCCGCAGACACCCATGATGTGTGGCTGCACGACGATTCCCGTCAGCGCGACCAGCGAGAGCATGAACACGTAGAAGATGGTGATCGGTTCCTGACCGAGTATTTCGGCCACTTGGGCGCTGGCCACCAGGTCGAACATCCCCGACTTGATTGGCTCTTCACCGGCGGGGTTGAGTTGGGCGAATCCGCCAATCTTGCCCAAGATGAACGGTAACAGCAAGAACGAAAACGTGATGGTTAGGATGCCCTGCACGAAGTCGGTCCAAATGGCCGCCCCCAACCCGCCGGCCATTCCGTAGGTGACGAAGAGCACCGTGATCGCCAGAATCGCGATCTCGTAACCGTGGATCGAGCGGAGTTTCAACACGCGATTGATCGCGGGAAAGTTGGCCACCACTCGGTCATCGGTTTGACCTGCCGCGTTGGCATCAATCGGTTCGAGGAACGGGACGAACTTGTAATCCTTCAGGATCGAATCGTCGGCCACCGTGGTGAGTTGCCCGCCGGTGAGGGCATCGACCATCTTTCCGCTGCTGTACAGTGCCCCCGCGATGAACACGATGGCCATGATGATGCCCCAGATGCAGTACAGGATGGCCGTGGGGCGATTGAAGCGGGCTTCGAAGAAATCGCTGGTGGTCAGGGCCCGCATGCGTCGCATGATAGGAGCGACTAACCAGTAAAACGGTGTGGCCCATAGCCAGAGAAACTGCCACCAGATGCCCGCCAGGCCGACCCGCCATGTGCCAGCCACCACGCTGGCGGCTTGTTCGCTGCTGGTTCCTGCCCCGAAGGCGAAGAACATCATGAAGATTTTGCCGAAGCGGCGACCGCCCATGAAGTAATCGGAGCGGTCTTTCACTTTCAGGTAGGCCATCACCCCCAGGCCGGTGACCAGCACCAGGTATCCAACAATGACCGCCCAATCGATGTAGGTTAGCCCTAGCCACATAGTGACGACTCCGACTCAGAGAACTGCGACGGCCATCGCTCAATCGCAAACAGCCAAGCCACACAACATACCCGCTAGCGGGGCAATGTTCGAGTCGGACGTCCTGGCTTTATTCCCAAGGTTGTTTTAGCGTCGGTCGGTTCGCATATCGCTGCATGCGAATCACCATCTCTGCTCCGGCCCCGGGCTGCAACTCGGCGGTGAACTGCGGGGCGTCGATGTCAAACGTTCGCCCGCCCAGCATGACGCGCTGCACCTGGTGTTCTCCGTAACCGCCCCCTTGAACGATCACTTCGCGAGGTTCGCTCTCGTTCAAGTTCACCAGCTTCAACGTGACTTCGTCTCCCGTCATCCGCGTAACCAGGGCCGCCACATCCTCTGGCAAGCCGGACCGCGCTCGCTGTGGATCGAAATAGCGAACGCGACTGTGCAGCAACGAACCAATGCGGCCGGTGTGGAGCCCACCGAGTGTAAGCGTCACGAGCGACGACACCGTGGCCGGATTGAGAAACATCGGGTCGTCGGCCAACCGCGTCTCGGGCGTCGTGTCATCTTCCCGCATGGCGGTGAGTTGCGATTCAATCCGTTTGAGATCAGCGGCGAAAGCACTTGCGGCCGCTTCGGGGTTCAGTCCCTCAGAGAAAGTGTGCCAGGAAGAATTGGGCAGCCGAGCGAGATCCTCAGCCGACATCGACCAATAGTAAACCTGCTGGGCCCCGGAAAGATACGGCTCTGGCTGATAGGCATACCACCCCTGGTCGCCATACATCCGCGGGTACATCGTTTGCCCGTCGATCTCTTTGGCGTTGGCGTTCACCGCGTCGATTTGCGTTCGCCAGGCGTCGGCATACTTCTGGTCGCCGCCGAGCAGCATCGCATGGCCCAAGCCGACAATCGCAAGGTGGTGGGTGTTGCGATGGGCCAACTCGCCCGTCTGGGGCACTTCAACGGAGAACGCCCAACCGTAGACGCCGCCGTACCATTTGCCCTCGCATTCGCCGCCGATGGTTCCATCGAGCCCGATGTTGGTGGGAATGATCCCGCCGTTGGCCTCCATGCGCTCGAGCCACGCATCAACATAGTCAAGCACCCACCGGCGATACTTTTCTTCGCCAGTGAGCAAGTAGGCGGTGGTCGCCAGTGAGGTGGCGCATAGATTCTGGGGGTGGTCGCCCACAATGTCGTTGTAGTCTTTGAAGTGGGCCAGCATCTCGTCGAAGGTCCGCTCGCCGTGCTTCGGTTTGAATCGTCCCTCCACATCGATCGGGTCTCCGGCCCAATCCAGTGCGGTGGCCTTTCGCAGCACGGGCCCGCGACTGCCATTGAACAGGCTGCGGATGATACGATGCTCGGGATCGTAATTCTCGGCCCGTGGATCTTCGTTCATGTACAAGCCGGCAAAGCGACGGGCCCGCGTGATGTACGCTTCGTCAGCGGGGTCGGCCAACCCCTCGTACAGAAAGGCAGTGATGCCTTCGCCGTTGTGAACCCAATCGAAGGTGACTGGGAACTCCTCGAAGTACATTCCCTTGCGGGCGAGTTCCACCTCGACGGTTTTGGCCTCGGTGTATTGCTTCAGGTGCCCTTCCCAAGCTTGCCGGTAGAGCCGCAGTAGCGATTCATCGCCCCCCAGGGCGTAGAGCAGCGGCCATTCGGCGAAACACTCGATGGCATCGTCGGGCCCGTCGTCGCCGCCCCAGCGTTCGACACAAAGCAGGTAGCCCCGCTCGTCGACGTACTTGTCGTAGAACTCCTCGCAGGCCTTGGCGTTGTCCTCGAGCAGTTGCCGTTCGAGCACGGCCCAGCGCGGCGCGGGCATTGGGGTGTCGATCGTCACATCGGCCGCGGCGATGTTCTGCGAAACTAACACCGACGAGAAACACAGACCGGAGAAGAACGCGAGGAGGCTTCGCATGGCAGGCATCTCGGGCGGGAAGAAGGCGAGGTACAACAGCCGAGTCCGCCAACCCCTGGTTCAATGCTCGAACCAGAAGGTGTTGGGACGGTCGTTGTTATACGCCCTCCGCGCCTGAGATTCACGCTTCAGCCAGCAAACAACCCGATTTCATCGCCCTACGTTCTAATCCGGCGGCCCAACGATGTGCCGCCGGAGCACAGAATTATTCACCCGGCACGAAGGACGACAGGTTGGTGTACGACACGTTAGCCGTGAACGGAATCACGCTGTAGATACCTCGCGTGAACACCAGGTCGATCAAGTCGGTCGTGGCCAGGATTGGGCTCTTCGGCACGATCACGATGTCCGAATCGCGAATCCAGATGTCGTCTGCCGGGCAAGGTGCCTTGCCGAACAGTGCTCTTCGAAGGTCGAGCTTCGTGGCCATCAGGTGCCAGTTCTCATCGCGACGCAAGACCACCACGTGATCCAGGTAGGCACCCACATTCCAGCCGCCGGCCAGGGCGATCGATTGAATCACCGTGGTGGGGGCTTCCAGAGTGTAGCGACCCGACTTCTTCACCTCGCCAACCACGTACACATAGCGTTCGGCACGTTGCGAGAGAATGGGGGTGGTTTCCAGCCCAGCGACGATTTTGGAATAGCGGAGGTTCACCTCGCGGCGCAATTCGGGCAAGGTCAGCCCTTGGGCAAAGACCGAACCTAACGCCGGAAGTTGAATGGTGCCTTCGGGGGTGACTTTAACCTGACGCGACTGACCACCGGTACCGGCACGGTTGTCGACCGTGGCTCGCAATTCGAGCAGGCGGTTGTTCAGCTTCTGGGGAATGACCGTGATGGCCGGCTTCTGAATGTACTGCTCGTAACGCTGTTCAATGTCGTCCCGCAGTTCGGTCACCGTGCGGTCGGCGGCGGGCACTTGGCCTAGCAAGGCCAGCGTGATGGTGCCGTCGGGCTGAACGACGACTTCGCCGCCCACACTTTCGTCACTCAGCGAACTGACTTCCATCACATCGCCCACGTTGAAGCGGTACGGTTGTTTGCTCTCCTCGGCCGTCAAGCGGTAAACCACTTCCAGCGTGTCATCCACCCGTAGGCGATACTCAGGCACGTGAGCCAGTCGAGCCGGGCCGATGTATTCACCCTGGGCGAAGATTTCCCACGGGATTGGGCCCCAGGAGTTCCAACGCAATTCGTTGCACGGCTGACCACGATCGCACTGAACGCCACAGCGAGGATGCATGGTGGCAGGAGCCCAATGGGCATCGGGAGGACCGAACATCCCCTCGTACACAATGTGGTTGTCCTGCAGCTCGATTTGCTCGGGCGGCGGTTGAACCTGATCGTTCCCGGCCTGCGGGGTCGCGGGGTTTTGTGCGATCGCCGGGCTTGCGGCGACGCAGGCGATTAATAGCGCGAATCCCAGGCACGAAAACGGTTGTGCTTGGGGGGCGCGCATCGAAGTGTTTCGGTGGTGCAGCATATTTCGGTCGGGGGCTATGCAGGTGGGATCCCGTGAGGGATGCAGGGGGGTGATCGGGGGTGGCAGCTATGTCTTTCTCGGGCTGAGATTCCTTGCGTTTATCGCAACGTGTCCATGACTCGAGCAACGATCGGTTTTTCGTTCTTCTTCACCGCGGGGTCTTCGCCTTTGAAGGCCGTTTGGGCTGGCCCGTTCATCGGCGCTTGAGGTGCGGCCGCTCCAATGCTGTGCTCGCCTGTGGGCAAGTTGGCAAAGGTAATCGGATCGAGCATGGTCACATCCAAAGCAGCATTCGCCCCGGTGGTGAACGGGTGCTCTTGCTGAAGCTTTTGGGCCAACCATTGCTGCTGATGCTTGGCAGCGTGGGCCGTTTCGCGATCGCCCAGCAACTCGGAGACCGAAGCCAGGTTCTGCCAACTAATTGGCTGCGGTGAGATGCGAATGCTGTGCAGCAACGCGGCTCTTGCCTGTTCGTATTGCCCGTAGCGAGCAAACAACACGCCCAGCTCGTTGGCTGCCTCGTAGTTATTCGAATCGATACTCAGTGCGGCCTGATGCAGCACAATCGCTCGCGGGCCGGCCAGAGTCGCTTGTTTGGTAGTCGGCGATTCCATATCAAGCTCGAGCCGGGCCATGCCGTACAGAGCCTTGGATGCCGAAGCTTCGTGGCCCAACGCGATCACCAGCCGTTGGCCGGCGAAGGCACAGTACTTCTGCATCGCCATGAACGGGTGGATGTTCTGGGCCTCGGGCGATTTCAAGATGGGGGTCGAATGCTTCTCGACCGAACGTCGCCACCCGGCCGAACCTTGCTCGACATGGGGCGTGAGTTCTTCTGCCTCCTCCAAGGCCGTGAGCCCTTCGCGAAGGGCGTCACGATGACGCTCGCTGTTCTCTTGCGCGTCCAACGCGTGAGCCACTACGTCGAGCGCCCGCATGAACTCGCTACGGGCCGAATGCGTGGCTCCGCGCGAGGCAAGGTCTTGGCCGTACTGCACGTGTTGTGCAACCTGTTGTGCGATGAACGGAGGCATGTGCACTTGAGGCTCGGAACGTGGCACGCTCTTAGGCCGTGATGCAACGCGAGGTGCCTGAGCGGCCACCCGCGGTGCAGGGCGGGGCACCACTTGCGTGTTCCGCGGAGCAGGAACCTCTGCGAAACGAGGTTCGGGGGTCGGTTGCACGGTGGGGGTCGTCAAAGACCGCATCTGCTCGGGGGTTCGCATTGGCTGTGGTGCGCGTTGCTGAGCCACTTGCGGGGCAGTGTCTTGATCGATGGCGGCCGGCGAGGGGGGAGATTTCTTCGCCGGGACCGCCACCGGTTGTGGTTTCTTCGCTGCAACTAGCGGTTGCTTTTCAACCGGCTGCGGTTTTGTTTCAGCAACTTGCGGTTTCGCTTCTTCAACAACCTTCGGCGTTACCTTCGCCGGCTGCGGTTTCTTCTCTGCGAGTTGGGGCTTCGGAGTAGCCACAGGAGACTCGACCACAGGACGGTCGAAGACTGGCTTCTCGCGTGGAGTTTGCTTCTGAGCGACCACCGGTGCCGGCTGCAGAGGGGCCGTAACCGGAGCGGGACGGGTCGGCTGCGGTTCGACAGTGGGCGCGCCCATCGGTTTGGTGGCCTGCACCACGGGGCGATTGATCGTCGGCCGATCGGCTTGCGGCGGACGGAATTCGTTCTTCCGCTGTAGCTCGGCCAGCCGCTGTTGTTCGGCCAGACGTCGATTGCGTTTCTCGTTTTCCGAGAGCTCAACCTTCTGGGGTTTGGCTACCGGAGTGGGTGGAGTGGCCTTCGGCGATGTCTGGCCGTTCTCTTGTGCAACCTGAACGGTCGGTCCTACGCTCGGGCTCGACTGCGGCTGTGCCTTGGGTGCCGGCTTCGGAGCTTCGGCAACCGCTTGAGGTTTGGCTGGTGTCTTTGCGGCCGGAGTCTTTGCCGGGGGAAGTTTCGGCAATGTCGCCTTTGGAAGTGGAGGAAGATCACCGTCGCCCGCTTCATCATTCGCATGCGTGATGGCCAGCGGTTGCTGCATGTGCACGGGCACCTGCGGTAGTTCGGGCAGTTGTGTGAACGCTTCCTTAGCTTCTGGCAAGATCACATCGGCTTCGACTGCCTGAACCGTCGCGCTGGTCACGCTTTTCGGCAACGCTGGGTTGCGGCTCGCTTCAACCGGCCCGATGTATTCGACAATACCGCTTTGCGGAGTCGGCAGCTTAGGGGTGCTGCTGGGTGAGTCGGATTGCGAAGCGGCCGGGCTCTCTTTCTTTGGCATTTCTTCGACAACCGGGGCGGCGATCACCGGGGTCACAATCGGTTTAGCCGCTGGGGAAGCCTTCTTCGTGGAGGGCTGTTCTTTGGTTGCTACGAATTGCACCACACCATCGCTTGAGGTGTGGGAAGATGTTGTGAAGACGGAACCTGAGCGCACAACCGGCGAGCGCAGGGCGCGTCGGATATGGCTTTCTGGTTCGGTAGCCCAGGGGCCTCCGGCAAGTGCTGCGACAGCACACGAGCCAAAAAGCCCGGCAATCAAGAAACGATGCGTTCTCATCCAGTGAATCTTTCTGGGTTTAAGTCGATCCGTCGGTGCCTCGTCGAGGCTTTGCGTACACCCAGCTTGCAATCTGATTTATCGGATCCAAGCGAACGCTAGAGGCGTTAGATTGCTGGGAATCAGCCGAAGTGCCAGACGATCGCTGTAATTTTCGATACGGCCGGCAAGGGTTTCTTGCCTTTCGCATTTTGCCAGACCGGTAAGCCTTGCCTGGGCCACCGCGTGGGTCGCCAAGTCGGCAGGGCGTGCTACAATCGCGGCCCGCAAATCTTCACAGCAGCACGTCAGGAACAGGCAGATGGCAGCACGAATCTATTTGGCAGGCCCCGAAGTTTTTCTCCGCGATGCGGCGGAGCTTTATGAAGAGAAAAAAGCAATCTGTCGCGAGCACGGGTTTGACGCCTTCTCGCCACTGGATGAGATGCCGGACTTCGAGACCATGCCCAGAGTCGAGGCGGGCCTCAGCATCAGCCAGGCCAACGAAAGCAAAATGCGGGCTTGCGACATCTTGATAGCAAACCTCACCCCATTCCGGTCCCCCTCGGCCGATGTCGGTACGGCCTACGAACTGGGCTTCATGCGGGCCCTTGGCCGTCCTGTGTTGGGCTACGCCAACGTGGAAAAGAAGTTCCATCATCGCACGATCGAGTTCCTCCAGGGCCGCGTTCAACCCCGCGAGGACACGGAGATCATCGAAGACCAGGCCGGCATGCTGCTGGAAGACTTCGACATGGTCGACAACCTGATGCTCGACGGTGCCGTGCTCGCCAGCGGAGGGCGATTGGTCCTCAAGCCAACCCCCGCCGAGAAGCAGTTCCACGACCTCGACGGCTTCCGCGAGTGCGTGGTGATGGCGAAACAGATTTTGGCTTAGCTGGAGACAAACTTCTCGATCAGTGCTGATCTTCAACGAATGAGGTGACCACCACTGCTCGCGACATAAAGAAAGGCCGAAGAGTTAGCGTTGCCTAATTAGGAAAACGCTAACCCGTCGGCCTGTTGCTGTTTCTTTATACCGGTTCAAAAACCGGGGTCTTTCTGCAATGGGCTTTGCCCTGGCGACTATTTCAAAGCCTCAAGCACTTCGTCGGGCTTGGCACGGCCACCGTGGGTCTTGCTTACTTTGGCGAAGCGAATCACGCCGTCGTCACCGATCACGAATGTCGAAGGGTAGGCCGTTTCGCGATCGGCATCCCATCGCAAGTTGTAAGCGTTGGTGAATTGGTAGTCGGGATCGAGCACCATTTGAAACCCTTCGGGCAATTCTTCGCCGCGGAGGAACTCGTTGGCCCGTTGCTCAAGCTCAGCTGCCTCACCGGGATACACGAGAACTACTTTCGCTCCCGCATCGGCCAGCTTCGACTTTTGTCGCACCAGCCCACCGACTTGCAGCGAACAGAGGGGGCACTGATAGCCCGGATAACCTCGCAGCACGACCAACACCACCGGGCCATCGGCCGTCAACTTCGACAGCGTAACCTCGTCACCCTCAAGCGATGTCAGTGTAAAGTCGACCGCCTCGTCCCCCACCTGCGGCGGCGAAGCTTCTTCGGCCTGCGCCGCACCTGCGATGAGTGCTCCCGCGAGAAGCGTTGCCAGAAGGAAGCGTGACAAAGAAGTTGCTGCAAATCGCGTTAGTCTCATCAATATTTCCCGTTCAAATAGGTGATGTTCGAAGTGTGCCTAATATGCTACGCCCGATGTGACGCACTCGTGGCGGAGAGTCTTACTTAGGTATTTGTTTATTCCGAGATCGAAATCGGATTCTCATTTTGACTTTGCCGCTGGAAAATCAAGATCCGGTGGCGCCCACGAGGCATGCAATAATTAGCCGCTGAGAATCGCGTTAAACAATCTCCCCGATCACCTCACCCTCATCCACAATCGGGGTCGGCCGGCCGGCGTGGTCGTTGAACGATGTTTCGAGATCGATGCCGAGCAGGTGGTAGACGGTCGCTAGAAGAGCGCCGGGCTTCAGGGGGCGTTCGACGGGGTATTCACCTTTGGCGCTGGTTGCCCCCACGACTTGTCCGCCACGCACGCCACCTCCGGCTAGCATGGCGCTGATGGCGTTACCCCAATGGTCGCGGCCTGGGATTGGAATTCCCGGCTGTCCGTCGTTGATCCGTGGTGTGCGGCTGAACTCGCCCATCACCAGCACCAGCACATCGTCGAGCATGCCACGTTCACTCAGGTCTTCGATCAGCGCGGTCACCGCGCGATCCATGGCCATCATGCTCGAGCCGTGTCCCTTCTCGATGTTCGAATGATGATCCCAGTGCGGCATGTCCACCGTGACGAAACGCACCCCCGAGGCCACCAGCCGACGGGCCATGCATGTGTAGTGCCCCCAGGGGCCCGGCCCATATCGCTCGAGAACCTTCGGGTCTTCTTGTTTCATGTCGAACGCGTTGCGAGCGTGCCCGCTGAGCATGAGGTCGACCGCTTGTTGTTGATACTGGTCCATGGCGTCCATCATGCCTTGGCGATCGAGCTGCCGTCGCACGCCGTCCAGTTGATCCAACAAGCCGAGCCGACCTTCGAAGCGGCCCGCGTTGTTGATGGTGAAGTTGCTCAAGCACTCCGGCGGCTGGATTTCGGCCGAGTAGGAGTGGCCCAAGTACTTCTGGTTCGGTTGCACATCGAACGGGTCGTACGTCGAACCCAGGTACGCAGCCCCTTGATAACCGGGATAGAGATAGATGCTTTGCGCGGCGGGCAGTCCCACGTATGGCGGAATGCCTGGCTGCCGGCTGCCACAAGTGCGGGCCACATACGAACCGACCGAAGGGTACACCTGTTCTTTGTTAGCCGAAGTCGATCCGAATCGCCCGGTGAGCATCCAATGGGCCGCGGCGAAGTGGTCGCCCGTGTCGTGATGCAGCGAACGCACGATCGCCATCTTGTCGGCATGCTTCGCCTGACCTGCGAGGGTTTCAGAAAATTGAATGCCCGGCGTGTTGGTGGCAATAGCTCGAAACGGCCCTCGGTACTCGGCCGGAGCCATGGGCTTGGGGTCGTACGATTCTAAATGGCTGGGACCACCGTCGAGCCAGATGAGGATGACCGACTTGTCCTTGGGAACGGTGGCCGCTTGGGCTTTGGAACGAAATACGTCGGCCAGCGACAATCCGGCAGCGGTGAGTACCCCGGCCTGGATGGCCCCTCGGCGAGAGATCCCCTGGCAGTTCTTGGTCGCCCGACCCGATTCGATCCGCAACCCCGGTTTGAATTGCAACATAGTCGCAGTCCTCCCGCATGGCGGACGGCCCCCCGGCCCCGCAACATGCCGCGGCTCATTCTAACGCTTGGGCCTTCCGAAATGCGAGCAGATCTGGCGGGGCGTGAGTATCGAGACGTTTCTACTTCATGAGGCCATCGATATAGATGTCGAACAGCATCCACACGCCCAAGGGAGACCACGCCATGGCGAGCAGATAGCCGAATTTTTCTGTCCAGGGCATCGGTCTGGACCAGATCTTTCGCCGCAACCGCCCACCGACGGCCGCCGCCAGTAAGAACCAAAGGGCCATAAGCGGCATCATATAAACGATGCAGGCGAAAGCGAGGCGGTCACCCACTGCCTCGCCTTCACCGACAACCAGCAGCGGCGGCAAGAGCAGGAGCGCCCCCAATCCCGACATCACACCAAAAAGTGCCCCAATCCCAAGACGTCTGCCACGGAGACGTAGATTCAGCCCGAAGAGCAATGCCGACAACGACAATCCACTGAGAATCCCATTCGCGAGAATTCGCCAATCATCGACATCATTCCACTGGATATCCTTGAAAGGCTCGCAAAAACAAGTCAGCCCCACCCCTACGCCGGCGGTGAGCCAGAGTAGTTTCCAGATCGTCAGACGGTCTTGCTGTACGTGGCTCAAGTTCGAACCCGCCGGCTTGCCCAAGCGCAGCACGAAACGCTTGTCACAGACAAGTGCACACGTCGGCTGCGCCGAGTTGGGTTACTGCGCCTCGGGAGCCGCTCCGACTTCCTTGCCTTCGGCCTTCATATCTTCTTCGAACCGGGCCCGCATGGTCTTCCAAGCCGAAGCCATGAGTGGCACAGCGCAGTGACCTTCACCCTTGCAGTCGTTCAACCCTGGGTTCTCGCCGCAGCCGCCTTGGCCTTTGCATTCGTTCTGTCCGCCGCAAGAGTGTTCGGCGTAAGTGGCACAGGTGCCTTGCCCAGCGCAGGCGTTCTCACCGCTGGCGCCCATGTTCTTGCAACTATTCAAGCCGCGGCACAGGTGTTTGTCAGCACTGGCCATCGCAGCATCGTCCCCGCCCGCCGCGGCATCACCGGTAGCGGCTCCCTCGCCCGTTTCCGTGGGTGCGGTTGTATCTTGAGGGCCACCGCAGCCGACGACCGACCCGGCCATCAAGCCTCCGAATGCGGCCATGCCCAACTTATTGATGTCGCGTCGTGTCAGACGATCTTTCTTCATCGCTGCATCCTTCTAATCGTGAACCTGGAAGTCCCCTCGCTCCCGAGTCGCGAAGGCCGCCGCAAATCCCCACCAATGCAAGGCCCCTCACGGCGCCGTCACAATACTGCCGGGCAGACCGGTTTGCAAATCTGCTCCTGAAGGGTCCGCTGTGCGGACAATAAACCTGGGTGCCAAACTTGCATGCCCAAAAGTGTGTATGTTCATTGTCGGTCCGCACAACGGACCCTACTCGGCTGGGTTGAGCTGCCGTTATTTCATTTGGCATTAACTGCGGTGATGGAGGGGCTGGGGGTGGTTGAACGGCATTCATACGGTGCCCTACGGCTTGATGTGCGTTGGATCACTTGGGGCCTGCCAAGATACTGGATTGAGATTGGTGACCGGGAGATCCCCGTGACACGACACTTGCCAGACAAGGCTGGCAGGAGACATCTCTTCTCTTTCGAATTGACGCCAAAGTCCTCGTGGGATGTCTATTTCTGTGAGAGAACGCATTCCTCTTTCATAGAGTGCAACAGCCGCTCTGTGGCCTCCGTTGTCCCGATTCTTCCGCCCGCATACGAAAGAGCGACGATTCGTACGCTATCGTTGCCTTTAGCACATGTTCTTATGGCTGACGCGACTTTAGTGTTGATGAGTAAGGTCGCTTTTCAGGTCTGTTGTTTCGACTTCCGAATTGTAAATGGCACAGGTCGCCGTCTTTGTGTTTGGCAACATAAGACCTGGGGGTGGCGACAGGCAGGGATCAGGATGGTCGTGTCTCCGCATGCGGAAACCAGCCTGATTCCGGTCTTGATGGCCACGGCGATTGGTACGTTGATTCATAGAGATTGGGGGTCCATTTGATTGAGATGGATGGGCCTTCAATCAACTAAGAATCGCTGAACGGACCCAATGCTCCTGAGAAAAAGGATTGTGTTTCCGTTGCCAGTCCGACGGCAAACACTTTTCGTCTACGTCGGCCGATGAATTCGCGTCTTATTCAGCATCCTCGTGAGATTCTTGTGCGTTAGACAACGACACAATTGAGCGCGGCTTAGGAGCCAAGAGTGACCGACGAATACTGATCGCAATCAAACAACCCAGCCCAGCTCCTGCGACGATACAAATCAAATTGGGGAGATCATGCTTCGTATGCAGTGCTTCTAGCACAAACACAGTACAGGCTATTGCAGTTACTCCACCAATCAGGACCGAGAAGAACGTGGCTAGTAGCGAGCGAAGCATGATACTATCACCAGCCGCTTGGAGTGGGGCTGACAAACCTGTTAGGTGCCAAATCTAAGAGTAGACGATAACGTCTTGGATAGCGGGTTGGGAGTTTTTCTGCAATCCAATGGGAAACACCCATTTAGGATCCACTGCGCGGACCAATGGCCCTGAAGAATAGGCCAGCCTGCATGTTTGTTGTCGGTCCGACGAGTGAGCCCTGGTCGATTGGTGAGAGTTCTGATCGTTCCGAAGCCAGAGCGACGACTCTCTGAGAGGAGGTTAAAGAAGTGGACGTTAATGTGGCTGAGCTTAGAGGGGTAATCGAAAAACTTCTTGTTCACCTGGAGGAGACTGATAGAAACGTCGTCGTGATTGATCACGATTTTTATTGGTCGATACCAACAGAGCTGCGGTATGACACCTACACGCCACCAAATCCCAGTGAGTTGACTCTGGGCCAGCTTTCAGATGACTTGAATGAACTGCAAAATATTAAGAACGGCAAGAGGGAGCTTATTGGATACGCTTTGGTGTGGGCGGCAGCGATCCTGAGGGCTATGGGAGAAAAAACAGTGTACTGAGGTATAAGCGAAGGAGGGGCAGGTGCTAAGGCCTGTCTCTCCGGAGTGCCACATTTGGATGCCCAATGTATCGACTGGCATCAGCTGTGCAGGTGAAGGAAGCTAGAGAATAGGTTTGTCCGTCCGCACAGCGGACCCTACTCGGGTTAATCTCCACCTGCCGGGTTGAATAGCCGGAGAACTTGGGCCTGGTTTCCGCCGAACAGCTTGCCGGCTTCTTCGACGATGTGGCTGCGGGCGTCGGGGGCGATGTCGGGGCTGTTGAACTGGGAGAAGAACTTGCCGATCAGCGCGCGTTGCAGGGCGATCTCCTGATCTTCTTCTACAATCACCTGGAACAGCCCGAAGCACATCTCGTCGGTGCTGCCGTTTCCGAACAGCACCCGTTGGGGCGGGGCGCTGGGGTTGAAGGGATTCTCGGCCGAGTTGTCGTAGTAGCTCACAATGTCCAGCCGGGTGCCCTTGGGTAGCTTCACCGGGTCGCGGTACACGTAATTGTCTTGCCAGTAGAAGTTCCAGTCGCGAATCCACATCAACGGTTCTACGCTGCCATCGGGCAAGGTGGCGGTCAGCTTCATCTCGCGACCAATCAAGTGCATGTGCGGTAGCAGCGACACCAGCGTGATGTCGGTCGGGATGTCGATCGACGAGGTGATTTTGTAACGGTCTTCACCCGGCGGGATGTCGATGACGATGGTGCCGGTGACCAGCGGGGCGCGGGCGATCTTCTTTTGTGGCGGCTTGTCGGCGAAGTAGAGACCGACCGAAGATTGATCGTCTTCCTGCTTACCGCTGGGGTGCAAGTGCAATTGCATCACCAGGTCGGCTCCGGCGGGGATCTCGAACCCGGTTTCCTCGGGTAAGAACCGTGGGGTCATCCCGGGGGTCCACACACCGAGCACGCCGCCGACCGGAATGCCGATCGAACCAAACGTTGTGTAGCCAGGCTCGGGTGTTTCTTTGTCTTTGGCGCGGCCGGCTCCCATCGTGTCCATCAACAGCACGGCGTGATGCACCACGGCCGGATTGCCTGGGTGGAACTCGTAGCCGACCATCATCTTGTCTTCGGGGATATCGATCGGGATGATCCAATGTTGGAACACATCCTCACCGTCGGCGGGGACCGTCACGGTGGTGGGGGCCGTTAGCACAAGGTCCGGCTCGCCCAATCGCCAGCCCGAGGCAAACTCCGGCAGCGGCGGCAGATCGGCCGCATCGCCCTCGGGGGCACCGGCTGCGGCCCAAGCATCGAACAACTCGATTTGCGCATCGGTCAAGCGACGTTCACCCAAGAACCGCCCATGATTAGGCTCGGCCTTCCAGGGTGGCATCAGCCGCTTGTCTGCCACCTCGGCGAGCCATTCGGCCCGTTTGTTGGCGTCGTCGTAAGTAAGCAGGGAGAAGGGGGCCACTTCGCCAGGTCGATGACATTCTGCACACTCGGCGTACAGAATTGGTGCGATATCCCGCGTGTAGGTGACTTCGCTCGGTTCGCTGTTCTCAAACAGGCAACCCACCGCTACGGTCTGAGCGATCTCCGGCTTGTTGCCGGCCACCACGGCAGCGATTGCATCCCTCAAGTCGTGCTGCCGGGCGGCCGTGCGTTTCTTGTTCACTTCGGCATACAGGTCGTTGATCCGGCCCCGGTAGAGAACTTCTCGCTGGGGACTGAGCACGAACGCTTCTGGAACGCGGGTTGGCTGCAGCGCGGCTGCGATTTCGCCTGAGGCGTCGAACACCACATCGAACTCGATATTGAACTCGTCGCAAAACGCTTTGGCCTTCGCGCGGGTGGTCGAGCGATCGGAAATCACCCCGTAGAACGCCACCTTTTCTGCTGGAGCGTCGGCCGCAATCCGGTTGAGTTCGGGCACATACTGACGCGACAGAGGGCACTCGTCGGTCATGAACACGAGCACCACGTGCCGATTATCGTCCCGCTGCGTGATCCGGCAGACATTCCCGTCAACATCCATCGCCGAAAGGTAACGCGGGGGCTGCTTCGCATTCGAACTTTCTTCCGCCCAACTGGGTGAATGAGCCGAAAGAAGTACGAGTGTCGTTACCAGAAAGATGGCCAGTAGGGTTGGCCGAGTGTTAAAGAATGTTCGACGACGAAGCAGCGTGGGGAGGTGCATGACAGAAATCCATCCTACGCGTCATGCGCGTAGCTTGAGTGTTTACGATTCCACAAGTTTGAGTAGCCGATCAATCCGCTCTTCGTTCCAAGAAGTGGCCTCGGTGTCGGTAAACACACCACGGATCGTGATATCCAGAATGTCGCGAAACTGATCCTGCAGCGAGATTTCACGACGCGCGAAATAGTTGGTGAACATGGTGCCGTAGAGCATGTCGCTGATCACGGCCGTCATTCGGTCGACCGGGAGATTGCGCACCCGTGAGTCATCGATCAGGCTTTGCAGCATTAACCGCCAGGGGCCGATGTTGGCTTCCATGTGTTGGTAATACGTCGGCTTGGTACGCTCACGGAAGAATGCCCGTTCTTGAATCAGTAGTTCGACGCAGTGCGGGTGTTCATCGAAGAAGCGAAGGTAGCCGTGAATGGCCAGCGCCATGATCTCCAGCGGATCGCTCGTGAGTTGGGCGATCGACAGCAGCGACTCGTTCAGTCGCCCCATGGCATCGTCCACGGCTGCCAAGAACAGGGCCTCCTTGTTTTCGAAGTAACGATAAACCGTTCCCTTGCCCACACCGGCCATGTCGGCCACCAACTGCACATCGGTGTTGGCGTAGCCGTGCTCGGCAAAGGCGTGTCCGGCCACTTCCAGCAGTTGGTTCTGCCGCCGGGTGACCAGTTCTGGATCGTCGGGTCGGCCGCGTTTCTTGGCACCGTGAAGTGCTGACATTGATAGCTCCGATTTTTACGGGACGGACCCGTCGGTCCGCTAATTCTACTTACGGTTATCTTACTGTAAAGTCATTTTCGACCGCTTCACGGACTCTTCACCTACGGGTTGTTGCAGCGTCCGCCACTACAAACAGGGGGGGATATCACTTGGGGCCGATTTTGGCACCAAAACGAAGTGTGACTGCCGAAATCAGTCCAACTTTTCTTCGGCCACGATCAGCCCATCACCGTCGGCATACAGATAGGCACCGGGCACGAAGTTGATCCCGGCCATCGTCACGGGGATGTCCCGCTGCCCCTCGCCGCGTTTTTCGCTTCGCCGGGGATGGGCTGCCAAGGCTAGGATGCCCAAGTTCATGTCGGCCAACTCTTTGGTGTCCCGCACGCAGCCGAAGACGACTACGCCGTTCCAGCCATTGTCGATCGCCAGCTCGGCCAGCCGGTCGCCCAACAGGGCACATCGGCGTGATCCGCCGCCATCGACCACCAGCACGTGTCCTTCGCCAGGCTTTTCGAGTTCGGCACGGACCAGGGTATTGTCTTCGTGCAGTTTCAACGTGCGGATGGGCCCGCAAAACGCTTCACGACCGCCAAAGCGTTTGAAGATGGGCTCGGCGATCTGGATCTTGTCGCCGTGTTCGTCACAAAGGTCGGTGGTGGCAAAGCTCATAGGTTGTCGTACTTCTCTGGTTCGTCGTGGTTGTTCTGTTCAAGATTCTCGGTTCGCACGTAGCTCCTCCGCTCGACGGGTGGCCTCGGCTTCGATCTCCGCCTCAAAGTCGCCTGCCAGGGCCCGACCGTGTTGGGCCTCGGTAAGGAAGTGCGAGTAAGCTGTAGCGAACTTCTTCAGGATATCGTCATACGGCACATCGACGTAAGTGCCCCGATCGTTGAGGTACTCCATGTGTTTCCGGCCTTCGAGATCGAAGGGGTGGTAGAGCGAGTCGTGGCGTCCATCGAAATCGAGCGGAAGTAACCGGGCTTTTTCGCACAGCCGGCGATTGAACGCCACAGTGGCTTTGACCCACTTTCCTTCCAGATATAGTTCGTTGTAGCCGTGGTAGTAGAAGATGTCGGTGCCGATGTATTCCAGCAGTTTCTCGGTGGCCAGGTGATTTCGCACATCGGCGTACCCCATGCGGCACGGAATCCCCACGGCCCGACAAGTGGCGGCGAGCAGGCACGACTTATTCACACACCAACCCCGACCACTGGCCAACACATGACTGGCACGAAAACCCTCCCGATCCATGTCGATTCCATAGGCTGTGTAGCGAATGTCGTCGCGAACTGCGTAAAACAGTCGACATGCCCGATCGATTTCGCTTTCTGCATCGCCCAATGCCCTCTGGGCGTAGTCCACGATGGCGGGATGATCACTATCGACGAACCACGTGGGCTGCAGGTACGGTTCCAGTTCCCGGTCGGTTTCGTTCGCTGGTTTCATCTCTGATCCATTACAAAATAGATCGGTTATGTGGGAATTCGCTGTCGCAAACCCGCAGGGTGCATTTTGTTAAAAATCAGCAGCCAGGGAGGCGCATTGTCGGTGCCTTCATGTTACTCTATTCGAGTTTCCTATCGAAAGTGCGACGGTTCCGTCGCCACAACTAAACGTGAGCCGCTGGTGACGAGAGGCTCAATACATCGAGCAGGGATATGCTCACGAACGACGCGATGACCGGTTCCCCACGGGTCGTCTTGCTAATGTCGTGCGAATTCGTTCGCCAAGGAGAATCTGAAGTGGTACGTGTGTTGGTGGTCGACGATGAGAAGCAGTACTGTGACAACTTGAGCCTGTGCCTCACCACGGAGGGTTATGAAGTCGTTACTGCAACGACCAGCGATGAGGCGATCAACCTGGGCAAGTCTTTCTGTCCCGATGTCCTGGTCGCCGATTGGATGCTTCGCAGCGATGAAGATGGGCTGGATGTATCTCGGACTCTGTTGAGCCAATTGCCCAAACTCGAAACGGTTTTGATCACGGGTTATCCCTCAGGCGAGCTTCATTCCGATGCGAGAGAGTCGAAGGTGTTCGAGGTGTTGGAGAAGCCTTTCGAACTGAACGACTTCTTATCCGTTGTCGAATATGCAGCCCGTTCGGCGGACGAAGGCGGACCGAATAGCGAGGTTTCCTGACCTCTCCCGGAACTTCTTCGCTCCCGAGTAAGCCCTTCCCGATCGCGGCGTGACGCACGGTGAGGCAAACTTTGCCTCGCTTTAGGCGACGGCTGTTCTTCTGCGCACAGTCAACGTGTTGTGGCAAGCTTTGTCTGCGCGCGATAGACTCGCGACACGCTAAAGTACCGCTGCGCCAGTTCCGCCATTTGGAACTAAGGACTAAGCGACGGGCTAGGCATCATCTGTTCGCAAGACTCACTGGGAGATGCTCCATCGTATGCTAGGGCGACTTCTGCAACGTATCGGGCCGGCGTTTATCGTGGGGGCCTGCATCATCGGTCCTGGCAGTGTCACGCTGATGTCGAAGACCGGTTCGCTATACGGCTATTCGATGCTTTGGCTGGCCGTACTCTCCGGCACCTTCATGGCGGGCTTCATCGCGTTGTTCATGCGGTTTGGAATCTACGGCGAAGAAACCGTGCTGGGAATCACCGCCCAGCGGCTCACCCGCCCCTTTGCCATGCTGTGTGGGGTGGCCCTCTCGTCGACGAATGCAGCATTCCAGTTTGGCAACAACCTGGGCGTGACGGCGGCGATGAACACACTGTTGCCCGATGTTTCGCAGTATCTGTGGCCGGTGCTGTTCACCTTGGCGGCGATTGTGTTCATGTTCTCGCTCAAGCAGATCTACCGCACCATCGAAGTCATGATGACGATGTTTCTTGTGCTCATGTTCCTGGCGTTTCTCGTCAACCTGATTATGGCCCGACCCAACATCGGTCAGATGCTCGCCGGACTGGTGCCAACGCTCCCCAGTGGCGAAGGCGGCATCGAATGGGTCACCCTGGGTGGGCTGGTGGCAACCACGTTCATCCTTGTGGCCGCGTTCTTTCAGACTTACCTGGTGAAGGCCAAAGGCTGGACCGAGGCCGACATGGGGAGCGCCACGCTCGATACCGTGCTGGCCTCGATCATCTACACGCTCATTGGCTGCGTGATCATGGCAACGGCCGCCACCGTGTTGTACCCGCACATTATCGTCACCAGTGCTGATGAAATGGCCTCGCAGCTCGAAGGGCTCTTCGGCCCGAGCGCCAAGTTCATCTTCGCCGTTGGGTTTGGGGCGGCCGCCTTTTCCAGCTTTATCACCAACTCTCTGATCGGCGGGGTCGTGCTGAACGACGGGCTAGGGCTCGGCGGGCAACTCGACTCCACGCCCACCAAGATTCTGGCTGCCGCCATTCTCCTGCTGGGCATGTTCACCTCGCTGGCCATCATTCACCAGGAGAATGCTCCTCTGCCGGTGGCCGCACAATCGGAGAACGAATCGCAAGTCGCCGAAGACGCGGCTGCTGCTCCGCCGCCGAGTAGTTTGAAGGTGAACGCCATTGCCATCGGGCAGGCCACCACACTGTTGGCTGTGCCGTTGGGCGTCATCGTCACACTCATCGTGGTGTTCGACCCGCAATCGAATCGAAATCATCGGCTCCCGCTTCCAGCCAAGGGATTCGTCATCGTCGGGTTAGTGCTCTTGCTGGGGGTCGCCCTTTCAACCTTCTCCAAGCTCCTGCCGGCCATTCGCGAGTTACTTAGCGGATAGTTACTCCTACTTGAACGGCAGCCCTGTCACGCCATGCAGACCGACGTTCGCGTTGTTGAAGCGAAAGCATTTTTCAGTCGAGAGCATGCGCGAACGCCGATGAAGTTCGGCGGCGTGGTGATGGACGCCACGTGGTATTGCCACGTAGGCGTTACGGTCGAGAACCGTCGTGGTGAACGAGCTACCGGATGGGGAGCAACTCTGCTGGCCGATCTTTGGGCCTGGCCCTCGTCGCTTACGCCGCACGATACGTGCGAGGCGTGGATGTGCGATTTGGTTAGCAAGTGGTGCGAGTTTGTTACTTCGACCAACGAGGTGGGCCACCCGGTCGATCTCTACTGGCAGTGGGAACCTGAGCTGTTCCGCGTAGCCGACGAACTCGCGCAAAAATCGCAGCTCACCGAGCCCGTTCCTCGTTTGGCCGTGCTGATGTGCGCCGCCCCCTTGGATGCGGCCCTGCACGACGCCTTCGGAAGGGCAGCGAAGGTAGATGTCTACGAGGCTTACGGCCGAGAGCACATGCAGTACGATCTTTCTCGCTGGCTGGGACCAAGGTTCAATGATCGCCATATCGCGGACTATCTCAGGCAGCCACCTGAGCGGATCGATGCGTTCCATCTCGTAGGCGGGCTCGACAAACTAACCGCCGCCGAAGTCACGGCCGACGACCCGCAGGACGGGCTCCCCAATTCGCTTGACGCATGGATTCGCCGCGAGGGAATCCATTGCCTGAAGGTGAAACTTCGCGGGACCGACTTGCCTTGGGATATCCAGCGTTTGCTCGATGTGAGTCGCATCGCCCGGGAGGAACACCGCAAACTGGGCATCAAGCAGCTTTGGCTGACGCTCGACACGAACGAAATGTGCGAGTGGCCCGAGTACGCCGAAGAACTCCTGCTGCGAGTACGCGAACAGGACCCTTCCGCGTTCGAATCAATTCTTTATCTAGAACAACCCTGCGAGCGCGACTTGCGTAAGCGGCGATTGGATATGCGGCGGCTGGCGTCGATCAGGCGGTGATCATTGACGAAGCGATGGCGTCGCTCGAGGATTTGGAATTGGCGATGGAACTTGGCTACTCAGGCGTGGCGCTCAAAGCCTGCAAGTGCCAGTCGGCCGAGTTGGTGATTGCCGCCCGTGCGATTGAGGACGGGATTCCATTCTCGATTCAGGATCTCGCTTGTCCCGGCATCGCGCTGTTGCAGTCGGCCCGGCTTGGTGCCCAGTTGCCCACGATCCATGGTGTGGAATCCAATGGGCGTCAATTCTACCCCAGGACCAGCGACCCCGAGCGGCAAGTTCATCCTGGGATGTATCATCTCAGCGATGGTCAACTCGACCTTTCAACCATCTCGGGGCCCGGCTTGGGTTACCGGTGGGAAGAGATTGGCCGCTCGATTGGGTGAAGCCGTTGGGCGTTTCGGAATGGGCATCTTCTGTATGGAACGCCCTCCGTGGCGTTCCGAGATTTGCCGTGGTGCCCGGAACGTTCCCTACAGGGGCTACGTCGAACTCAATGCGGATTTAGCTTCACGCGTTATGTATTGAATCCCCGACCCGCGTAATTACGCTTTCGACTTGCCGCTGGTCTTCTTTGTTGCCAGCGATTGTCGCTTCTTGAGAAACGGTCGCATGGCGGCGGCCACGGCGTCGGGATCTTCGAAGATGAGGAAGTGGCCCAGGTCGGGCATCTCGGTGAGTTTGGCTTTTGGGCAGATTCGCGTCAGCTCGCGAGCCATATCGATCGTGGCGATGGGGTCCCCATCGGACCAGACGAAGTGCAGCGAAGAGCCCGCCTGCGTGAGGGCTTTCAACCAACGATCGCGGTGGAGGTATCGTTCTCGCATGTAGACCGCCAGCGCGGGAAGACGCAGCCCGCCCTGTTGATAAGCGAGGGTCTCTTCCATCACGAGCAAGTCGTCTTCCGTCAGTGCTTCGTCTCGCACCAGCAGTGCTTCAATCGCCGGGATGTACAGATCCAACCCGCTGCGGCACATCTCGATGGCCTGGGTCAACGTGTCGTTGTTGGCCATCAGTTGTTGAAACGGTGTGACCCGGGCCATCCATTGCAACATGCTGCCGTTGGTCATGGTGGAACTAAGGATTTCCCATGGCAGCTTGCCGCGTTGGTCGCGTGCTAGCAATTCGCAGTGCACGCTGGTGCCCATGTCGTGGCTCACGAGGTGGGCCGCTTCGATGTTCAATTCACCAGCTAGTTTCTGGGCGACATCGGCCTGTTGGAAGATGGAGTAACTGTAATCTTCAGGCTTGTCGGAGAAGCCGTACCCCAAGAAGTCGAATGCGATGCAGCGATAATCGCTGGAGAGAAGCTCGATAATCCCTCGCCAGTCGTAGCAGGAAGTGGGAAACCCATGCATGAACAGCAGCACAGGCCCTTCGCCCTTCTCGTAGACGAAGATCTGGCGGTCATCAACGGTGACATGCTTTCCCGACTGCAGCCACCGCTCGGTCGGCTCAGATCGCTGCGGTTGGCTCATTACTCACATCCTTGAGTTACTGATATCTGGTTGCTTTGTTCCATTATCCTTTGGCTTCGAATTATGGACAAGGTGAGGGGGGTGGTGATTGCTGCGGTAACCAACCCGAATTCTGTTGCCTAGAGCCCAACTGGGCGTTTAAATGACATGTGACGATTCATAGGTGGCGAATCTCACGGTTAAAGGGGTGGTCGGTTGGTACTAGTTGGCGTCGACTTCCACCAGCAGGGTTGTTTGCCTATATACGCGATCTATTGAATCTTCAGATGGTTCGCCGCTTCGTGGCACACCCTCCTGAATTCGGCCTTCCTGATTTGGTCACACCTTAGGGCAGTTCTAGCTTAATTGATTCTGAGTCGGCAGATGCCGACGGGGTAGACGGTGTCAGAGAATCAACCGCAGCTTGCGCGCACATGGCCGCGCCCAGCCGCACTTGCCATGTTGGTATGGGTCTCCATAACTGCGATTCTGTTCGCATGCTTTGAGGAGTACAAGAACCTCAAAGCACCCTTTAAGTACTGGTACGATTTTGATTTGTCGTTCATCGACAGTCTGATCGTCGTTTGGAGCCTGTGGGTCGTCACGATTCTGCTTGCTGCCGTTCCAGTGGCCATGGGCTTGTGTTTAATCTTTCTTGGTCGAGCTCGACTTGGTTGGTTTTTAGTCGGCACATGTCTGGCCCTGATTTTTTTCTGGTTGGCACTCGATGGGAGGGTGTATCGTGTCACGGGTGTGCACCTGACGAGCTATGCTGAAAATCTTGGTGCCGAGGACGCGTTGGAATGGGTGGGTGGCCTGAAGGGTTCGCAGGCATTATTGATCGGACCCGTGACTATCGGCATCTTGCTGAGTGTCTGCGGAGCTCTCGGGAGCATCGAGAGCTTATCAACGCTCCAGCGTCGCTGGTCTTGGTTGTCGAGTCCAACCACTTCAGTCGTCTTCGCGCTGTTGATTCTTGTTGGGTGTCTAGGCTTGGCACCTGCGCAATTAGCAGCAAGCAAGTATGGGATAGTCTCCGCACTCCAGGTTGCGCTCCCGGTCAATCTGCCCTTGCTCGATCCGACCAGGCTCTTGCCATCGGAGTTGGCCGAGTTCCGAAAAGAATTCGAGAGGTCGGCGGTCCCGATTGGCCTGGAAGCCGCGTCACAATTGAATCACCCGGTTGAAGTTGAGCATGGACTAGCATCGAGCGAACGGAAACCAAACATCGTGGTGCTGGTGTTGGAAAGCTTTCGTCACGATGCGATACGAGAGATGATGCCCCAACTAGATCGTTGGGCGGATCAAGGAATTCAAGCCAATCGGCACTATGCCTCCTCGAACCGATCCCAATTCGGAATGTTCGCGTTGCTCTACGGCCAATCGGCCTTGAGATACCAAGCAACGATCGATGCGAATATTCCTCCCCAGACGTGTGTTTCCCTGGCCGAGTTGGGTTACGAGTCGCACTATATGTCGGGCGGGGCGGTTGTGTGGGCAGGAATGGATCGTTTCATAAACGATCGCAATTTCGACACGCTATTCATCGATCTCGAAGATGACTGGCCCCAACGCGATCAACGCGTGTTGACCAAAATCGCAGACACGCTCGACACTGCAGAGCGACCACAATTTGTGCTGGGCTTCCTGATGTCGACTCACTACAACTATCGCTACCCGAAGCAATATGAACTACATCTGCCGGTAGTCGAAGAACTAACCGATAATGTTCGCGAAGCCGAACATTTGATCGAGAATCGTGGAGCAATTCTCAACCGCTACCGCAATGCGGCTGGTTTCATGGACGACATTCTGGCCACTTTTCTCAGCCGCATCGATCTGTCGAATACCATCGTTGTCATTACCGGTGATCATGGCGAATCTATCTTTGACGATGGGGTTCTAAGCCACTCAAGCCGTCTGTCGGAGATACAGACGCGTGTGCCAATGCTGGTTGTTGGCCCCGGGATACCAAAGAGAAGTATCGATCAGGCCACCAGTCACCTCGATGTACTGCCCACACTGTTGCATGTCCTGACTGGGAATTCTATGCCACTGAGAAAATCGTGTGGTCGCAGTCTGCTAAACGCGACTGAGTTAGATCGAATCCTACTGTTTCAGGTTACTTCGCAATCGGGGCCACTGGAATTGTTGCTAATTGATGGTAAGCGAAGATTTCGGGTCGACCTGGCGAGGGATGGCGAGCTGACTGCTGTGGGCTTTCTTGACGAACGAGCCCAACTGCAGAATATCGATTCTCAAGACGCCGAGAATTGGGTGGAAAGTCTCGGTGAAGAACTCAAACTGCGGCTAGGAAATACTGCCCAAGAGAGCCCATGATCCGATTTAAACGTACGCGAAAAGTAACCGCCAAATCGTCTCATTCTTTTTGTCTTCAGAATCGCCCATCGCTTACTTGGAACTTCGTTGGCTTGCCGTAGGTGCGTCCCCCGCGCAACATCCAGTCGGCAACCCAATCGATCAGGCGTTCGGTCTCGGGTTCCGGCTTGCCGAACATTTCGTGGCAGCGGGTTGCATCGTTCAGTAACGCGGTCGATCCTTCGTGTTCGCTGAACTGCGGTTCTACGTTCAATCGCTCGGCTAACGCGCCAGCCAAATCGCGCACCTGGTGTCTTTGCGTGCCGGTGATGTTAAGCACCTCGGCCGGTGAGGTTGCCAGGGCGAACGATTGTAGTGCGACCGCGTTGGCGTAGCCTTGCCAGACCAGATTCACTTGTGGAACGTCTAAGTCGATCGTCTGGCCGGCGAGCAACTGCGTGGCCAGGTCGACCAAGATGCCGTAACGCAATTCGACGGCATAGTTCAACCGCAGCAGACAGGCGGGCGTGCCATGCCCGCTGCTGACGTACTCGATGACCCGTTCTCGTCCCCACGCGGTCATGGCGTATTCGCCCCGCGGTCCACAGGGGGTGGCTTCGGTTGGCTGGGGCTCGGTGATTGGTGTGAACGGATATACGTTGCCCGAGCTGAACGCCACGATGCGTGAGTCGCGGAATTGCTCGGCGAGCGCGCCGATGAGTTGCACATTCACCACCCAATGTTTCCCCGGCGGATCGCCCTGGCTGAACTTGTGCCCCAGCATCGAAAGCACATTGGGTGTCGCAGGTAATCGCAAACGCGCTTCCGGGTCCAGCAGATCGCAGGCCAGGGTTTCGACCCCGTGCGACTGCAACTGTTCGGCCAGCGTGCGATCACCAAATCGCGACACCGCAATCACGCGGCACTTAGTGTTGCCCGCCTCGTCCAGCGAACGACGGGCCTTTCGGGCCAGGCTGGGTCCCATCTTTCCCCCGGCGCCAAGAATCAACAGGTCACCGTCGAATTCCCCCATCGCGCGTATCGTGCCGGGTGTGGGGCGCGAGAGCCGCTCTTCCAAGTCGGCTTCATCGGTGATGGGGGCGTTTATGTCGGGGAGCATGCTGGCACTATACCCTCCCCACCAGTCCAGATACCACAAGCCAGGACGCCGCTACATAATCGGTCCTCTTGTGAGAGTTCTCAAGTTCAACCAGAAATGCCTTACGGACACGACTCCGGCACGAATCATCCCTCTGTGATCAATCTGGAGCGGTATCGGTTGCATGAAGTAGACTTTCGCAAGTTCTTCAAAGAGTCTTCAAGCTAGACCATCCCGCTAGATCACCTTTCCTACTCGCAGGCTTTCCGTTGGCGAACCTCCTCGAACGATATCTGATTCTCTGGCTGTCACTGCTCTCTTTGCTGGCCGCAGTGTGGCCCGCGTGGTTTCCTTCGCTGCCCGATCCGTTTGTGGCTACCACGGGGATGCAGATGAACATCCTGTTCGGGGTGACCATGTTTGCCATTGGGTGGATGCTCCCACGTGACGAGATCGATCAGGTGATCCGTCGGTGGCCGACCGTGTTCGGCGGAACGGCCGTGCAGTACGGCTCGATGCCTCTGCTGGCCTTCGCCGCGGCTACCTTGTTCGGCTTCGAGGGCGAAACGCGGCTGGGCATCATCATGATTGGCTGCGTGCCCGGGGCGATGGCCTCGAACGTGCTCACACTGGTCGCGCGGGGAAACGTTAGCTACTCGCTCAGCCTCACCACGATGGCCACGTTGATCGCACCTCTGCTGGTACCCACCATCTTGTGGTTGGCTTTGGGGCAACAAGTCGAAGTGCAGGGGTTCTCCATGTTTCTCAATCTCTGCGCGATGGTCGTTCTTCCGGTGCTTGCCGGACATGCCCTGGGTCGCCTCCGGCCCGAGTGGTCGGGTGTTGCCAAACGTATCGGGCCGGTGATCGCGAACTTGACCATCCTGTGGATCATCGCCGTGGTGGTGGGTAAGAATCGCGACGGTCTGCAAGCGGTCGATGGCCGGCTCATCACCGCGTTGCTGTCGATCAACATCTGCGGTTATCTGGCCGGAACGTTAGGTGCTTTCGCCCTCAAGCTAACCCCTGGGATGCGTCGGGCTTTGACGCTCGAGATTGGCATGCAGAACGCCGGGTTGGGAAGTGTGCTGGCCGCCAACTACTTTGGGCACGCCGCCGCATTGCCCGCGGCACTTTACACGTTCGGCTGCATGTTTACCGGCACGGTGCTGGCCCGAGCGTGGTCTTGGCGAGAACCGGAATCGACCGTCTGAATCATCTGGGTGGCCCAGCCGATGCGGCTGGGACGGCAGAGCCGTCAGGATGCCTTGAGTGCGGATTCCAACTCCTGAGCGGTGAACTTCAGAGCAAGCGATCGATGACCAAACGCGAATTGCTGAACGTATTCCTTCACGGCTGGTCGACCACTAATCAAGTCATCTTGTCGCCTGCGGCGACCCAGCCGATGCGGCTGGGCCACCCATTGATTGCTGAGGCGAATGCTGAGTTCTTACGTCTCCAGCCGGGTTTCTTCTCGCATCTTCCAGCGGCGTAGATTCACGATGCCGCTTGCCAGGGCGTAATACCCCACGTAGGCCAGCGAGGCCCATACTAGCCACGGTTGCTGGTCGGGGTATTGGTAGAGAATTGTCAGAATGACCGCGCCCCACAGCGAGGTGAGCACCAAGGTGGTCCGCTGCAGGAAGTACGTTCGCGTGGGATAGATGTACCGAAACGGTACGAACACCAACACGCTCAGCACCAGAATCACCACCAGGTTCATCCAGGGATTCAGGTGCAGAATCGCCAGGTAGAACACCACGATGTTCCAGTACGAGGGGAACCCTTTGAAGTAGTGGTCGTGCGTCTTCGCATCGCCCTGGCAAAACTGAAACGCCGAGGAGAGCGCCATCGCCGCGGCGACCACCATCGAAACATCGACCGGTACCCATGTCACACTGGCCGGCACCAGCGGCATCCAATACACCAACAGTGCCGGCACAATCACGTAGTTTAAATAATCGATGACGTTATCCAGCAACGTGCCATCGAAGTCGGGCAGAACTTCCTTCACGTTGACCAGTCGGGCCAGCGAGCCGTCCATACCGTCGACGAACACGGCCACCCCCAGCCAGAAGAAGGCTTCTTGCCAGTCTTCGTAGAAGACCGCCCGAATTGCCATCAGGCCGCACACGGCCCCCATGGCTGTGAACAGATGCACGCTCCAGGCCATGGCCTTGCGAATCGGCGAATAGACGGGGGCGTGCGGGTCGTGCGACATCAACAGAAACTCGGGAACCAATCTGTCCCGATGCGGGGTCGGCGAGGGCTACCGGCCGAATCGGAGTTTCGTACCCTGAAAGAATTGCTTATCTTCACAGGGCCACATTAGGGGGTGAGCAAGTCATCGGCATTCCGGAAGCCACCATCTTAGCCTGATTGTTGCGAAGCGACCAATCCCAGAGGGGGCGAATTCGAACCCTCGCAAGGCCTGGAACCAGTCACCTAACCACCGTTTGCAAGGCGATTTGCGAGGAGCCCGTCATCGATTTCAAGATCGCCGGATTGATCAGTATCGCGGTCTTCTATGCCGCGATGTTCGCCCTGGGATTATGGGCCGCTCGCCGCACCGATCATCGTAACGCCGCCGGGTTGCTGGTAGCCGGCCGTGCGATGCCACTGTGGATTGGGGCTTTTACGATGACCGCCACCTGGGTCGGGGGCGGTTACATTAACGGCACGGCCGAAGCCATCTACGATCCGGCCCGGGGGCTGGTCTGGGCGCAGGCGCCCTGGGGGTACGCGCTGAGCCTCGTCGTCGGAGGGCTCTTCTTCGCTTACCCCATGCGCCGCCGTCGCTATACCACGTTGCTCGATCCTTTCGAACAGCGTTACGGTCCCAGGGTTGCCTCGGTGTTGTTCCTCCCAGCGTTGGTGGGTGAAGTCTTCTGGAGTTCCGCCATTCTGGTGGCGCTGGGAACCACCTTCGGAACCATCTTCGATATCGACACCCAAACCGCCGTGTTGATCTCGGCAGCCGTGGCGATCGCCTACACGGTGGTGGGTGGACTCTGGTCGGTGGCCTACACCGATGTGGCACAACTAACTTGCATCTTTCTGGGGCTGTGCGGCGCACTGCCGTTTGCCATGGCTCGCAGTGGTGGGCTGCAGGAGATGTGGTCTCGTTACCAAGAACAGTTCGGCCAGGCGGCTTCGCTGGTTCCACCGCTTCAGTCGTTTTCCGGCGGAGGGGCCTGGGGCTATAGCGGCTGGATCTGGATCGACATGTCGCTGCTGCTCATCCTGGGTGGTGTTCCCTGGGGTGTCTACTTCCAACGCGTGTTGGCCTGTCGCGAAGCCCGTCATGCCGTGTGGCTTTCGTTCGCAGCCGCGGTAGGTTGCCTGCTGTTGGCCGTGCCGGCCGTGCTGATTGGCGCCGCAGGCGCAACCGCCGACTGGTCGACCGTGATGGCCGACGCCCCCGAGCCGGCCTTGGTCTTGCCTTACGTACTGCGTTACCTCACTCCGCCAGCGGTGGCGGTGATTGGTCTGGGCGCCGTGGCGGCGGCCGTGATGTCATCGGTCGACTCGTCGATTCTTTCGGCCTCGTCGATGTTCGCTTGGAATGTCTACCGCCCCTTGTTGCGTCCGGGGGCCAGCGATATGGAGAGCCGCCGAGTGGTGCGGGGGGCCGTACTTGTGATTGGTTCGTTTGCCACGGCCTTGGCGATTTCGGTCAACAGTGTGTATGCCCTGTGGTATCTCTGTGCCGACCTGGTGTACGTCATCCTGTTTCCTCAATTGGTCGCCGTATTGTTCTTTCGCCGGGCCACCACGGCCGGCTCGCTTGCGGCGGTTGTGGTGGGCTTTGTCTTGCGGTTGGGCGGCGGTGAACCGATCCTGCATCTGCCGGCGTTCTTGCCGTATCCCATGCAAGATGCTGATGGGGTGATCTACTTCCCGTTTCGCACCTTCGCCATGCTGATGAGCCTGGCCACGCTGTGGATTGTTTCGTGGTTCACCTACGATGCCTCCACCGATGCAGGTAGGCTCGCCGAAGTGGCACCGGGTGCATAACCGCTAGCAGATGATTTCTATCTGAGAAATCTCGCCACGATTGAATCGGGTGTTATCATTAAGCTTCGTGATCAGGCTTGATGGTTTTCACCTCTCGGATGCGCCTTATATGCCCCTGACCGATTATCTCTTGTACCGTGTGGCGAGGAATTGGCCTTCTCCCATGGCGGAACTGAAATCGCGCATGAGTGCTGAAATCGGTTCCGACGAGTACTACCACCAATACGCCCTCGAGCAATTCAATCGCTGCGTTCGCAACGGCATTGGTATCCCAGTGGCCGACAAGACGGTGCTGGAAATTGGCTGCGGTCACGGCGGAATCACTTGCTTTCTTGCGGCCGCGGGGGCGAAGTCGGTCGTCGGGCTCGATCTTGATCCCAAACGCCTGGCATTCGCTCGTGAGGTAGCCAGACGCATGGCCGCCCGCATTGGCTGCGAGCAACTGCATGTCCACTTTCTCTTGGCCAGTGCCGTCGAGTCTTCGCTGGCCGACGAATCATTCGACATGGTCTTGGCCGACAACGCCTTCGAGCATTTCTACGATCCCGAAGCGGTATTGCGAGAATCGTTCCGTATGCTGCGTCCGGGCGGGCACGTGGTGGTGCCGAACTTTGTTTCGATCTACAGTCGGCACGGGGCGCATCTGAAGAACGGTCTCAAGCTTCCCTGGCCGAACGTGTTGTTCAGCGAGCAGACCGTTGTCCGCGCAGTACAACGAATGGCCGAGGACAACCCTGGATTGAAAGACATCTACCCCGGTCTGCGAGGTGAACCGAAACAGATCCGCGATCTTCGTGCCCACCGCGATCTCAACGGCATCACGCATGGAGCCTTCCGCAAAATGGCCCAACGCGTGGGTTTCAACATCAAATGGCTCAAGCCCAATGCCACCCGAGCTGGCTTTTTTCTCAGGCCCATCCCCCCGCTAAGAAACTCGATTCTCGGCGACATCCTCTCCGAAGGCTGCAGCGCCTGTTTGGTTAAGCCGAAGTAGTGCGACTTCTCCGGGGGCTTGATTTTCCGGCGTCGCCCGCCGATCTTGTCTGGTTTGCCACGATCTCAACCGGCGGCTTCTTTCAGTCCGCCCGCAACCCAATCATTCAACGGGAGCCATTCAAATGGACGTTCAAGATAAAGCTGCCATCGTCACGGGCGGTGGGACCGGAGTCGGCCGCGCGACCGCACTCGACCTGGCCCGTCGCGGCTGCTCGGTGCTCATCAACTACAGCCGCTCGCAGGCCGAAGCCGAACAAACGGCCGCCGATATCGAAGCCCACGGGGTCAAAGCCATCGCCATCAAGGCCGACGTGGCCGACGACGAAGCCTGTAAGAAGATGGTGCAAACCGCTGTCGATGCCTTCGGGGGTCTGCACATTCTGGTGAACAACGCCGGTACCACGTCGTTCATCAATCACAACGATCTCGATGCGGTGACCGACGAAGTGTGGGATCGAATTCTGTCGGTCAATCTCAAAGGCGCCTTCCAGTGTGCCCGTGCGGCCAAAGAACCTATTGAAGCCAGCGGGGGAGGGGAGATCGTCAACGTTTCGAGTGTGGCCGGGGTGATCGGCGTGGGAAGCTCGATTCCTTACGCCTGCTCGAAGGCCGCGTTGAACAACCTCACCGTCATGCTCGCGCGAGTGATGGCCCCCAAGATTCGCGTCAACGGTGTTGCCCCCGGGTTCATCGCCGGTCGCTGGCTGGAAAAGGGGCTCGGCGACAATTACGACGCGATGAAGAAAGCCTACGAGCGCCGCCTGCCTGCGAAAGAGATTTGCGACCCCGAGGATGTTTCTGCCGCCATTCTCAGCCTGATCACTGGATCGGACCTGGTGTTGGGCCAAACCCTCGTGGTCGACAGCGGCCTGGTCATCATGCAACCGTAATTGCGACTTATGCTACCTGCGACCAGTGATCGCGGTACATCTCGGCAAGTTCGTATTCCGAATCGTTCTCACTGGCCACCGCTACGCTGGTTGCGGGAGTTTCATACGCGCGGTCCAGGGAATCCAGCAACCACTGTAGCTGCTGGCCAAAGTCATGGGGCACCTCGTCCAACAAGACGATGACTTTACCTTTGACCGCGATCACGCCGGCCATCAGTGCTTGTTGCCGGCTCAGAGGTCGATCGAATTCTTCCAAGCGAAACCGCGAGTGGCTGGCTTCGTTCAGTTGACGAAACGCCGCATTGGCCACCTGCGATTGTCGGTCGTCGACCAGCACAACTTCGTAGTCCCAAGGGAGATCTTCAAAAGCCTCATCGATATGAAGGCATGCACCGCATAGTTGGTCGCGTGGGATGGACGTGGGCAACACAAAACTAACCAGGTGGTTGATCGATGCGTCGGCTGCGGTGGTGAAGATCATCATGGTGGGTAGCCTCTCTCAGGTGGGTCGATCTAGTGCACAACTTTCCGAGGGTGGCGGTTCGTTCCTCGCCACCTCTTCCTCTAGGCGTACTTCGCCCGCGGGCGCAACATCTTTCCGTCCCTTTTTGCCTCGCCCCCGCACAACCCGTACGACCCGAAATCCGCCAGCCTGATAACCCCTTCAGGCCAGATCAGCTTGCGACTTATGGCGATACTGACCATGATCAGAAGTAGTGGCCAGCGTTGAGTTTCCACACCGTGGTTGCCGCAGCCTTGGTGAAAACGCCTATCGTGCGAGGGTTCATTTCGGTGCGCAGTTCGAGCGTCCATACCTATTGGCCTCGCCTTTTGGGGCTCGCTCTCTGCGCTATCGTTCTGCTCGCCTCTCCGCTGCCGGCCGCCGAACCACCTGCCGGCGATTTCTACGGCGACCCGATTCCACCCGGCGCGGTCGCCCGCTTGGGCACCATTCGTTTTCGTCACGGTGGCGACACCGTCTACCAGATCCGGTTCTCGCCCGACGATCAACTGCTGGCCTCCGCCGGTAAAGACAACTTGGTTCGCGTCTGGGATCCTCACACCGGGCAACAGCTTCACCGGCTGGAAGGTCATGCCGGCGAAGTTCGTGATCTGGCGTTCTTTCCCGCCTCCGACCGGCTGGCTTCGGTCAGTTGGCTCAGCAGTGGTAATAACGATCAAACGCTCTGCATTTGGGATCTCGCCACCGGGGAGATGATTCACCGCATTGGTCTGCCGGGTCACGGAAGTCTATGCGTGGCGGTTTCGCCCGACGGCAACACCGTGGTTACCGCCGCCGACGATGGCGATGTCGACCTGTGGGATGCCAACTCGGGTGAGAAGGTCAGCACCAGTTCGATGGCCTCGGTCGCGCTTCGCTCGCTGCTGTTCTTGGACGATGGTCGCACGTTGGCTTCCGGTTCCATCTACGAACGCACCACCGATCCCGGCTTCGCGCTCACCGTGCTCGACCTCGACGGTCAGCGGCCCAAGCAGACGTTTGAGTTCCAGCTGAACACCCGTAATCGAACCTCGGACATCGACCCTCGCACTGGTGCCGGATGTATCCTTTCACCCAGTGCCGACCGTGGTATCGTGGGCGTCGCCACCAACGATGGCGTGGTCCGCTTCTTCGATGTGGCCACGAAGGCGTTCACCCACGAAATCAGTGGGCTGCCGAACAAGACAACGGCTCTTTCGCCCGACGGCAAGTACGTTGCCAGTGGTCACCAGGGCATCTCGCTTCGCGATCGCACGCGGGTTGAACAGGCCGACAACTTCTGGTCGGGCGATGCGTTGATCTCCGCGCTCGACTTCTCGGCCGACGGGCAGCAACTTGTCGCCGCCACAGATACCGGCATCCTCCGCTTGTGGGATATCGAATCGTCCGAAGACCTCATCGAGCCCGGGCCCACGCACGACCGCTGGGTAAAGGCCATCGCCTTCTCGCCCGATGGGAGCTGTGTAGTGACTGGTGGCATGGACGACAAGCTCCGTTGTTGGAATGTCGCGACCGGCGAGCAACTCTGGTCGATCTCCGCCCGTACGAATGTGCTGGCCAGCACGGTGCTCGAGTTCACTCCCGACGGAGACGAAGTTCTTCTGGGGATGCGGCACAATCGCGAAGTTGAACTTTACGACGCCGAGACCGGCGAGAAGTCCCAATCGATCACCACGGCCGCCCACGGCGATGTATTGGCCCTGTCGCGAGATCAGCGGCTGCTCGTTCTGGCGCGGGCGAACAACGGTGTGGAGATGGTCGACCTGGAGAATGGTGTAAAGAAGCAGGTCGGTGAAGGCTCACGCGTTCGAATGGACGCCGTGGCGATTGCTCCCGACGGAACCACTGTGGCCACAGCGTCGCGCTCCGGCGGACGGAACGAAGAACCGGTCGTTCGCCTGTGGGATATCGATCAGCAAACCGAGCCCATCCGTTCGCTGATGGCTCCCGGCGACGACAGCAACAAGGTTTACGGGGCCGACTTTGTCTGCTTCTCACCCGACGGGCAATACGTCGCGGCCGCCTCGCAGCAGGCCATCCTCGTGTGGGACACCGCCAGCGGTCGCCTGTTGTGGGAGTTCCCCTCCAGCGGCAATCGCATCTGGCCCATTGCGTTCTCGCCCGACTCGCGATTGCTGGCCACCGCCGACAACAGCGAAATCGTGCTGTACGAACTCGCCACCGGCGAAGAGGCCGCACGGCTCACCGGCCACGAAACGTACCTGACCTGCATCGTGTTCCATCCCGACGGGCAACACCTGGCAACCGGAGCTTGGGACGGCACCACGCTGGTTTGGGACCTAAGCACCCTGGCCGACGAACTTTATTCGCAATCACCCTCGCTTGATGAACGGCTTTCGAAACTGTGGCAAGCCCTCGACGATCTCGATTCCCACCGCGGTCAGTCTGCCGTATGGGCATTGGTCCGCCACGGGCAAGCGGCCGTCGATCTATTGACCGAGAAGCTCGAACCCGAGCGATTACCGGTGATCGACAAGAGCGAGCTGTCCACCATGCTGCTCGAACTCGAAGACGACGAGTACGCCACCCGCGAGCGAGCGATGGACAAGCTGGCCGCCCTCGGCGCGGCGGTCACGCCTCACTTCGAAGCGGTGCTGCAAGCCACCCCGTCACTCGAACTCCGCAGCCGCATCATCCGCCTGATGCGGGAGCAAGAAGAAAGCCTCTACGAGATCGATCCCGCCGAACTCCTCACCCTCCGCTCGATCCAGGTTCTAGAACAAATCGCCACCGAACCCGCGCGACAACTCCTGGAGCACTTAGCCACTGGTGATGCTGAGCAACTGGCTACGAAGGCTTCACAACGGGCGCTGGGTCGAATTGAACGACGTTTTCAAGACGGTCTCATCGACAGGTAGGGTTCGTCGCGCGTCGCGAAGTCGGACCATCTCTCTAGGTTTTCCCATGTCAAACAAAAGTAACTTCCACGCGAGAATGTCACACGTTATAGCTGTCGTGTTCATGTTTCTAGCTATCGGAGCGGTGCTGCGGGTTGTCCAACTGGAAGCCATACATGCTGAACTCCGTAGGCAGCACGAGCAATCGGAGCAGGAGCTAAAAGACAGCAATGCAATGCTGCGCGACGTTCGAGCTGAGCTGGAACGTTCAAAGTCCGAAAAGTAGGTCGGGCACCGCATACCTGACAATCGGAACGTTTTCTCTCGAAGCACATCCTTCATGTCCTACAAACACCTCATGGTCGTGCTCGCGGGGCTCTCCGCTTTTCAACTCCTGGGTGCTATTACAGAGGGGCCTGTCGGCCCTGGCAGCGTGTCGAATACCATCGAGTTCTTGGGTGAGACCATGCCGCAGGAATACCATGCTATGGTGGACCCTGTCAGGAAGGCGTTGCTCGCTACCCGCAGCTCAGGGCGATTCTTATTGATTGCCGGCATTCCAGCAATCACGCTCGCGATCTTAGGTGGATTCAGCTTGATCGAGAACAAAGCACATTCGAAACAACAGCCGCAGATATCGAGTGTTGAGCTGGCAGGTATCGCAGCGAAGATGCTCGTCGTCATCATCGTGCTTCAGGCCGTCTATTTGTTGATTGGTGCTTATTTCGCCTGGATCACGTTTGAGCAGGACGCGCGGGTCATCGCCGCCATGCTTGATGCACCGGGACCCAGCCCCGTGTACGATCGACTCCTGGAAATGACGTACGGATACAAAGTGCGCACGATCCTCTATTGCCTGCCGGCCTTCTTGTCGATTGCATCTTCTGCCGTGTTCCTTGCTAGGCTTGGAAGCAACGCCCCTCAAGTGACCCACGTTTCTTCCACGCCCGCCCCATGAACAGCACGCAGAAAACCTTTGTTCTTGGCTGTGCGGTGGCCACGAGTATTCTCTTCTTCGGCTCGTTGTTCGTCCTTGTGATGGCGTCGATCGCACTGAAGATGGGCTATCTGCCTGCAACGGGTGCTCTGCCGTTGGGGAAGATTCCGCCGCGGCAAATCGCACAACTGGTCGATATGGGCGCGATCGAGCCTGACGAGGAAGTGCTTTATTTTTACTCCGCAGGCTTACTATCCATTCGTGAAGATGGCAACCTCTTCACTGACCGCCGCGTTATCTCCTACCAAGAGCTCGACGGACAACTTGATTTATACGATGCCGCCTACGACGACATCACGTCGATCAACTTCACGCCCAGCAACAACATGTTTGAAGATTCAACCATCACCATCAATCTCACCAATGGTGATTGGTTTGTGCTTTTCATCAGCACCGAATCCAACGGGGACGACACGTTCTATCAAAAGCTCCATGAACTCTGGCAGAAAAGAACTACCCCTCCATGAGCACCATCACGTTCAGACTCGAGCGGGGATTGGGCGGGGGGTGGAGCGACCGGAGTGATCTGACGCTGCATCTCGAGGATTGGGATCTGGACATCGGCCCGGAGCGGATCACGGGAAAGCCGCGGCCGGCGAGTTTATTCTGGCGGCTGTTCACACTGGTGTTCTTCGGGGTGCTCGGCTTCTTCATGCTGTTTCGCCTCACGCCGTTTCTGTGGTTCGAGTTGGCGGCCGCCGGGCCAGCAACTGCTCCGCGCGAGGTGGCATTGCGTCCGGTGGTGTATCAAGACACCAGCGTGCCACCTCACCTGCGCACGCCGCAGCCCACGGTGGAAGACGTTCAGCGGCAAACCGACAAGGTGCTCGAACACCTGAGCCCCGAAGCTCGCCGGCGGGTGGAAGAGGAGGTGGCTCGAAAGCAACGCGAGCGTGCCGCCCGCCAGCAGGAACAACAGGCCCGGGGGGATCGCATCGATCGCTACGTGCGGATCTTCGGCTGGTGTGTCTCACCCCTGGTTATCGCGTTCGGACTCGTTGCTACATGGATCGGATTTCGGTACGGCCTACTCGAGATCGTACGCTTCCCCTTCGACCGGCTGGAGATCGACACCACCGACAGCGAGCGTCATGGCGAACGGGTCCTCCGCCTCCGCCGCCCTAAACTGAAAGGCCAGCTGCAGGTGATCCGCCCGATGAGCCAGCTTCAAGCCATCGGGCTAAGTATCCGCAAGATCGGCCGGCATAGCTCCCGCACTCACAGTTCACCCAGTTACCATTGGGTTGTCACCCTCATCTCCACCCGGGCGAGCGATCTACCCCGCATCGAGTTGTTCGTCGACTCCCAACGCGACCCACCCAGCTCCCCCACCGCCGCCCCGCACCGGGTGAAACAAGTCATCACCACGCTTCAAGGCATGACGGGGTGTACGAAGGTGAATCATGGTTCGACGGGGTGGTGAGTCAGCAGGCGACTTTCATACTGCGGCAGGGGCAAGTTATACAGTTGCTGCAAGGCATTATCAGAAGACCGCTCACCCATTTATTTCTTGCCGCCCGACCGCCGACCGTATCCATCTCATGATTGCCCCGCCGGCGCGCACGAGCCCCACAATGATCAACACGGCGGCCGTGGAGAGGTACTGGCTGATATTCGTCGCAGCGGATACATAGGCCGTAAGGGATCCGTTCTTGGCCATCGCGCGTTGGTAGCTTGGATACGAAGCCACCGCATTCCACACCAAAACTGTGGTCACCAGCAGTACTAGCGGAATCATCACCGACCACCACACGCGGGCGCGGTCCAACATCCAACCCAAGATTCCCAACGTGACGACACCCGCCGCCAGGATGTAGGGGATGACTTCTCGAAGATGCGTGAAGTTGAGTAGCGGTGCGATCCACCCGGCCGGCAAAACGCCAAATACGAACAGCCCGTACTCATCGCCAGGGTGATTCCAGGAAACTAGCGACACGACGAACCACAATCCAGGCAGGACCAGACGATAGGAGGCCCACCCAAACAGAGTCCCGCAGGCGGACAGCGAGAACGCGACGATGGAAAGTAGAAGGCTCGAGGTGGCCACGGTAGTAAATGATTCAGCAGTGCCCGAACTGCGCATTGAATAGGAAGCAAGGGACATCATGCCTGAAAAGACGATCCCCCCTACCAGGACCTGCCGCAAGGAGAACTTTGGCATTTGGTTTGGTCCTGTTACAAGCTAACAAGCGACGGGCAATTGGAACCTAAATGAACAGGCTCCCCAAGGTGGCCGATTGCAAACACAGCGATTTACGTTCCCGCCCCGCATTATACGCTGCGTTTTCCTGCGTCTGTGGGGACGGGAAAGTCTCCCGGAGAGCCATTTGAATCGAGGGTAGGGTGCGGTCGAGCGCAGCGAAGACGCACCAGCACTGGACCAGCACGGATTGGCCGTAAAATGTCTGCGGGTACCCGGAGACGGTGCGTCTGCGCTTCGCTTGACAGCACCCTACGTTCGCGACCCTACGGTTGCGGTGAGGGTGATTGATTGTGGCTTTTGGAGAGGCTTCAATAGGGGTGGTCTGTGAAGGTTTGTTTCTTGGAGTAGCTACCCATGCGGTGGATGGTATTGTTTGTCTTGGTGTTTGCATGCGCGGCCCCGAGTTACGCAGAGCCGAAAGAGTCTGATACGGCCGGCGAGCTGCGGGTGTTGTGCAACAACGTGGGTATCTTCCCGAAGTTCATTTGGGATCGGTACCCGGCGAAGATTCGCGAGAAGAAGAAAGACATCATTAACGACGAAGAGAAGCGTGCCCGGCTGTTGGCAGAGTCGCTGCTTGCTTGCGAGGCCGACCCCGATGTCGTGCTGCTGCAGGAAATCTGGTCGCTGAAAGCTCGCGATGTGCTGATCGAAAAATTGGCCGCGGAGTATCCCTATCACAAATCGCCCGAGACGCTGGATGCGGGCCCGCTGACCACATTGCCGGCCGGTCTGATGATCTTCAGCAAATACCCGCTCTCCGACTTCGGCTACAAAGAGTTCACCCGCGGGTTTGGCGTCGACAAGCTCTCCCGCAAGGGCATCATCGGGGCGAAACTGGAGAAGGACGGAAAGTCCGTGGCCGTGTTCACCACCCATCTGCAAGCCGGCGGCAGGCGCGACCCCACGGTCAAGCCCGCCCAACTGAAAGAGTGCAACGAGTTCATTCGTGAATTGACTAAGGATCTTGATGAGCCGATCATCATTCTCGCCGGAGACTTCAACATCGACTCGACCAAACCCGGCGAGTACGACGAAATCTTTGCCTTGCTCGAAGGAGCGAAAGATACTTACCAGGCAGGCCAAAGCCCCCTGGAGGGCACGACTCGCAATAAGAAGTATCCCAAAAAGCGGATCGACTTCCTACTAACCTTCGACGAAGCCACCGGCATCTCAACGATTATCGACCCCGCAGGTGAAACCATCTCCGACCACATCGCCATCTTCGGTACGGTGAAGCTGGATTGAATCTATGAACAACAGGTAGTCTCGTAGGGTGTCGTCAAACGAAGTGCAGACGCACCTAAGCATCTTAAGGACAATTGAGGCGAGAACTCTCTATGCCTTCTCTTAAGGACATGCTTGCCTGCGGTGTGATCGAACCACTGGAATTTTCTGCTTCTCGTGCGGACGTGCGTGCCACGATTGGCGAGCCTGAGGGAGATTCTGTTTCCGGAGACCACGTGATCGAAAAACGTGGAGACATCCAACTCGAGTTTCGAGCAGATCGCCTTATTCGACTGTATTGGTACTTGGGTCACGAACCCGCAAGAAGATACGCAATTTCGGACAACACACTGACTTCTTCAACGGAGATCTTTCAGTTTGTTCGTTATTGCGATGAGGTCGGAATCTACGAATGGACCATTGATGAGAAACTAACGTTCGACCGGCAGCTTACGATAAAGACATCCGACTGTGTGGTTGCGATTTTCGACCTCGATAGTCGTTCGCTTCAAAAGATCATTGTTACAGGTGAGAAGTACAGGCACGCCTAGTTATTCGAGTGAAGGGTACTGTTTCCGCCGCCAGATTGATTATTATCATGAACATCTCCTCCCGCACTCCCGAAGGCCATCCGAACCAGTGCCCCGTGTGTGGGAATGCGGTAATTCTCGAACCCTCACATCCGGCCGGCGATGCACCATGCCCGCACTGTGGGCATCTTTTGTTCTTTTGCGATTCGTCAGTGCCGTCGCCGACGTATTTGAAGGACTACGAGGAGCTGACGGTGCCCGACTGGGTGTTCGAGATGGTACCCATGTCGCTATGTCAGGAAAACGAGTTCGAGCCGGTCGACTGCGTTCTGGGCACACTGATCATCGCGTCCGACCGTCCGCTCTCGGATGACACGATCGACAAGATAGGTTTCATCCTCTTCCAAACGATTACCAACGTATTGGTGACGCAGGAGAGACTTCAATCCTTGCGTGAACAACACGAAGCGCTTCATGGGATGTGATTTAACAGGGTATTGCCTGACCGGTGCGTAAACCTGTCATGGCGCTTCCCCTGTCACCTCGGGGCTTTCTTTGAAACCCAGCCGAATCGCCTTCGCCCTCACGGTCGCGCCCGGGGGAACCTGCACCCCTTCGGTATACAACAACCAGTGCGGCCGCTTGTCGGTTTCGGTGGTGTACGCAATCGAGGCCGCTTCAGTCGGACATGTAATTGTGAGTTCTCCATCGGCGGTGAATTCGATTTCCGGCGCCGCTGTGGTTTCCCATTCGCCGCCGGGGCGCATGCGTTCCCAGATTTCAGCTTCGGGGATCAGGCCGACGTCTTGTGTGTCCTGCCGCCATTGCTCATGGGCGGCTCGCAGGCGGGCGAGCACTTCGCTGTAGCTCGGGTCGTCGGCCAGGTTGTTGATTTCGTAGGGGTCCTTACGTGTGTCGTAAAGTTCTTCTACCGGTTTGGTGTCGGCGAAGAACAACTTCTGCGGGCCCTGCAGTTCGCCGGCAGCATCCAGACGCCGCAGCTCTTGCATGGTGGGCATCTCTTCCATGTACGAAAGCACCTGGGCGTACGGCTTGTACGGCTCGTAATTCCGCACGTACTTGTACTGTTTGTCGCGAACGGCCCGAATAATGTCGTACACCTCGTCCATCCGATCGCGAGCGCCATACACGTATTCCCGATCGGGCGCGGTTTGGTCTCCCAGGAAAGCCTGACCCTGCATGTGTTCGGGAATCTGCACGCCGGCCAGCGAGAGAACGGTGGGGGCGAAATCAACAAACGAAATCAGCCGGTCATCCACACTGCCAGGTTCCAACTCGCCGGGCCAACGTACGATCATCGGCACGTGCAGCCCCGAGTCGTACAGCCATCGCTTGTAGCGAGGCAGGCCCCGGCCATGGTCGGACCAAAAGACGACAATGGTGTTGTCGCTGAGCCCATCGTCCTCGAGTTCTTGAAGGATGTCGGCCACCTGCAGGTCCATGGCGGTGATCAAGTCGTAGTACTTGGCGATGTCTTCCCGCACGATAGGGGTGTCGGGATAGAACGGCGGCAGCGGGGCTTCGGCCGGGTCGTGGCGATCGTCTTTGGTCAAACGCTTGGTGATGTTCTGGAACTGTTTCTCCGGCACGCGAATCCGGCTTTCGTGCGTGCCCGTGAGGTTGATGACCGCAAAGAATGGTTGCCCTTCGGCCCGATTGCGCCAGTGGGCTTTGTTGCTCGATTCGTCCCACGCAGTCACCGGGTTGTCGAAGTTGTAGTCGGTCTTGGAATTGTTCGTGCAGTAGTATCCGGCCGCTCGCAGATACTCGGGGAAGCAGCGCACTTCCGGCGGTGGCACCGCGCGACAACGCATATGGTGGGTGCCGATGGTGGTGGGATACATGCCCGAGATGATGCACGAGCGATTGATGGCGCAGACGCCTGCCACCCCGAAGGTGTTGGTGAAGCGGGTACCCTCGGTTGCCAGGCGATCGAGCGTCGGAGTAATCGCGTATTCGTCGCCATAACATCCCAGGTCGGCGCTGATGTCCTCACAGCTAATCCAGAGAATGTTGGGCCGCTCGGTCGGTTGGTCATGAGCACCAAATGCGAAGTTGGTCGAGACACAAAGAATCGCAACGCACAACGCTAGAACTTTAGTCGCAGGCTGCGACAACCGCACCAAATGCTTTGCGTCAACACTCATATGGATAGTTCCGATGAATTGAAAGTTATGCCGGTAAGGAACTCGAACAGATACCCGCTCAGACTACTTGTCTGTATCCGGCGACGCGAACTTCTCGCTGAGTCGCGAAGAGATACGAACCACGTAGCCCTCGGAGTCTTTCGTCGCCTTGTCGATGGCCGCTTTTGCCGCGGCTGCCTGAGGCCCAATTGCTTCGAGCGAGGAGATCGCCCCCAGGCGAACCGCATTGAGCGGATGATTGAGCTGCTCGACCAGGACAGGTACACCAACCTCGGGCCGTCCTAGGTGACAAAACGCCTCGGCAGCGGCGACGCGAACCGATGGGTTGTCGTCCTTGAGCGCCGCCTCCAGGGCCGTCATGTCCTCGGGCTTACCACTGCGACCGATCTCCACGGCCGCCCAGTAGCGAATCACCGCGTCGCTATGCGTAAGGGCTTCGTTCAACTCGGGCACGGCGTCCAGCACCCCCAGCGCTTTTACGGCCGCAATCCGGTCGAGTTGGTTCTCAGACGAAAGCCGGCCAGCCCATTGCGACGGGGTGCGGTTCAAGAATTCGTCCGCAGCCATCGCTGATGATGTCGATGGAGAGAGGATGGCCAGAAAACCTGAGCAGAGCAGGGTGGTAAGCCGGGATGAGCTTGGTCGTGAATCCACGAGAGCAACACTCCGAGCGAGGTTAGGCAGTAGTAAAGGACATTGAGGCCAGCGCTGCGATCTGGCGGGCCCCACATCAGACGCCGATTCTAAGGTCCAACCAGGGGGGTGGTCCAACATTAGGGCCTCGAAAACGAGCTGTTTTCGAGCTTTTCCGCACAGTTGCGATGCGTTCGATACATAAGTCTCTCCCGCGAAATCTCCATGTGCGTCCTGCGGGAAACGGAATGCGGGGGGCACTGATTTTGTTAGGAAACTCAACCACAACAGTGCATAATCACCCAAAAGTAGGGCAACGGCACCGGGCAAGGCCGCGCGAAGCCATTCTCGAAATCCAATCATCAGACGTTTGAGAGGCGGGTTCACCTTCAATGGCCAACAAGCGGAAGCAACGATGGTTTCAACAAACGAAGAATCGCAATTCAAGCATCTCGAGGGTGGGTGCGTCTGCCGGTCGAAGTTTGCGTCACGATGCGCTTGAAGACCGCTGCATGTTGTCCGTTACGCTCGGTGCAATGGGCGACAGCTATACGGACGAAACACTTCCTGTCTTTGGTATTCCGAACTGGGTCGAGACACTGGTAGCTGCCGATCGGATCGATGCGGGACCATTTGCTTCGTTTCCCAACGGTGATCCCAGGCACGGAGTGTTCGGTCAAAGTTACACCTACAATTTCGCGCTAGGTGGAGCAACCAGTTCAAGTTTTCTGGGTTCCGGAAGCAATGCTCAAACAGGTTCTCCCTTCATAAATAATCGTTTTCGTCAGGTCGCTGGTTCCGGGGTACTAGATTTCGGACATATGTTCATTGGCGGGAATGACATTATTCAACAGGGTATCGCTGCAGGTAGATGGCTCTTCGATCCCGTGCAATCAATACTGCTGGGTCTCAAGCCCGAGGAACTCTTCAGTGACATCACCAGCAACTATTCAGACGGCCTCGCCTACGCCACGAACAACGGAAATCACCCAGTTCAAATGGTGTTTTCAAATTATCCCGACTTAGGCACTATGCCGATGAGTTCATTCTTGACTCAAACCCAGAAGGATAATCTGCGACCATGGATTGATGCCTTAAATGTCTTTATTGACTTGACCGCCGCACAATACAATGCCCCTGTCGTCGATTTACATAGTTGGTGGGAAGATGTTCGCTCAGCGGGCGGAACCACCATCTATGGCAACTTCGTGCCAGCTTCGGAGTGGTTTGTCGTCGATGGACTTCATCCTACCGCAATCGCGCAGGCTGCCTGGGCAGAGCGTATCGTCGATGCGATGAACACTCGTGGTGCCGGGCTAGAGCCGCTTTCCGAAAAAGAGATGGTGCATTACTCGGGACTCGACCCGAACGATGCCCCCGTGGCCCACGCCGGTGGAACGTACTCCATACTTACCGGTGAAGGACTTACCCTTAATGCGAGCGCATCCTCCGACGCCGACCCACTAGACACATTGACTTACCGTTGGGACATCAACGGCGATGGTAACTACAACGACGCCACGACCGTCTCCCCGACACTGTCTTGGTCCCAACTCCAAACGCTCGGAATTGCCGCAGGCAATAGCTACAACGTTCGCGTTGAGGTTTCCGATGGCTTTGCCGTGAATGGGCAAACAGTTTCGTCCGCAACCACACTCACCGTCCTCGAACCGGCCATTCCCAACATTGGTGGGCCTTACTCTGGCGATGAAGGTTCGGCGATTCCGCTTTCTGCCTCGGCCAGCGTTGGGGCGTCGCTTTACGAGTGGGACCTCGATAACGACGGTCAGTATGACGATGCGGTGGGGGAGAATGTTAACTTCAACGCCACCGACAATGGCGTGTTCACCATCGGGCTGAGAATCAACGGTGTGGGTGGGCCGACCGACTCGACCACCGTTAGTGTGAACAACTTGGCTTCCACGGCGAGCATTGCCGGCACTGCCGCTATCTATCGTGGCGAAGAAGTCACTTTCACGCTTAGCGCCAGCGATGCCTCGTCGGTAGACCAGGCGGGGCTGTTCAACTTTGAGATTGACTGGGACGGGAACGGTACAGTTGATGAGACGCTGTTGGGTGTGCCCAGCGGTACGACAGTGCAGCACGCGTTCCCCTCACTGACTTCGAACAATATCCAGGTGCGGGCGACCGACAAGGATGGTTCGACTGGCGGTTTCAGCCAGTTGCCCATCACGGTTACCCCGCATGTTCTGCGGGATGACGGCTTTGGTAATACCGATCTGATCTACGGCGGAGCGCCGGGGTTTGATGCGGTGTTCGTGCTGGGGCAGGCCCCGGGCATGTCGATTTATTTCCAGGTCGAGAATGCCATTGCCACCAACCGGCTCGAGTACTTCGGCTCTGCAATCACGGGTCGAGTGATTCTGCATGGCTATGGTTTCACCGATATCCTGGCAGGTGAGTTGGGCCCGGGGAATGTGATGGAGATCTACGGCGGTGATGGCGACGACATCATCGTCGGCGGATCGTTGGGCGACTTCCTGTACGGTGGTAATGGCAACGATATCCTCATCGGCGGCACACGTGCCACCGATGGTGACGATTACCTTTCCGGCGGCGAAGGCCGGGATTCGCTGTACGGCTACTTGGGTGCCGACACGCTTGATGGCGGTGGGGGTGAAGACCTACTGGTGAGTGATCACTTCCTCTTCAGCGATCAACACTCCGCCATTCAGTCGATTCACGAGGAGTGGAAGTCGGCCCGACCGTATTCCGAACGGGTGAGTAACATTCAGGGCATTACCTCCACCGGCGTGAATGGTCCGTGGACACTACAACCCGGCGTGACGATTGTGGATGACGGAGCGGAAGACACGCTCATTGGCGGCATCGGTGATCTGGATTGGTTCTTCTACGACTTCAGTCAGGACCTGCTGGGCGACACGATCGAATTGGACGAAGAAGAAACGGATACTAATCCGTAGTGGTTGAGTCCGAGTATCCTGGCAAGCCTTCGTGCAACCCTTTCCGCTACAAACGCTTACCGTCGAAATAGTAGGCCCGGCGCGGGTTCAGTGCTTCCTGCCGTCAGGTTCGAAAAAGCGTGACATCTGCCGCCTGGGTTGCTATCCTTCAGGCCACACTCCAGGGCAATTCCTCTACAACAGGCGGGGGCAGTCATGCGCCTATTTTCACGCGGCCGCTCGAATCACAAGAACTCCTGGCTGCGACGGTCATCCGGTGTTCGAAATCACTCACTGAATCAGCGGCTCTCCGCCAGGGCTCATCAACCGGGCTTGGAGTCGCTCGAACAGCGGCGACTGCTCTCGGTCAATCCCCAGCTCATTCGCGATATCAATCTCGGCAATGATGGCGATTCGTTTGCTGAACTCGGTGGTCAGGTCTACTTTGCCAATCAAGACGGAACGAATGGCAGAGAACTTTGGCGAAGCGATGGAACCGTGGGCGGTACCTCGTTGTTTGCCGATCTATTTGCCGGGAGTGTCGACTCCAACCCAGAGCAACTTGTAGCGACCAGTAACAGTTTGTTCTTTGTGGCCGAAACCAACGGCACAACTGGCGACCCCCGCCAACTTTGGACATCCGATGGTACTGTCGGCGGAACCTACAATCTAACGAATATCACTGGCGGTTTCGTCTTAAAGGCCGATCCTCGCGATCTAACGGTTGTCGGCGATCAAGTGTTCTTCACTGCTTACTCGGAGGCCAACGGACGCGAACTCTGGGTGAGCGACGGAACGTCACTGGGAACGTCGATGGTTGTCGATCTTTCCCCGGGTGATCGATACACGTTTTCGCTCGACGACCCACCGGTCAACCTGGGGCCGAATAGCACGACGTTCGATCACTTTGTTGATTTGGATGGCACGCTCTTCTTCTCAACGCGCAGCAGGCTTTGGAAAAGCGACGGCACCGAAGCCGGTACGGAACTTGTCTTCGCCTCGGCCACCGCAGATTCGGCCGTACCGATGGAACTGACCGTTGTCGGAGACACGCTATTCTTCACAGCAAGCGACGGCACGACCGGGCGCGAGCTTTGGAAGACTGATGGTACTGCCGCGGGCACAGCGTTGGTTAAAGATATTGTGTCGGGCCCCGACAGTAGTGTTCTAGGTGTGCTCGCTGCCGTGGGCAACACGCTGTACTTTCAGGCCGACGATGGAGTGAACGGAGCGGAACTCTGGAAAAGTGACGGCACAGCTGCCGGAACGGTCCTTGTCGCCGACATCATGGCGGGTGCTGGAAACTCGAATCCAAGAGATCTTACGAATGTCGGGGGGACATTGTACTTCGCCGCCAACGACGGAGTGGGCGGAGAAGAACTGTGGACCAGTGATGGTACCGCAGCAGGGACCACTCAAGTCTCGGATATTGTCTCGGGCCCGGCAGGTAGCAATCCCAGTCAATTGACCGATGTTGGTGGGGCCCTCTACTTCGCAGCAAACGATGGTTCCAATGGTGAAGAACTGTGGACCAGCGACGGTACCTCGGGTGGTACGCAGTTGGTGAGCGACCATCTGGTTGGCGCAGATGGCACCTCTCCCCGCTCACTCACAGAATTCGGAAGTCAGGTGTTCTTCATTGGTGTGAATTCTTCCGGGTTTCGAGATCTCAATGTGAGCGACGGTACCGCAACTGGAACGGTCGCGCTCACTTCGCTTCCCACGAACGATCCGCCTTCGTCCAGGCCCAGGGACTTCGTCGATGCCGGAGGTGTCGTCTATTTCGTTGCTACCGACGAGGATTATGGATGGGAACTGTGGAGGACTGATGGCACTGAGAAAGGCACCACTCTGGTTAAGGACATCCAGCCCGGCTCGGAAGGTAGTATTCCATCAGAACTGACAGCCATGGGTGGCAAGTTGTATTTTGCAGCAGATGATGGAGCGAATGGCCGGGAGTTGTGGGTGACCGACGGAACAGAAGCGGGCACCATTCGTCTGACCGATATTAACCCAGGGTCAGGTACCAGCAATCCTACTGATTTGGTCGTCTACAACGGAGAAGTTTTCTTCAGGTCGTCTCTGGGGCAAATATGGCGAACAGACGGGACGGTCGCCGGCACGACGCAATTTAACGTCTCAGGGTACATTCTCCGCTTGGCGGCAAACGATGACCTGTTGTTCCTCGTGGACTTAGGGGGAAGTCTGTTGGCCAGCGACGGAACGCTTTCCGGAACGGTGACGTTAACTGATGTAAATGGCCTCGAGCCCTACAGTGCACAGATTTCCGGAATTCTGCCAACGAATTCTCAAGGAGAGGCATTTTTCCAGGCCTATACCGATGATCACGGTCGGGAGTTGTGGAAGACAGACGGCACCATTGCAGGGACAGGGCTCGTTAAAGACATTTACCCAGGCAGCTTTGGCAATGAGCCATACAATGCTTCGCCCACCGAACTAGTCATGATGAACGACATCTTGTACTTCCGAGCGCGAGATGGTGTTACTGGCGAAGAATTGTGGCGCAGCGATGGGACGGAAGCCGGAACGTACTTGGTGAAAAACGTATCTTCGTTGCAAGGATCGGCTCAGTATCAAGCGATCAGAGATTTCACAGTCGTGGGCGATCAACTCTTTTTTGCTGCTAAGACGGGTACCTATACCAGTCGCGATCTGTGGGTAAGCGATGGCACCACGGCGGGAACTCGTCTTGTCAAAGATCTCTCAACAGATAGCTCCCATGTGGTGGACAACCTGGTAGCACTTAATGGCAAGGTCTACTTCCAAGCTGGAACGGTTGCTGAAGGTAAAGAGTTGTGGGAAAGCGATGGGACCGCGGCTGGAACTGTGTTGTTAGCCGATATCAACTCGGGGCCAGCTAATTCCGAAGGTGGCTCGTTCTTTTCCCGCCAGCTAACAGCAATCAAGAACACGCTCTTTTTCGCAGCCACCAATGGTCAAACTGGTGGTGAACCATGGCTCATCAATCTCTCACCAAACTCGTCGCCCGTGGCTGATGCGGGATCGCAGTACAGTGTTCTGACGGGTGAAGGGATCATGCTTGATGCGTCGTCCTCGTTCGATCCAGATGGCGACGACCAATTAAGTTACTTTTGGGACATCGATGGCGATGGAATCTATAGCGATATCGCAGGCCAGTTTGCCGAACTGAATTGGGCGACACTGAGCACCCTGGGTGTCAGCGAAGCCAATCCATTGCAAGTTTCCGTTCGCGTTGCAGATGGCATCGGAGGTGCCGCCGAGGCTAGCAGCACAGTAATGCTCACGATGCCGGCAAGCGCCAACATTGGTGGTCCTTACTCCGGCGATGAAGGTTCTGCGATTCCGCTTTCTGCCTCGGCCAGCGTTGAGGCGTCGCTTTACGAGTGGGACCTCGATAACGACGGTCAATATGACGATGCGGTGGGGGAGAATGTTAACTTCAACGCCACCGACAATGGCGTGTTCACCATCGGGCTGAGAATCAACGGTGTGGGTGGGCCGACCGACTCGACCACCGTTAGTGTGAACAACTTGGCTCCCACGGCGAGCATTGCCGGCACTGCCGCTATCTATCGTGGCGAAGAAGTTACTTTCACGCTTAGCGCCAGCGATGCCTCGCCGGTAGACCAAGCGGGGCTGTTCAACTTTGAAATTGACTGGGACGGGAACGGTACAGTTGATGAGACGCTGTTGGGTGTGCCCAGCGGTACAACGGTGCAGCACGCGTTCCCCTCACTGACTTCGAACAATATCCAGGTGCGGGCGACCGACAAGGATGGTTCGACTGGCGGTTTCAGCCAGTTGCCCATCACGGTTACCCCGCATGTTCTGCGGGATGACGGCTTTGGTAATACCGATCTGATCTACGGCGGAACGCCGGGGTTTGATGCGGTGTTCGTGCTGGGGCAGGCCCCGGGTATGTCGGTTTATTTCCAGGTCGAGAATGCCATTGCCACCAACCGGCTCGAGTACTTCGGCTCTGCAATCACGGGTCGAGTGATTCTGCATGGCTATGGGTTCACCGACATCCTGGCCGGTGAGTTGGGCCCGGGGAATGTGATGGAGATCTACGGCGGTGATGGCGACGACATCATCGTCGGCGGATCGTTGGGCGACTTCCTGTACGGAGGTAATGGCAACGATATCCTCATCGGCGGCACACGTGCCACCGATGGTGACGATTACCTTTCCGGCGGCGAAGGCCGGGATTCGCTGTACGGCTACTTGGGTGCCGACACGCTTGATGGCGGTGGGGGTGAAGACCTACTGGTGAGTGATCACTTCCTCTTCAGCGATCAACACTCCGCCATTCAGTCGATTCACGAGGAGTGGAAGTCGGCCCGACCGTATTCCGAACGGGTGAGTAACATTCAGGGCATTACCTCCACCGGCGTGAATGGCCCGTGGACACTGCAGCCCGGCGTGACGATTGTGGATGACGGAGCGGAAGACACGCTCATTGGCGGCATCGGTGATCTGGATTGGTTCTTCTACGACTTCAGTCAGGATCTGCTGGGCGCCACGATCGAAGTGGACGAAGAGGAGACGGATAGTAAGCCGTAGTGGTTCTTGAAGCCTCTGCGATTCGGGCCTATTCTTCGGCAAGCTTCTGCCAGAAGTAACGCCGAAGATTCGTTTTGTGCCAGGCCTGAGGAGTGCTCGATGTCGGAGTTTCAAGATCGCGTGGCGTTGGTCACCGGTGGTTCACGAGGTATCGGGCGAGCGACCGCGCTGCGTTTGGCCGCCGAGGGTGCGAATGTGGCCATTAGCTATGCCACTCGGGCGGGAGAGGCCGAAGAGGTTGTCTCAGCCATCGAGAAAACAGGCCGTCGGGCATTGGCCGTGCCGTGCGATGTGTCGAAGTCGGACCAGATTGCGTCGTTAGTCGACCAGGTAAACCACCAGTTGGGCCCGATCGATTTTTTGGCCCATTGTGGGGCCATTAGCAACCTGGCCGGTCCGGACGAATTAACCGAAGAACTCTGGCGGGAGATGATCGACGTCAATCTCACCGGGGCGTTTCTGGTGGTGTTCGCGGTGAAGGACCAGATGATCGAGCGAGGGTTCGGGCGGATCGTGATGGTCTCGTCGATCGCAGCGCTGCTGCCCCGTAAGAATCAGATTCATTACGCCTCGGCCAAAGCAGGCGTGATGGCACTGACTCGTTGTTGCGCCGATGCCCTGGCCGAACACGATGTTCGCATCAACTGCGTTGCCCCGGGCCTGGTCGAAACAGAAATGGCCCACGTCTTGCCTGACGACCGCATCAAAGATGTCGTCGAGATCACCCCCCTCAAGCGAATTGGCCAGCCCGAGGAGTTGGCCGGTGTAATTCGCTTCTTGCTAAGCAACGATTCCAACTTCATGACCGGCCAGACCATGGTTGCATCGGGTGGAAGAGTGATGATGACGTAGGAGCATTATACAACTAGTTCGACGGGCTGCGTGAGAGAAGCAACGGGAAGTGAAAACTGGCTGCAATGATTAATGGTTGGGAATGAACCACAACGACACGACGGCACGACGCAAACATTGAGAGTTCTTGCTTGAGTTGGCGAGAAGTAGGGGGGTTATGGCACAGAACTAAGCAAATAGCTCTTCTCTGAGCGCGATTGCATCACGCGGGTGCCCCTCACAACAGAACTCGACCAACGAAAAGTTTACGTCACGTCGTTGTGCCGCCGTGGTCATCTTCCCTTTTTGACACTAGTGATCACCAAGCCTCTCGACGAAAGATCACAGCTCACTTCGTTCTCCCAAAAGACTGTCTCAAGACTAGCGCAAAAAAAGCCAGCGCTTCCGTGCATCCGAAAGCGCTGGCTTCGAGACATTCTTGGTGAGGTGTCAGCCCTACTTCGCCGTTCCGACCTTTTCAGCCAGCGGCTGCAAGACTTTCACGGCGGGCAGCGGGAAGGCTGCGGTTTCCTTGCTCCAGAAACTCACCACGGCCGGTTTGCCGTCGATGGTGATGGGAGCGTGGTAACTACTTCCTGCGGCCGAGGCCATGGCCTTGAGATCGGCTCCGTCGGCATTCGCGACTGTTTCGAAGCCAATACTCTCTCCGTTTGTGGCGATGCCGGCTAATGTGGATTCGCCGACTTCGTACTCACGTTCAGTACGGCCTAACGGGTAGTCGAGCACCACCGGCTGTGCGACTTGCACCACTCGCAAAGTGTCGCCGTCGACAACGCTGACGCAAATGCGATCGACTTGGGGCACGATTCGCGCAACTCGGTGCAAGAACTTGTCGGCATCTTCTTGCGACTCTAAGAAGTCCTCGGCTGCACGGCGGGCCAAGCCTGTAATGCGGGGAGGATCTTGCTCGGCCTCAGCAACGAACCGCTCGGTGCGGGTCTTTGCATTCTCATCGAAGTCGGCCGGGTTCACATCGTCCGACTCGGAGTACCAGCCGATCATCATTTCTTCCCACGTTTGATCACCCCACGTTACTTCGGAAGTGGGATCGGGGTTGGCCAAGTTGTCTTCCGAGTTGTCGAAGTGGGCCAGGCAATACAGTTGCGAGCCGGCGGGAGCCAACTTCGGTTCGGCCAGCATGTAAATGGTTTGCCAGTTGAAATCGTACTGCGGCACATCGAGTAGCGTTTCCACACGGCCGTCGGGATAACGAAGGTCGTAGCGGAACGCCTTGCCACGCAGGTGCATGTGAGGGGCGAAGGTGAGCAGCAGGGTGTCCTTGTGGAAGGTCTTGCTGGCCTCGACCGGGTGATTGTTCTCACCGGCGGGAATCTTAAAGCCAAAGTTGATGGCCATGCTCATCTTCACGTCATGCTTCACTTTTGAGGCGTCGCAGAACTTGAAGCCGACCGAAGTGCAGTCGGTGGTTTCTTGCCCGTTGGGCGTGTAGTGCATTTGGAAGATAAGTTTTGTGCCGGCCTTCAGGTGCGTGGCCATACCTTCGGCGAAGTTCCAAGGGGGCGTGCCCGGGGCTGCACCGGCGATGAGTTCGATGCCTCCGCTACCGGGGTTGAATTCTGCCGAGTTGCGACCTTCTTCCGCAGCACGGAAATCCGGGACAGGCGCCCCGGGTGGCAACGCGAACACGAAGATGTGATGCACCACCGCGCGGTTGTCGATCAGGCATTCCGAGCCGCACATCCAGCGGTCTTCTTCCCAGCCGGGATCGACCGTGAAGTATTGGTAGTCGATCGCGCCATCGGCCGGAACCGTGAATGGCTCGTCGCTCATGGCGAACACTTCATCCGGCTCGCCCATCTGCCAGCCTTCGGGATATTCCATCGGCTCGGGCAAGTTGGCCAGGTCGCCTTGGGGGGCACCGTTGCGAACCCATGTGTAAAGCGTTTCCTTCTCTTCGCTGGTCATGCTGCGGTCGTTAAGGAAGTGCCCGTATTTGGGGTCGGCATGCCACGGCGGCATGCGCTGCTCGCGGACAACTTCTTCGATCATTTCGGCCCAACCCACCACTTCGTCGTAGTCGGTCAGCGAGAAGGGTGCGATTTGCCCCTCACGATGGCACTCCACGCAGTGCACCTGCAGAATGCGGGAAATCTGATTGGCGTACGTGATCTCGCTATCTGGGTTGGCTTCGCGAATTCGCCCGATCAAACAGCCGGGGGCTTCGGTGGTGGTGGGTTCGACGGTGTCGCCGGCTAGCACGGCTTCGATGGCTTCGGCCAGGAAGCGGCGTCGCACATCAGTTTTGGCGTAGCCGGTGCTGGAACCGAGTCCGTATTGATCGTCGACACGGCCGCGGTAGCGAATCACGCGGTCTTGGTCGAGCAGGAACACCTCGGGGGTGCGCTCGGCGTCGAACTGGTCGGCCACAACGTTGCCGGTGTCTTTCAGCAGTGGGAATTCAACCCCGTACGTGCGGGCGAAGTGAGCCAACTCGGTGATCGAGTCCTGGCGATTCGAGTCGACGCCAAGGAAGACCACATTCTTGTCGGCGAACTCGTCGGCCAGTTCCTGCAGTCGCGAGCCATAGAGTTTCGCCAGTGGGCACTCGATGCCCATGAACGCCACGACAATGCAGGGGCTGTCTGCGTACTCATCCAACGTGTGTTCACGACCACGGAAGTCTTGCAGGGTAAAGCCGTCGATTTGCTGACCAATCGAGTCGGCCGGATCGATCTCCGCCGCAGCCACGGGCAGGGCCACGGCCAAAGCAAGTAAGGTGAAGAAAACGTTTCGCATCGCAGTTCCTCTGAGGCTTTGGCCTCGACTCGAAGGCAAATCGGTGGGGGAGATTCGGTTAGCTTTCATGCTCTCTATTCCGACGCAATAAATTTGAAAGACGTTTAGTTCGATTGGGCGGGAATGCCCAGGTAACTCAAAAAGCAACGCACGAGTTCGCCCGAGAGTCGGGCGTCGCTTAATTCAAGGATCTCAGTCTCGCTCACGCGAAACAGGCTGAGCCGGTCGAGGGTGCTAAGCACCATCTGCAAGCCGACACGAATAGCCAGTGAAGGTTCGGGATGTGTGATGTCTTCGCGACGAGCCAAGATCAACTCGCGGAGCCGACTCACCAAGTGTTCGTTCAGCGGAACCCAACGCTTACAGAATTCGTCGTCGGTACAGCCGCGCGCGATGAACGCGCGGATGAGGCCAGTCTTCTCACGGTAGACCTCGACCAGGAAGGGAATCGTTTCGCTAAGGATTTCTGCAATGGAACTATCTTCCCACCGCTCGGGGTCGAGCACCGCGTCGGTGGTGGCGATGGCTTCGTTCGTGAATCGCTCGTGCAGGCAACTCAGCAAAGCCTCTTTCTCGCCGAAGCGATTGTAAAACGCCCCGACGGAAGTCTCGGCGCGGCGAACGATTTCAGCCACTGTCGCGCCTTCGAAACCTTTCTCGGTGATGATTGCTTCCGCCGCATCGAGCATCCGCTCGAGGTTCTGTTGGCTGCGCGATTGCAGTGGCGGTTTGACCCAACCGACGCGACTTACAGCGTGGCTCATCATGTATTCCCGGGACGAAAGAGTTCTTCTGCAGAAGCGAGAAATCGCACCGCAGGGCAGAGGGCTGACAGCAGAATAAGAATTCTTATTCTGTTTTTATCGACGCCGGAAAGCTGAGTCAACAATAATGTTTGGTGAAGAAGGCGGGTGGACTGCGTGGTCTGGGGTGATGTGCCCCTGTTGCTCTACAAGCCGAATTCCCGCAAAGGCTTACGACAATGCGCACACCCGATCAGCGTGCGGATAGGGCAAGCTAGCGTGAGAGAGCAGGGCTGCGGACTGCGGCCGGAGCCACTTCCTCGGCGGGGATGTCGGAAGAGGGGTTCGGGGCGACCGTCAGCTCGTCCCAGTTGGTCGTGCCAAGCACGAACAGGCTGCACGCGACGCGAGTGAGCCAGTTATTGATCGCTCGCAGTGGCTGCGGCAGTGGGCGCTTGATGTCGATGAGCAGAACGATGCGTGGCTGATCGCTGTCGTTCCACACTTCGTGTTCGAAACTGTCGTCGAACACCAGGCTTTGCCCGATTTGCCAGGAATGGCTTTCTTGACCAATGCGGATCCGACACGAGTCGGCTGGCGTGGGAACTAGCAACGGGACATGGCACCGCAACAAACCGGGGAAGACACCGCGATGGGCCGGGATATGTTCGCCACCTTCCAAGACCGAGAAGGTGGCCATCGTCATGTCGGGAATGTTGCGAACCAGTTCCCAGGTCTGTGGGCACAACTGACAATTGGATGGAACATCGAACGACCAGTAACGTAGCGCAAGCAACCGCCAGCCGGTACTGGCCATCTGCTGATTGCCCGTGAGTACGTCTTTCAAGTTAGGCACGCACTCTGCCTGCACCGCGAGAAACTCGTCGCGCATGGCTTCAATGTTCTCTTCCAGCTTCGCAGTCCAAGCGAACTCGCGCGAATCGAAACGCCAGCGGTTGTTCGAGCAACGGCGCATGAGCATGGCGTAGGGTCGCAACAAAAAGGCGACCAGTGGAGCCAGGCTACGAGCGAAGGCGTTGATCACGAAGTGCAGTCCTGGGGCAGGCGAATTCGGTGGGGAGTTTCCGCGGTCGAACAGAGTAGTGCAATGTTACTCTGCACTGCAGGTGGGAGCACCGCCCATGGCGGCTGCTTTATCGGGGGCCATCGGTCGAAGGTCGCAACCGCCGCTTACCGGGTTGACCTTCAGCTCGCCGAAAGCAAATTCCAAAGGAATCGTGCTGCCGGAACAGGCGGTGGGATAGACCCAATACTTGGCCTTCACTTCCACGTGGCAGCAATGCACACCACCGCCGGAGTCACCTTGTGAAACGAGAGCCCAACCGGCGTCTTTCGCCTTGCAGGGGATCGATTGAAACAGGGCCGCAACGTCGTCGGCTTCGCTACGCAGGTCGATGCCGAAGTGATCGACAAAGGGTCGAGCGCGTCGGGAACATTCGGTCTCGGCCAGGTCGTCTTGCGAAACCGCGATGGACGAGAAGATGAGGTTTACACCGCCGGGCATCTTAAACTTGATGAAGCCTTCCTTCTCGTAGTCCAACTGCCCGCCGGCTGCGGCGATCGAATCGTGAGGTAGCGCGGTGGTGTCGTCGACCTTCACATGGATATGAATCGACTCGGCGGTCGCGAGTTGATCGGTGAAAGGATGGGATGAGTTGAGTAACCCTAGGGCGGCCTTGGCCTCGCAACTGGTCGCCAGATCGTTCTGTTGCAGAAGATCGAGCGCAGAGTTCATCGTCTCGCGAGTCGGCATATCATCTACCTTTCGGGTGGGCGTTCCGGAGTGGGGCGTGCTGTTCGAAAGGCGTCCATGCCGTATTTGGTAACATTCTTTTCTAGTCGATGCGGTGGCCGAACGAAAGCAACTTTTCGGCCACCTTTGCCGTGGGGTTTACTTGGCCTTATCCATGATGGTTTCCGGGCCGTCTTTCTGCACGGCTTGGGCTTTTTGATAGCTTTCCATCAGCAGTTTGTACATGGGCATAATATTTTCGCCGAAAAGTTCGGCGAACTTCATTCCGTCGGGGCGATTCCAGGTCTGCTGAAGCTCGGCGACCATAGCGAACGTATCGGTGGGAATCACGCCGGCCTGAGCCATGCGGGCAATCGCCAAATCGGTGGCCATCTTGCTCCAGTTGCCCGAAGCATCGACCACGGCGTACACCTTGTAGCCCGCTGCCACAGCGCTGATGGCCGGAAAGACCAGGCAGACGCTGGTCAGCGTTCCGGTCATCACCAATGTTTTCTTGCCCGAGCGTTCGATGGCTTCGACAAAGGGTGGGTTGTCCCAGGCGTTGATTTGCCCGGTACGGGGGATGTACTCGGCGTGGGGGGCGTACTCGTGCACTTCGGGGATCATGGGACCGTTGGGGCCATCGGGCACCGAAGCCGTAGTGAGCACGGGGATATTCAGCAGCGAGGCGGTTCTTGCCAGGGCGATCACGTTATTGCGAAGCTCGGGCACCGACATGTCCTGCACGACGTTGAACAGACCGCTTTGATGATCGATGAGAAGCATGAGGACATCATCAGGATCGATCATACCCTTGGTAACACCCGCCATGACTTGGAACTCCTTGGAATTCGAGAACCGTGAAAAGAATCCGGCCGCTACGAAGACGATTCGCCAGACGCTGTTGCATCATACGGAACGGATGCGGTTCGGGCGATGACATAGCGGTCTAAAAATGCACTAGCCGGGGGCCCGCCACTCACGGGCAGCAAACTTTTTTCGGTATTTGTTTGCGGCACCTATTCATTCGATTGGGAGATGCACTGGTTGGCGATCTGCCTTAGGCGTTCGTCAAGAAGTGTTTGGCCAACGGTGAAGTTCAGCCCGATGGTTAGTGCCCAGAGGGGGCGAGAGCCGAGTCGGTCGATGCCGATCTTGACCAAGTCTTTGTGTGTGCAGAGCACGGCATCGACTTTGGCTTCTTCAGCCCAACGCGAGAGGCTTTCGATGTCTTCGCGCGTGTAGTTGTGGTGGTCGACGAATTCGCGAAAGGCGGTCAACTCGACTCCGACGGAATTCAACGTATGCCTGAAGCCCTGTGGGTTGCCGATGCCACAGAAGGCGGCCACGCGTTTGCCGGCGAGGGAATTGATCGGTTGTTCTTCGCCACCTGATGAGAGCAGGCTTCGCGGTTGGTGCGATGCTTCCAGCCAGTCGGCCGTGGGATGAAGTTGCTCGACGCGGCGGCGGATTCGTTGGCGTTCTTCGGCATCGATCAGATCGGCCCTGGATAGGATGACGACTTGGGCGCGGCGGATGCCTTCCAAGGGTTCGCGGAGCGTGCCTCGCGGGAAGACGTGGTCGTGACCGAAGGGCTCGCAAGCGTCGAGCAGCACGATGTCCAAGTCGCGGCGGAGGCGGCGATGTTGGAAGCCGTCGTCCAGGACGATGCACTGCATGTCGAGTTCGTCGATGGCCACGCGGGCGGCCGCCACGCGATCGCGATTCTGCAGATGAGGTACCTCGGGCAATGACTGCTCGAGTTGCAGGGCCTCGTCGTTGCGTTTGCCTTCTTCCGCACCATAGCCACGGCTGACGATGGCCACGCGAAGATTGAGTTCGCGCAAGCGACGGGCGATCCATTCGACCAGCGGTGTCTTGCCTGTGCCGCCCAGGGTGAGATTGCCCACGCTGATGACGGGGACTTCAACAGCGAAGCTTTTGTCAGGCTGTTGGTCGAAGCGACGGTTTCGCCACGTGACCACGGCTGTGTAGGGGACTTCGGCCACACGGAGCCCCGCGCGGAGTGCAGAGGCCATCGTCCCACGACGACGCCCGCTTACCAGGTCGTAAAAATCCGACGGGCTCAGCAAGCAACGCTCCTTGCCAACGCTGATTCAGTCGACGTTCAGCCGGAATGGGATTTGTAACTGGGTGCCATCGCTTCTTGAACCGGTGCGGCGGAGCAGTTCCAGGTTTTTCATTCCCGCTGGAGTACGCCGTGTAGTTTCTCCCCTCGGAACTATCGCTGAAGGAGTTTTCTCGGTTCGGGCCAATACGGAAAGCGTCACGCCCATGCTAAAACCAGCTTGGTGATCACACCCACCGACGCAGCACGAGTCAACCGAATAGCAACCTCAACACCGGCACTGGCAGAGCCAGTGGCACCCGATTGCGGTTCTTTCTCTCGATCGAGCGATAGACGATCAAGCGTGAACAACTAGCTATTCATCTTGTCGCAAATCGCTTGGGCCATCTCTTGGGTTCCAACGGCCGAAGGGTCGTTGCGGTCGGCCTTGAGGTCGTACGTGACGTGCTTGCCTTCGGCAATTACGTCTGCCACGGCCTTTTCAAGTCGGTCGGCGGCGTCGGTTTCTTTCAGGTGACGCAGCATGAGTACGCCGGAGAGAATCAGAGCCGTGGGATTGACCTTGTTCTTGCCTTTGTACTTGGGGGCACTTCCGTGCGTGGCTTCGAACACCGCACTATCGGGGCCGAGGTTGGCACCGGGGGCCACACCCAGTCCGCCCACAAGGCCGGCGGCCAAGTCGCTGAGGATGTCGCCGTACAGGTTGGCCAGCACCAGTACGTCGTACTGCTCGGGCTTTTGGGCCAACTGCATACACATGTTGTCGACAATGCGGTCTTCGAATTCGATGTCGGGGAACTCTTCGGCCACCTTGCGGGAGACGTCGAGCCACAGACCGTCGGTGTGTTTCAGAATGTTGGCCTTGTGGACCGAAGTGACCTTCTTGCGTCCGTTTTCGCGGGCGTATTCGAAAGCACATCGCACGATCCGCTCGGTGCCCGAGACGCTGATCGACTTGATCGAGATACCGGTTTCTTCGGGGCCGGTGAGGATCTTCTTATCGCTAGGCAGCGAGTTGATCTTCTCGATCAGTTCTGCCGTTTCCGGTTTGCCCTTTTGGAACTCGACACCAGCGTAGAGGTCTTCGGTGTTCTCGCGAACGATGACTAGGTCGACGGGCACGCTCTCGAAGAAGCTACGTACGCCGGGGTAATGCTTGCAGGGGCGAATGCAGGCGAACAGGCCGAGTTCTTGTCGCAGGTGAACGTTGATGCTGCGGAAGCCGGTACCCACGGGGGTGGTGATGGGGGCTTTCAAGGCACAGCGGGTGCGGCGAACACTTTCCAGCACGCCCTCGGGCAAGGGGTTGCCGGTGCGTTCCATTACATCGACGCCGGCTTCTTGCTCGTCCCAGTTGATTTTCACGCCGGTGGCGTCGACACATTTGCGTGTGGCCTCGGCGAGTTCCGGACCCGTTCCATCGCCAGTGATAAGAGTAACTTCGTGTGCCATGATTCGCTCACCTTCTCCACATCAAGAACGTTATTCACTGCGATGCCGACTGCCGCCGCGAGTGCGGGAAACCGCTCCCGCCCAATCGACCGAACTTGTTTCACCCATTTAGGATGCAAGTTGGCTGCGAACGTAGCACATGCCACGAGGGTCGTCAATTCACCCCAGTGTCGTGGGGGGAAAGGTGACGGAATGTTAACAGAAAAGAAGGCGTACAGAAGCATATCGAACGATGGGTGCCACCGCTGGCTTGCCCAGCGGTGCTGAGCGTGCGAAAAGGCTGGATATTGTTTGGTTGGCTTCGACGGTCAGTTGCAGGGAATTAGCCTCTTACCATTGGACTTCCATCCAATCAGCGGAAACGGGTGAAGCATTACCACCATCCCGGCCATTGCCGGGAGTTGACGTTTTCTTGCTACCAGCGTCTGCCGCTGCTCACCGACGACCAACCTCGGGCAATGTTGAGTCAGTCGATCGAGCGGGCTTGTGCCGGGCAAGGTTGGGCACTCACGGCATTCGTCTACATGCCCGAGCATGTACATCTGCTTGTGTATCCCCTGAACTCTGAAGCTCGAATTGACGGGTTCCTGCGTGCGGCGAAGCGGCCGTTTTCATTCCGTATCAAGCAGTGGCTTCAAGAGAATCAAAGCCCCTTACTACAGAAACTCACGGTACAGCGTCCCGAGGGAGCAACTTTCCGCTTCTGGCAGGCAGGCGGTGGCTATGACAGAAATCTGACGAATGAAAAGACAGTTCTCGCTTCCATCGATTATTTGCATTTGAACCCGGTTCGTCGGGGTTTATGCGAGCGACCAACTGATTGGCGATGGTCGAGTGCGGCTTGGTATGCGGCCAATGGTCAACGAGAAGACCCTGAATTGCCTAAACTGATGCCTTTGCCGACAGAGTTCTTCGTGAAAGGGTCCGGTTATTCGCCGGATTGAAGGGGTCGGCCGGTCTATTCGAGTCTCTGATGAACGGAATACCAACCGTTAGGCAGCACCGCTGGACGAGCCAGCGGTGGCACCCACTTCACCTCGGATCAACTGACTGTAGATAGACATCCCTACAACGTCGGCCCGATGCTCCAGGGGACGAACTCTTCTTCGCCGATGCCGTGGAGTTCGCTCTTGGTTTTGCGGCCGCTGGCGACTTCTAGGATGAGTTCGAAGATCTGGCGGCCGACTTCTTCGACGGGGGTGCCGGAGAGGATCACGCCGGCGTTGAGGTCCATGTCGTCGATCATGCGTTCGTACATGGGTGTGTTGGTCGCGATTTTGATCGATGGGACCGGCTTGCAGCCGAAGCAACTTCCGCGGCCGGTGGTGAAACAGGCGATGTTGGCCCCACTGGCGACCATGCCGGTGATGCTGGCCGGATCGTAGCCGGGCGTATCGACAATGACGAAACCCTTGGCAGTGACCGGCTCGGCGTAGCGATAGACTCCGGCCAACGCGGTGGAGCCTCCTTTGGCCACGGCCCCCAGGGCTTTTTCGTAGATGGTGGTTAGCCCTCCGGCTTTGTTGCCGGGCGATGGGTTGTTGTCGATTTGCACTCCAAAGGCGGCCGTGTACTTTTCCCACCAGTGAATGCGTTCGATGAGCTTGTTGCCGATCTCGGGCGTCTTTGCCCGACGCACTAGCAAGTGTTCGGCTCCGTAAATCTCTGGCGTTTCAGCCAGAATGGCGGTTCCGCTGGCGGCGACCAACATGTCGCTGGCCACGCCCAGGGCCGGATTGGCGGTGACGCCTGAGTTACCGTCGGACCCGCCGCATTCGTTGCCCAGGATCAGTTCACTGGCGGGCACCGTCTCGCGGCGAATGTCGTTGGCCGCGGGGAGCATCTCGGCCAACTTCTGCACGCCCATCTCCACGGTCTTGGCCGTACCGCCGCAGTCTTGCATGGTGAGCACGGTCGGGCGTTTCACTTGCCCCGGGATGGCGATCTGCACCAGCCCCTCGTTCTCGATCAAGTACGATGCGGGGCCCGACTCGCAGCCCAGGCCGACCAATAGATAAGCGCCGACATTCGGATGTCGCGCGAAGCCAGCCAGCACGCGGTTGAGTTGGTGATGGTCTTCACCGTCGTACTGAATGCCGCAGCCACTCTTGTGAACCAGCGGGAGAATTCCGTCGACTTGGGGATATTGGGCAAGCAGGGAGTTATCGAACCGCCGAGCGATGTACTTGCTGACCGAGGCCGAGCAATTCACGGTCGAAATGACGGCTATGTAATTTCTGGTGCCCACGCGACCGTTGGGGCGACGGTATCCCTGGAATGTATAGCCTTC